CTTGGCTTTGTTGCCTTGGCTTTGTTGCCTTGGCTTTGTTGCCTTGGCTTTGTTGCCTTGGCTTTGTTGCCTTGGCTACCTCTTTTCCCTCCGACCCTAGTAACGAACCACACGCCATCAGCTTGACGGGACTCAGGTTGAGCGACGGACTCAACTTCACGAGGGAAATGATTCCTCAGAGGCTTTGTGCCGGACCATTGCTCCTCAGCGAACGCAAGATTCACTCTGGTCTTCCATTAGCGTGGACGCGGGACTGCCGTAACTTGGAGCTCGCACGCCGTCAGAGGCTCCTTTGCAATCCCTGTCACGTGGCTCGAGAAGTCCAGCAGTGGCTTTTACAATGTCGTTTCTCATAAGACCTGCAACCCCGTCGTCGCCTCGCCCGGAGGTTAAGGAATCTCTTTCGGGGACACCGATATCAAGCGGATTCTCTACTCTGCTATGCAAGGTGCTTCACAAGGCTCCTCAATGTCAGCAAAAGGGTATTTGCCCTGTCCAGATTTCAACGGGCTCGGCAACGTCGTCATGACATGGCAGCTCTACGGCACCGCTGAGCCTTCAAAGAAAAAGACAAAGAGCGGATAGTGGACGGCCGTGGTGAACACACGGGCTGCGAGAACTGGGCTATGTTGGGCAGCGGTTGGAGATGGCCGCGTTGGGAAGAGAATTGTTACTGTAGTATTATTAAACAGTTTCCCATTCTTTCACCCGACGCATATTTTCATATCCAAGTTTTGGGTTCATCTTGCGACGGAGAGAATAAGCCCGTAAGCCGCATGCTTCCTCCTCTCATGAACTCACGTGTCTTCTCGCCCATTAACATTTGTCATGTACGCCCATTTTGAAGATTCCTATTGCGGCATCAATTCCCTTTTGCTCCGTCTTACTATCACTGGGACTGGTACATAAAGAACGTGGATTTAGTCTCTTGCCGGGTTCATTCGGTTTCGGATCAGGTTCAGCTGCAGTAGCCTCGGCTACCACGTCATTCAGTTCAATTTGCAGTCTCTTGGCTTGGTTGGCTGGTTCAAGGTGGCTCGGTCTCTTTACTAAAGTCTGTCGTCTTTTTTTGAGTGCCATGCAAGCTTTTCTCTTCGGACGGAAGTTGGCCTTTTTGTGGATAACCAATCTGCTCCCAGCTGCGTATTCCCTCGACTTCCACATCACCACGTGTTAACTGGCAGATGGAAATGGTTCTCTGGCTGCATTCCATTGCTCTTCTTGGCGCTAGTTGTTCTCTCTTAGTTCTGATACTTGTTGACTATGCTCATGTTCGAACCGGTCTTGCTTAAGATCTCGGTCATGTGGTCCCTTGGAATGGCCCGTCGTGTTCTCGTTCGTCGTTGCTTCTTTGGTCGACTGAAAATCTTCTGCTTTGCGCATCTTTTCCATGGAGTCGGTCTGAAAGAGGTGCTCGCGCTCATCGTCCTCCATCCGGCGCTGCTTCTTGACCTCAGCTTTGTTGTATTCTTGCAGTAACTTGCCATATTTCTCCTCGAGTTGCTTTCCATCTTCCAAAAGGGCCTCGCACTCATCTGCGTGTCGCTCGCTCAGTTCCAAGAAGTACTCCTCAGCCTGTTGCTGAGTTTCCAATAGCTCATTGCGGTGAGCAGTCATCTTTTCTCCAATGATATCTTCGAAGATTTTTCGCTGCTCCTGAAGACGCCTCTCCGTGTCTTGCTCCAGAGAAATTTTCATATCTCTGTATTGGACATCTTTATCTGTTAAGGCTTCCTCTAGTTGCGAGATTTTTGCCTCTGCCTCCGTATAAGACTGTTCATACTGGCTGATTGGATTAGGCACTTCAGCCTCTTTGACAGAAGAAGGCGCTCCTTGTGTCTCTCGTCTAAGATCCGTGTCCTCTGGAGGCCCCAAAGCCTTAAGCGCATGGCTTGTCTCGAGATCGACATTTGTTGTGTCACATTCTTGTTGACAACGAGCACAAACATAGGAAGTATCAACACCTGACTCAATCTGAGAGGCCCGGTGGCAAGCAATCAGAGCGTGTGCGTGTTCGAGGTCTTGCACCTTGCCTCTGAGATGGCTTAGTTCGTCCTCCTTTGCTTTCCGCTCGGAACAAAGCACATCGCGCAGTTCAGAAAGATCCGCCTTGAAGCGCTCGGCTTCTTCCTCCCTCTCCTTGGCCAATGCCGCCTCCCTGCAGAGACGGCTTTCAAGTCGCTTTGTCTTCTTGCATTCTGTCCGATGCTTGCCGGCTAGGGTAGTCAGGACTTCTTCGGCTTGGCGTGTGAGTATCGCCTTCTCTTGTTCCAATGCTCTGATCCTGGCGCCCGGATTGGATATCCCATCGTCTACCGAGTCTGAACCATGGTTGTGCTGAGATCCGAGGTCCTGCATCATTCCCAGGGAGGACGAAAGCTTTGTGTTTGGGGTGTCGCAAATCTGCCGCCAGGAGTGTCGTGCTGTGCCGAGCTACTTCTTGTAGAATACCACTACGCCGTTCAACCGCTTTTTAAGCTTCGCGAACTTGCTCTGGGAATGGTAAAAGATCAATCCTGTTCGCATTCTCAAATGTTTCTCAAGCTAAAGATACGTTGGGCTCAGCGTACTCACAACATGAAGTGTCCCCAAACAGGCGCTAATAGCCTAATACCAGATAGAAGGCATAGTAGCTTTCTTTCCGAAGATTTTAGCAGCTGAAATTGGGTTATCGGGGTCGATAGTTTTGTTCTTGTGAACCTTATTGAAAAGTCAAAGCTCCGCGCAATATGACTGTCGGTCAGTGTCGTAACGAGTTGCGAAGTGAGACAATGGTGAAGTAGAGAGTCCAGGCGTCGGAATGACTGCCGTCGCCCAATTCACTGCTAATCTGCTACCGCAAGCGGTTGATCTTGGAACCGGCAAGCTACACTTCTGTTGGAAGCTCGGAAAGTATTCATGTCTGTATTAGGCGCACCCCGAGGTGTCAAAATCCTCGGCTCGTGCCAAGCGGGGGCCTACCGCCTGGTGTGACGGGAATTTCTACAGGCGCCACGTGCACCTGGAGCTGGTATACGGGCTTGATTTGAGTTGTTAGTCTTACAAGCTGCCTGTGCGATGATGCCGCCAAGAATATATTACTGCGTATTTTTGCAGTCCAGGCATCGTAAGGTTACTTGCAAGAGCATCAGGTTGCACTTATGAGTTTCTAAGCATGGACGAGGCTTCTGCTCGGCGAACTGTTGAGTGTCCTGGGACAGCTGCTAATTGTGAAAATCGAATATTTGTTCAGAAACCCAGACTACCTTGAGTACTTAGGATATAAGATAGGCTACCTTACTGTGCCTACCTGCGTTAACTTCCCCGCACTTATTCGCAAATACCGTAAGCACGATTGTTCAGATGTGCTCTATCCATTACTTGTCTTCACTGAACAAGTATTCAAAATTGTGTATGATACGGCGCAGGCTCACTAGCAGTAGCCAAGCGCATGTATGTTCCGAATTTCCCCTCGCTGAGATCCTTGGACTGTTGACGAACGGCAATCATCTCTGAATCTGACCCGCTCGCCATGGTAAGCCCACCTTCGTATGAAGATGCATCACCACCCTCGGCGGAGCTAGCTCAAGCTGCTACGAGCGACCCTCCCAGCTACCTGCAGGTCGCTCAGTCGAGACCTCATGAGCGACTGACGGCAAGTGGGTTGCCTTGCCTGGTTTTCGATGAATGCCTCATCTACGCCGAATCCCAGCCACAGCGTCCCCTCTACGAGCTATCTCAACCACCTGCCGTGTGTAGACCACAAACAGCAGTCTATGCCGTCCAGAAATTCAATTATCGGCTCTCGTCGCATGACGGAGAAGGGAACATCCGGAATAGCAAGCGCCATGTTTACGACTTCTCCCTCAGCATCACGCCCGACGTTGGCGAAAGTGTTTACATTGAGGGCAAAGCCGCACGAAAAGCACTTATGGTGAAGGATGCACATGTCGCGCCTGGTCCCCTGGGCAAGTGGTCGTCTTGCAAAGTCACATCAGACCCTCATATGTCGTCAAAAGAGAAAGTGGAACACTTTCGCGCAGGGCGCAGTGTCAGACAGCGATGGCGACGGAGTGATCAGCTCGATTGGACGGATGCTTCTGGGAGGACGGTCGCAACAGAGACAAAGCTGACGCGAAAGGAGGATATGTCAGTAGACAGGCCGCCACGGTTGGAGCTCAAGGTGAGTTTAGAATCCAGAGACCTTGATCTCCTCATCACAGCATGGGCAGCAAGGGTTTGGAGAGAGGCCAAAAAGTATTTGGCTGAGCCCTTTACTTGGGGAAAATGTGAGATGTTTGCATTTGTGAGTGTGATGTGAACATAACTGACACGGTGGCAGTCAAGCGCATCGCAGACACTAGCGCAGGACCCAACAGCTCGCGATTGAGCTATGGTTTTGGGGTGCGATGAGCCGAGCGTCTTCATCGCTGCAGAACAAAGGCCCTCCATTCGAAAGCAAACCGCTAATTGTCGAACACGAATGATTTGGCTTTGACACGGGCTTTGAAGAGTTGTGCATACTAGTAGGGTAGTCAGTTCAGATCCTGCCTCGATGCTTCGCGACGGATCGGACGTGTCGTGTCAACAGACGTAATCTGCAGCTAGCGGCCAATGGACTGCTGTGGCTCGTGCTCAATTCAGCCACAAAGCATCAAAATGAACGCCTGTGATTGGTCGGAGCAGGGGCATCCTAAAAACAGCCGTGAATAGCGCATGCAAAGGCAGGCGCGTGCAGGCATTGTTGCTTCCCCAAGATCCGTTGTGCAGGCAGGTTTTGAGATCAACAATCTCTTCTCCAACCACCATCATTTCATCGTCAGCCTCGGTCACACGAGTCAAGTTCTTCTTCCGTCTGATTCCATGTCGGCGAGGTCGATTATTTTTCAATCTTGACTGGAGTACGATCTCGAGTAGCTTCGGGAATGACAAACACCACGATCGCCAAAGACCAGTAATTGCCAACGATGGCAGCTACCGACGTAGACCTTGGCTACGTCGCGGGCCATCTTGGCCTGGACCAGCCATTCTTGAAGAACTTCGGTACACAGCCGACCGTCGAGCTTGCGAACGCGATTCTCCAAGCGATAGCAGCCAAAGCCCACGAGTTCGACGAGTTGTACGCCGCAAAGTTACAGACTGACATCGAGCTCGAAAGTGCGGTCCGTAGCGCCGAGTCGCGGACCGAAGTCTCTCAATCAACCGTCGAAAAGGCTCTCAAGGATGTGCAGGAGGCTCGAGAGAAGCTCCGAGAAGAAGGTGGGTATACCGAAACTTGACGACGTACAGGGGGCTGACGTACAGCAGAGAACAAGCGACAAGCTGTTGAGTCTGAACTACAGTCGCTCAAGGCGAAAACCCTGAGTCACGATGATGAAGTTAAAGCCTTCAGCGACAAGATAGAAGCGCTGCAGTCGTCCAACCGCACTAACCTAGAAATCATCGAGACTCGCAACAAGCAAAAGGAGGAAATTGCCGAAGACCTAAACAAGCAGTATCAGCGAACTGTCGAACTCTCACGTGAAATCACCAATTTGCAACGATCGGAGCAGGCCAACAAAGCGCAGCTTAGCAGTGCCGAGTACCGAGAACATTCCCTCAAGCAGCAACTCGACCAAGCTCGGCGGAGTGGCGAATGGTTCGAGGAAGAGCTGAAGACCAAAACCCAGGAGAGCCTAAAATATCGCAAGGAAAAGGGCGCCCGTATTGCCGAGCTACAGCGCCAAAATGAAGATGCGAAATCGGAAATTGACGCTCTCAAGAAGACGGAGCAACAACTGCGCGATCGCCTGAAAGCCATGGAGACTAAGGCGACCGAAGCTCTTGTCAAGGTTCAAAGGCAAGAAAGTGCGTTCGCTTCGCAAGTCGAAAGCTACCAGCATGAGCTTGCCGCGCAAAAACGTCTGGTTGACATGTCAAACTCGTTGAGCAAGAACCATCAAGAACGAATCCGCGACCTTGAAACCGCCCGCGAGCGACTGATCGACAACCATGAATCCGAGGTCCATCGTGTTCGACGTGACATGGAGCAGGAGAGACAGTCCGCCGCCAGGCTCGAAGAGAAGGTCCAAGAGCTTGAGAGGCAGATCGACGAGCTTCAAGTACGCGCGGAGCAAGCACCAACGCAAATGGAACCGCCCGAAACACCACGACACAACGGTTCCACTATGCCACGACCCTCTTCGCCGTTCGCGACACCAGGCTCGGTACGGGGCAAGTCTTCAATGTCGGTGACTCAAGCGATTGAGCAAGTCTACCAGGCTAAGGCTCAGCTGGCCAACGAGAAGAGGCGAACCCAGCAGCTCAGTGAAGAACTGGACAACATGATGTCTGCACTGGAGATGAAGGCGCCGGAGATCCAAGAGCTTCAGTCAGAAGTCGAGACTCTTCGTGAGGAGATCACTCGCATGTCTGACCTGTCGCAGCAAAGCTTCGCTGAGCGGGATGAGGCCAAGCGAGTGGCCAGGAAAGCAGAGGCCGCTTTGTCAACGGCCCAGACCGAAACGAAGATTCTACGAACACAGGTCCGTGATCTGGGCACGCAGATCCAATACCTCGTGTTCAACATCCACGCCATGGAGAAGGGTCAGGAAAAGCTGACCGAAGAGGAGAAAATTCGTCTGGCGCAGCTTGAGAAGGGCGAAATCACGGAGGAAGCTCTGTCAGATATGTCTGACACCCAACAATTCATCACGGAACGTCTGGTCGTGTTCAAAAACATCAAAGCCCTGCAAGAGCAGAACGAAGAGGCGCTACGCATTACCCGTAATCTGGCAGAGGAGATGGACAGCCAAGAGAACGCCGATGCCAAAAACCAGGCCAAGCTCGACCACGAGAAGGCTGAGAGACTGGAGAAGGATCTTGCCAACATGGCCGATGAGCTCAAGTTCATCAAGAAGACGATGGACAGTTACAAGTCCGAACGTGACATGTTCAAACGGTTGGTACAGCAACGCGAAACTGCAGAAGGGGAGAGCCCACGCCCACCCCTCGCTAGCATCGAGGGTGGGGAGCAGACCGAGACACTCAACGACGCTCTGCAGAAAGTCCAGTCTGAGTACGACCAGTTCCGCGAGGACTCAGACAGCGTCCGCCGGGAACTGAACAATCGGATTGATGGGCTCACGTCCGAGAAGCATTCACTGCAGAAAGGCAACGTCACATTGCAAGGCGAAGTCAGACTGGAAGTGGAACGCCGCGAGATGCTGCAAGCAAACTTCGTGGCCCTTCAGTCCGAGAATGTTGAGCTCAAGAAGCGCAGTCAAGCCCTCTCGGAAAGCGCCGCCAAACAAGATATTCGAACCCAACAGGTAATGGAGGAGCTCATTGAGACGAAAGGGTTACTCGACAGCACCAGAAATGAGACAACGAACCTAAAGGCCGAAAAGAAATTCTGGAACGACATCCAAGATCGCATGAGAAAGGAGAACGAGGGCCTGATTGAGGAGAGAAACAAGTTGAACGATTTGATTGCAACTCATCAATCTATGGAAAACGAGCGTTCTCGGTCCCATTCGGAAGAAAGGAGAAAAATGCAAGGGCGCATTGATGCACTCGAACGCGATCTCAACGAAGCACAGCGTAAGCTTGCTGACGAAGCCGAAGACGCCAAACGCCTGCAGCAACGCAAAGAATTCGAGGGCAAGGAGTCTCAGAAACGAATCGATGAGCTGCTTGCCAATCTCAGCCAAATCCGCGAGGAGCACGTGGCTGTTAAGACTAGCCGCGACCATCTTCAGGCTCGAGTCGATGAGATGACGGTTGAGTTGAGGAGTGCTGAGGATCGCGTCGGCCGATTACAGCCCCGGCCCACCCCTCGACCTGGCACGGCCGTCGACACATCAGAGTTTGAAAATGAGATTCTGGAACTCAACAACGAAGTAGCCGACCTCAAGCGGGAACTTGATCTAGCCCGGACACACCTGGACAACGCCAAGGCCCAGGCTGAGCAATTCAAGGAGCTGAGCCAGTCGAATGAGGAGACGCTTGATGATATACGGTCTTCCCATGAAAGCTACCAAAAAGAGATGGAGAGTCTGTTCGAGGAGAAGAATGCGAAGATCAAGGAGCTGGAGCAGCGCATCGACGATATGTCTAGTGAGCTTTCGCATTCCAATGCTGAACTTTCGAGCATCCGTGACTCTCAGGGCGAGATCACCCGGCGCCACCAGGACGAGAAGGCCATCTTGGAAGAAGAGGTAGCGCGTTTGAAAGAAGATAATGCGAAACACATCGAGACAGCTCGATACCACCAGGAGGACCTACGTGCCCAAGCTGACATTGCGTCTATGGCACAACGCAACTACGACGCGGAGTTGATCAAGCATGCGGAGGCGGCCAAGCTCGCACAACAACTCAGAAATGAATGCAACGAGTTCAAGAACCAAGCTTTGGAATTGCGCAGCGAAGCCGACGCAGCAAAAGTTACCTTGGCGCAAAGCGAAAGCTTGTGGGAAGATCAGCGCCACCGTCTCGAGCAGGAAGTCAGAGATCTGAAGGCACGCCGCGACGATACCAGTTCTCAGACGAAGCTTCTCTACCAGCAGTTGGAGAGTCTGACTGCACAACTTGACACCCTCCGCCAAAGCCGCCCAGAGGAAGAGGCTGACGATGAGGCTATGTCTCCTGTTCCTATGGGTGACATGAATCAACGCATGCTTGAGTTGAACAGTTATCTCCGAAAAGAGAAGGAAATTTTGGAGATGCAGCATCACATCAAGACGGAAGAAGCCAAGAGGTTACAGCAGCAACTCGACCATGCTCGCGAAGAGCTCGATGGAATGCGGGTAGAACTCCAGCAAGAACGCGACCAATCTGGTGCTGGCGCAGCGTCTTCCACCGCCTACAACGATCTGATGGGCAAGCTTGCGGAACTCAACACGTATCGAGAGAGCACTACAACTCTCCGAAACGAGAACAACCGTTTGAACGATCTCGTAGCAGAAAAGACGAAGCGCGTTGAGGACATGGAGGCGAAGATCCAACCGCTCAATGCTCGGATTGCCACCTTGGAGGCACAGCAGACGTACCTTGAGGAGGAAATCAAGCAAGTCAAGGAAGACCGCGATCGATGGCAGAAACGTACTGAGAGCATCCTAACCCAGTATGGCCGCGTCGACCCTGCCGAGATGGATGGCTTGAAGGAGAAGGTGTCACAACTCGAGACTGAGAACACATCATTGAAGGAGCGCGAGCAGACTTTGGTGAACGAAAAGACCGAGTTGAGCGCTCAGGTACAGAAGGCGGAGGAGCAAAAGGCCGAGATGGATGCTCAGGTGAAGCAGGAGGAAGAGATTCGACGCGAGTGGAAGAAATCGCAAACTGATCGACTGAATAAAAAGGTCAAGGAGTTGAGAGAAGCAGATCAGAAGAAACTCGAGTCCACTCGAGAGGCTGAGCAGAAGGAGCTCCAGGAGGCCAAGGAGGCTAAGGAGGCCATCGAGAAAGAGCTCAGTGCATCGCAGCAGGAGACAGCAACACGGACACAAGAAAAGTCCAGCCTTGAGGAGCAGTTGCGGGGCCTACAAGAGCGGCTCGAGGCCATGGGGAGCGCTCGGGCTGAAAAGCCCTCTGAGGCAACTGCTTCATCAGCGATTGTTTCGCAATTGGAGCAGCAGCTCTCTGCAGCCAATGCTGAGCTCGAGTCTGTGAAGTCGGAGCTGTCCAACGCCCAGCAGGAACTCGACTCACTTAAGGCCCAGATGCAGACAGCGGTGTCCGAACGTGACGCTACCATTGAGCAGCTCAGGGCCGCCGCTTCCACGTCTCAAAGTACAGAAAATGTGGACGCAACTAAGGAAGTCCCGGCGACGGAGCCTGCAGCCAAGGCTGGTCTGTCAGACGAAGAGCGGAAACAATTGGAGGACAAGATAACTGCATTGGAGACCAGGGCGAAGGAGTTCGAGGAGAAAGCCAGTCAACTCGAGACACAGTCTCGCAGCGTGCAAGATGACTTGCACAAGCAGCTTGCTTCTTGGGAGAAGCAGGCCAAGGAGAAGGATATTGAGAATGTGAAGTTGAGGCAGGACATTGCCCTGGCAGCGATTAACAACCCGGAGCCAGCTGCCCCAGTGCCTGCGACACCACAATCGAACAACGCGCCCGCGAACAACGGGACCCCAGCACCAGCCACAGAGCCCAAGTCTGAGGATCAAGGCGACAAGGAGAAAGAGAAGGATGAGATTCCTGCTCTGGACGACCTGGCACCAGCATTCGCAGCCCTGGAGGAGAAGAAGCAGCGTAGTGTTCTGCTCCGCGATACTAGGGTCAAGTCGCTCTTCGCCAAGAATTTCGAGGCCAAGAGGCAGGCACTGGAGAAGGAAGCCAAGGAGACGGGCAAGAGGGAAGCGCGGGATGAGGCCAAGCAGCAAGCGGAGATGAAGTCTAAGGTACAGATCAACTTTGCCAAGAACCAGCTGACCCAGGCCAACGTCAAACTCGAGGTGGTCCGGAAGGCCGCTGAAGAGACTCCTCAGAAGCCGGTCGTTGAGATTTGGGAGGTTGCAAAGGTTGCCAAACCCCCGCCAGCGTCAGCTGCGAATGGAACTCCAGGGGTCGGCGGGGTTTCTGCTTCTCCCGCTGCAACACCGCAGAAACCAGGGGCTCCCCTGGGGAAACCTGCCCAGCAGACTCCAAAGGCATCACCGGTGCCATCTCAAGCTCAGGGTACCTCGACACCGGGCGGCGCACCAGCAGGCACTCCGTCGAATCTGCCTAAGAATCCGTTCGATGTCGTCAAGGGACCTGCCGCGAGTGTACCGGCGAATCCATTCTCAGCATCGACGTCGAGCCAGCCACCTACACAGGGCAACCAGCCGCCCAGGACAGGGATTCCTATGGTCCGGGGCGCCCGCGGTCGGGGAGGATACACCCACCCGAACCAGCGAGCTGCGAGCGGCACCCAGGAGTCTGGGATTCCCCAAGCCGGTCGTGGCGGACGAGGCGGTGGCGTCCCTAGGGGAGGCAGAGGAGGGCTGAATCCCGGCGCGCAAGACTTTCAATCGGGCACCAAACGTCCTAGAGGCGACTCTGACGCCGAAGGGGGGGCAAAGCGTGCACGAGGCGCTCACTAGACGCGAGGCCGCGTGAAACGCCAAAGCGACCAGCTCTGAGGGTTTGTAGAGTCTGAATGTATGAAAAGGGGACTGGAACGATGGTGACTTGCTGTAGGCAATGTCGGGGGTTGCGTTCTTCACAGCACAATGTGGAGTTGAGGTGGCAGGCTATACAAACAGCTTCGTCTATGGTACATTAGGCCGTTCATGTTCTTTTTCATTTGTCGTCAATAATTGTACAATGATACGGCTAATTTTACGCGGGTTCAAGCGGCATCATCGCCCTAATGCATTTGCTGGACAGTTAACTGTCACTTGATTGCGTTGAGTCTTGGGCATTTCTAATCTGGCGACTGATTGGTGATGGCGCCAGTCGTGCTCGTCGGACAGCGACTTGACCGAAGTTTTACACCCTCCAGTCCCAATCCACGATGCTCAGGCAACGCATAGTAATCCCATTTTCTTTCTGCTACAAGCTATCGCATGCAGCAAATGGCTCATCGGCTCTACTGAAGATCCATTATATGATCACCGTCGGTCGCCGACACCTATCACATCGTCACCATGTCTCGCGCTCTGATCATCACTGGTGCCACAGCCAGCCAAGGCGGCGCTGCCATTGACATCTTTTTATCGCAGACAAGGCGTCCGGTTTTCTGACATTGGCCGACACACAGTCACCAAGTGCCCAGCGCCTCCAAGCCAAGTCGCCTGCCGTTAAGCTTGTTCGCGGAGACGCCGCTGGGACCGTGCCCCTCTGAGGCCTCTATTCGGCTGTCGCGGTAAGGTTGTACTAATTGAATCGCGAAGACACGGCGCATATTTTCTATCAGAAAGCGAATCTTTGATTGATTTACCGATATCACAGCAAATGCATGTATGAAGGAGTCTCTTGACATTGACGCACTAAGACGGGTCCCACCATTGTGACCCACAAAAAAGTTCGACTGGTGATTTTCGCACACTCGAGCAGCTTGGGGTTTCTTCACATACAAAACTGCGGCCGCAATTCCACTCTGTGACCACGCGACAGGCCTGCAGGAGACACTCATGGGTCCTCAAACGAAGAAGCGCAAGCTTCAATCTTCCGCCCCTGCGACTTCGAATGCATCAAAGCGTCCGAAGAACGCCAAACGCCACCCAAAGTCGAAACCTGCGCCGCCGCCTCGTCGCGCTGTCGACCCCTCTGCGCTCGCATGGCAGACTGTGGACGAGGACGAGTTTGGCGGTCTCCAGGTCATTGAGAATGTCGAGGTGGTGAATAAGGATGGAAAGCTCCAGTTCTTGATTGGCGACTCGAAGCGCAAGACCGAGGCCTCGCCCAACTCAAAGTCCAAAGCAGCCTCCGCATCAAGCGACAAGCCGGCAGTGGCAGCGACAACCAACGACGATGCCGAAGACCAATCTTTTGAGGGCTTTGGCGACGAAGCTATGGAGGGTCAAGATGAGCATTCCGGCGAAACTGGGGATCCTGAGGATGGGTTGGCGGATCAGAATTCTGATGAACAGCCGAAGAAAAAGAAGAAGAAGGAGACCAAGGGCAAGACGCACACGGACGACGAGCAGCTGGCGTCGTCCAAGAAAGGCAACGTCTTCAGCGCATTGGTCGATGGCGAGGAACCCGAGGTCTCAGAAGAAGAGGACGAGGTCGTGGGCGTCAGCACCAAGGCCTGGGAGAAGATGAACTTGAGCCCCGAAACCCTGACTGCGCTGTCGAAGCTAGGATTCGCGAAACCGACAAGCATCCAGGAACGGAGCATTCCCGAGGTTATTAAGGGCGCAGATGTCATCGGCAAGGCCCAGACCGGTTCAGGAAAGACACTGGCGTTCGGCATCCCCATAGTCGAGAAGTGGCTGAAGCAAGAGTCTAAGCAGGGACCAATGGCGCTGGTGCTCAGTCCAACGAGAGAGTTGGCGAAGCAGATTGGGGACCACATCAAAGCGCTGTGCGATGGATTGCCCGAGGCGAAGCCCTTTGTCTGTGTCATCACCGGTGGTCTGAGCATCCAAAAACAACAGCGCCAACTGGCCAAGGCAGACATTGTCATTGGCACGCCCGGACGACTCTGGGAAGTGATGGAAGGCGATGCGAAGCTACAGGACACACTTACCAGGATCTCGTTTCTCGTGGTCGACGAAGCCGATCGACTCTTCAAGGCCGGACAATTCAAAGAGGCCGAGGACATTATCGGCGCGCTCGACCGCAGAGACCCGGAAGCTGCCTCCGACGACGAGAGCGAGGACGATGACGAGGATGACCCAGCGACGCCGCGACAGACATTGGTCTTCTCGGCGACATTCGACAAGGACCTCCAGAGCAAGCTGGCCGGCAAGAAACTAGGGAAGAAGAGAGAAGGCGATGATCAGATGGAGTATCTCATGAAGTCCCTCAAGTTCCGATCGACACCCTCCTTCATCGACGCCAACCCTGTCCGCCAAATGGCCGAGGGCCTCAAAGAGGGTCTGGTCGAGTGCGGCGCCATGGAGAAGGATCTCTACCTCTACACCGTCCTGCTGCTGAATCCCAAGAAACGCACCCTGGTGTTCACCAACTCCATCTCCGCCGTCAGGCGACTCACCCCCTTCCTCGTGAACCTGCAGCAGAACGCCCTCCCGCTGCACTCGCAGATGCCCCAGAAAGCTCGTCTCCGCTCGCTGGAGCGCTTCACCGAGGCCAAGAAGCCCTCCATCCTCGTGGCCACCGACGTGGCGGCCCGTGGTCTCGACATCCCCGAGGTGGACACCGTCCTCCACTACCACGTGCCCCGCGCGGCAGACACTTATGTCCATCGATCCGGCCGTACCGCCCGTGGCGAGCGCAACGGCGTGTCCGTTCTCCTGTGTGCCCCCGACGAGGTCCTGCCCACGCGCCGTCTCGCGGGCAAAGTCCACGCCAAGGCGTCCCGTGAGCACGTCATCCAGACCCTCCCGATTGATCGCAAGCTCGCATCACGTCTCAAGTCTCGGGTGGCGCCGGCCAAACAGCTGGCGGACGCCACGCTTGCGAAGGAGAAGGCGAGGAGCAACGACTCCTTTATGAAGAATGCGGCCGAGGATCTCGGCGTCGAGTATGACGAGGACGACTTGCCCGAGATGGGCTACTCAGGTCGGGGCGGAGGCAGGAAGAAGAAGGAGGCTACGGCGCGGGAGATGACGAAGCAGGAGATGGGCATACTGCGGGCCAAGCTACGGGAGGACCTGGCCCAGAGGGTGAATCTCGGCGTGAGCGAACGCTACATCACAGGCGGGCGGGTGGATGTCGCGGCTTTGCTTCGCGAGAGAGAGAAGGGAGAGGGCGGAATTTTCCTGGGCGGTGAGGGCCTAGGACTTGGGTTCGCCTAGGATATGAGATGATGCATGCACAATTCTATTATTATAATTCCCTTTCCTCTGCTGAGTGTCCCCCATCCGTGGACAGTAACGAAATGCCACTCCACGACCCCCCGTTAGCATTTTCGAGCATTTGGTAATACGCCTCCCTGCGTGAGATCGAGTGTCGCGCGGACAAGGCTGAGGTGAAGGATCTTTGGGTGTCCTGCGAATCGCCCTGGCCTTCGTCATCATCAAACGTGTCGTCGTATGCTCGTTTCGCTGAATTGTGGCGTTTAGGTGATGAGAGAACAAGACTGGTTTCGCGGCCATCAGCCCTCGGATCGTCACATTGTCCTCTATGTGTCTCGGGCGAGACAACATCGGAGTCGAGTGTCAGGTCAATCACCTGAGTGACAGGTTGGGGGAATGGCAGACTCTTCGACCCTGCATCACTCCAGAATCCGCGAGGCGGTGCTTGCGTGCCGGACCTTGGACTGATGAGTCGGACTGTTTGACGGTCGTCATCTACGGTTGGCACGTTTGTTAAATTGTCTTGGAGCTTATGTAAAGGATCCAAGTTCGATGCAGGCCGCGGCGGCGAGGATAGCCCGTGCTGCTGCGAGTCTGTTCTCTGCGTGCTCGAGTGCCGGAAATCGCGTCCGAATTCTGCCTCTTTGGCTATCCGGACCTCTTCCATCATGATATCATGTGAGAATTCGTTGCTAGAGCAATATTCACCGAAAAGATGCGATATGGATATCTCTGTGCAACGTTAGCTGATTGGGAATCATCGGGGAGCACCGCGGCATGCACCTTCTTTCAACCATCCATCCTCGTCCACGGTACATGGCCAGACATCTCTCGGCTTGAATATCTGCAAGAGATCACAGAGCTCTGGGTACGAAGAATGGCGCGAGTAAGGGAATGTGATGGTCTTTGGCAGTTTTGTGGCAGGTTTGCTCAGATCGTCCGCGACAACAGTTGTCTCAGACATATCCTTGGATCTCTCCAGAATTGCCTGGCACACTTTTCCCATCTCTGCTGTATTTTTTCCCTCGTCAAAAGCCGTGATGAGATCAAGTAGCAGCGTGTGTCCATGGACCGCGAGTTGCTCTATGAGCTTGCCAATGCCCTGTCTAGCTTCTTCCACGAGATTTGCGCTTTCGTACAGACTGTATTGTGTTAGCGCGGCCTTGCAGGGATCTTCAGGACCAAAAACCTCTTGAGAAATGTTGGCCAGTCCCCCTGCGCAATCTCGGTCTCCTTGACAAGGTCGTCCCCTCCACCGCCGACGCCAATCTCCACGAGGCCTGTCCCATCGCTTAAGTTCGCAACTATGGGTACAATCCGTACAACATTGGGTCTCTTTGCTGCATCGCACATATTGCCCTTCTCGCAGCTGTGCAGTCGCACGCGGCTCGAGGCCGAAGACGTCAAACAGCCAGCATGGGCCTTGTTGGCGCACTTGAAGCCTACAAGAGCCGGAGCCTCAGGGCAAATCGGGTTGGAATACTCGGAGAGTTCGTTCGCTCGCAAAGAACTGTATACTTTCAGTTTGTAGTCGTCGACATGTATCTTTCCGTCATCGTTAGTGAGGCCCGAGCTGGACGAGGGCGCAAACATACCTGAGACTTCAGTGCCTTGGACAAAGCGATCCAGACATCTTCATATCCATATGTCCAAGCTTGAAAGTGGAAGATGGTATCCTCGGGATACTGTGCTACTTTCCGCAGTAATTCAGCGATGCCCTCCGCCTTGGTTTGGAATGGCACATTCTTGGTGAAGCTCGTGTCGAGATATACTTTATCGAGAGTCTTGAGGCCATGTGTAAATTCAACTACATTGGGGTTGTGCGACAGGCTATTCACGAACCAAGGCTCGCTTCGAATATCGCCGGTATATAGGATCGCGCTCCCATCACCCTCGATCACTAACACAAGTCAGCTCTACAAACACGTTCAAGGGGCGATAACGAACAGAACATCACAGCACCAGGGCAGTGATTGGCATCCAACAAGGTCACCTGTATCTGGTAGCCAGGCCGCAACTCCAAGCATGTTGGCGTGTCAAGGGGTAGAGGCTTCTGTACATTTGTCAACACAGCTGGGGGACATAAACTGCCGGGGCAGTGACCCACAAGAATAGACTGTTGCTTTCTGTAGGTCTGCTTCCACCTCTCGATGATACCTTGGGCGAAATTGATCCGACATGGATATTTCACCAACTGCAGCAATATTTCCCGCGTGGCTGCTGAGCAATATACACTATGGAGACAATGTGAGCCTGTCGTTCTCAAAGGAAGCTTGGCAACTCACAAGGGTGACAAGAGCATGTCAAGGCCTGCCAGGTGATCGCTATGGACGTGGCTAAGGAAGCATGCCAACGGGGGTCTTTGGCCGGGAGTCGGCCTAAAGAAATCGACTACGGACCCATGTCAGCGCACATTCAGGCAGAATAAAACCTGGGGAAGGGAGCATACTCCGTATGTCCGGAAATTCGGACACTATTCCCTTGAAGGTCGACATGTCACCATCACATGCCACACGCCCATGACATGGGAATGCAGAACCTGGAGGTATGGTAAAGTGCTAACAGCCCAAAGGATAGCACAACCATGTGGCGTGGTGCATGGCAAGCCCGCTTCTATATGGTACGTATGCGCGCAGCGGGTAATAAGGATGCAGACGTGATGTTGGGGTTGATGTTGGATTGAGGCAGGTTCGGGTTCGGCGGCATGTACCGGTGGACGTGCAGATATGCAGATATTCGCACGGTGCTCCAGTGGCTTCTGCACACAGAAAGGCGCCCAACGCTGCGGACTGGGTGCAAGCCACACAGTGCAGATTGGTACTAGTGGGATATGCGCACTGTCATCCATCTCAGAGTCGCGTGTGAAAACCAGCGCCCTCGCAATTTGTTCCACCAACACCCAAAACCCTGCACACCATCAGTCTAATCTACCACGGCGCTTAGCAGGTTGGCCTCTGAGGTTCTAGGTCTTCGTTGTGATCACGAGCAGCTGTGTCTTGCAATATTGGACTCGCGAGTCGCGACCCACGTGCCACGGCTCACCCGACATCTTTCCAAGGACGTCGACGCGGCTAGAGTCGCTAGGCGAGACAGCCATGTCGGACCCGGAAGCTTGGCGGCCGAAACTGGTTGCGAACTCTGATATCTCTCCGTCAATAGCGTTACGGGAGGACGATCATTGCTAAACTTGTATGATAATTGGAGGGGGACTCAGGTGAGGACCCTCTTCGTTGCCTGGAACAGATGGCCGGGGATTTTGAACCTTGCTGATAACATCGGGGCTCAGTTTTGTCAAAGTTTCAAACACTCTGAATGAAACGAATCCGCAACGCACACAGGTCATCCTGCAAACAACCGACTCTGGCGACACTTTGTACAGGGATTCATCTTGCTCTTTTCTGCCCCGTCACTTCAGTGTCTCCAACCAAACGACGACGCGTCCGGTACAAAACGACCGGAAGCTGATGGCATGATTGTAAGTTGCAGAGACCCGGAGCTCGACGACCATTAGCTACGGACGGAAACAAACCCCATTGATAATACTATGGAGGAACCGCGGGGCGAAGACCCGCGGAGGGACTTTTCTCGGTAGTGTTTGTTCATTTCGTGATCGACTGGGATGCCGATAGAGTTGTTTCGAATTCAACCCGGAGCGTTACTCCCGTTGCCTCTTTTGGAAGCACACGACAACGACCAACCGATGTGGCCGCCCGATCCGGAAGTTGTCGAGGTCGTTCTGATGGAATCTCCTGGAAAAGACCTCGATGACAGATGCTAGACAAGCCAAGCATCAACTTGGGCTAACTATTTGCCATCTCGCCTGCGAGGAACCAGGTGTATGGAGTACGGCGCAACAGCAAGGAGAGCCGCGAAACAAACGTATCCGGCGAGACATGTTTCACCAAATGCATGATGCGGAGGGTCTATTCTCCGAGGCATGTTCCCCAGAAATGTCAATGCAAGGCGCCTCCCGCTAGGCCGCTGGCTAGGGACGAGGCCCGGATCCCCTTCCTGCGCTGCAGCGTTCCAACATGGCACGGACGCGGTATGAATCTCGACCACCAACGCCTTGAGGCCATCCTATCAGGAAACCGGCATTGCAGAACATCCTGCCCGTCGCTGTTCCAAGTTAAGCAGCTTCGTCTACTCGACCTTGGCAAATGCCTGTTTTGTATTCCTGAGAGAAGTATATGAGCTTGGGGTCACCCTGTTGCTTTGTCCATGTTTCGTTTCCAAGCATCCCTCCTTTTGCTACATTCGCCGCCATGTGGTCCCTCAAGGCTACGGCTCTTCTGGCGCTTGCGCCCTTCGCCCAGCTGGTATTGGCTCAGGGTCCCACCCCTACCACTTACGAGGACCCCGATACCGGTATCATCTTCGACACATGGCAGGGTACTGGGGCGGACATCACCTTTGGTGTTGCCCTGCCTCCGGACGCGCTGGACGTGGACGCTACTGAGTTGATTGGTTACCTGGTGAGCAATGCGATCTCCCTGGGTACGAGCAAGACTGACAACTCTTTCAGAAATGTGGAGGCTCGGGCTGGTGTGGCCTGTCGTTCAACGGCATCATGACAAACAGTCTTCTGCTGGCGGCGTACCCCCACGACGGCGAGGTCCTCACTGCCCTCATGTGGGCGACCGGTTACGAGATGCCCGATACCTACGCCGGTGATGCAGAGATCACCCAAATCAGGTCTAGCATCACCGATGATGGGTTCGAGCTCATCTACCGCTGCCAGGGCTGCTTGGCCTGGGACCACAATGGTGCCACTGGCAAGGCCGTCACCAGCACTGGTGGCATGATGCTCGGATGGGCCCTGGGCGCCGATTCTCCCACCAACCTTGAATGCCCCCAGAACATGGTGGTCGTCCAGCACGAAAGCCAGTGGATCTTCCGTGGCACCCTGACCGAGAACGCCGTCGACGAGGCTTACGAGGAGTGGGCTGCTTTGGCCACGAACGTCGTGGAGGGCGACTGCGGTGGCGGCTCGGACCCGGACCCGACCACCACCACGGCCCTTCCCACTGGCACGGGCATTCCGGTGCCCACTGACGCGTCCTACGACTACATTGTTGTCGGCGGCGGTGCCGGCGGTCTCCCCATGGCCGACAGGCTCAGCGAGGCTGGCCACAAGGTCCTGCTGATCGAGAAAGGTCCCGTCTCGACCGGCGAGTGGGGTGGTGAGAGGAAGCCCGAGTGGCTCGAGGGCACCGACCTCACACGCTTCGACGTGCCCGGTCTCTGCAACCAGATTTGGGCGGACTCTTCCGGCATTGCTTGCCGTGACACCGACCAGATGGCGGGCTGCCTGCTGGGCGGCGGCACGGCCATCAACGCCGGTCTATTTTGGAGGCCCAAGGCCGCTGACTGGAACTACAACTTCCCCGAAGGCTGGAAGGCCGACGACTTGGCGGCAGCCGAGGAGCGAGTCTTCAGCCGCATCCCCGGTAACCGCTTCCCTTCGACCGACGGCGAGCGCTACCTCGACCAGGGCTTCCAGGTGGTCTCGGGTGCCCTGTCCGAGGCTGGCTGGACGGAGGTCAACTTCTTGGAGGAGCCCAACGAGAAAAAGCAAACTTTTGGCCACGGCCCGTTCATGTTCAACGAGAATGCCGAGCGCGGCGGACCCCTCGACACCTACCTAAAGACGGCGGCGTCCCGCAGCAACTTTGACATGTGGACCAACACGCAGGTCAAGCGTGTCAACCGGGAGCGTGGCCACGCCACCAGCGTCGAGGTGACCAACTACAACGGCGATGGGTATGAGGGCACGGTCAGCTTGACCGAGGGCACGGGTCGCGTCATCCTCTCCGCTGGCACCTTTGGATCCGCGAAGCTGTTGATGCGCAGTGGCATCGGTCCTCAGGATCAGCTTGAGGTTGTGGCTGCCTCGGCCGATGGGCCAGACATGATTGACGAGTCGGAGTGGATCAAGCTGCCCGTGGGCTACAACCTGGAGGACCACACCAACACCGACACGGTCATCGCGCACCCCGACGTCGTGTTTTACGACTTTTACGAGGCGTACGACGACCCAATCCCCGCGGACCGCGATGCCTACCTCGACGAGCGGACCGGTATCCTCACGCAGGCAGCGCCCAACATTGGGCCCGTCTTCTTTGACGAGATCACCGGGTCCGACGGCATCACCCGCTCTCTCCAGTGGACAGCCCGCGTGGAACCGTCGCTGGGCCACACCAATCTGACGGCCATCACCATGTCCCAGTACCTCGGCCGTGGCGCCGTCTCCCGGGGCCGCATGACCATCACGTCGGCCCTGAACACCGTCGTCTCGGACGTGCCGTACCTCAAGAACCAGCAGGATGTGGAGGCGGTGATCAAGGGCATTGAGAACCTCCAGGAGGCCATGGCGGGCTACGAGGGCATCGAGTGGCTCTCGCCCAGCCCCGACGAGACGGCGCGCGAGTTCGTCGAGAACATGGCCGTGTCGCCATCCAACCGCCGTGCCAACCACTGGATCGGCACCAACAAGATGGGCAAGCTCGACGGGCGCCAAAACAATGGAGACGCCGTCGTGGACCTGAACGCCCGGGTCTGGGGCACGGACAACATCTTTGTCGTCGACGCGTCCATCTTCCCCGGCATGATCACGCCCAACCCGACGGCCTACATTCTCACCGTGGCCGAGCACGCCTCGGAGAGGATCCTGGCCTTGGATCCGGCCACGCCTGGCAGCAAGTACGCGCAGTGCGGTGGCCAGACGTGGACGGGCAGCTACCAGTGCAAAGAGGGGCTAACCTGCACCAAGGTCGACAACTACTACTCGCAGTGCCTGTAGGGGAGTTTCTTTTTTGAATGTGAATTTTGAGTATATATTTGTCTACAGACGTACATTTTGGTCTTATTCTAAACAGCCGTGCAATGCGTAAGTGAGATAGTGGTACCAACCGGGCCTTTTGTAAAGCAATCACGGCCTCGACGAGGTTATAAGTGGAGATTTCGCCCATAATAAAGTAATGGACCAACTCATGCTCTGCGCCATCTCTTCTCCAACCTCGAACAGACAGCCCTCGAGAACATAGGGACTGGTGAAACAAGCATGGCACTATCCATCTGCAACACTTCGCATGTTCCCGAGGGTCTGCTTGACCTGTTGGAGTCGTATTTGCCCAACTCGCTGCCCCTCCTGCGGCGGTTGCAGTTCGCGCAGCACGAGGGACGCATCACACCCACCGCCCGCATCCTCTTCATACACAATGGTCCGCCGAGACAGCCCCAGTACTTGACTGCTGCGTACGTCGACCTCGCGGGTGGACCGGAAACGCAGATGTGGCTCTTTTCCACCTTGGAGGTCCAGCCTGCAGCAGTCGACGTCCACACGGCGCAGCTGCGGGCTCTCGTCGGGGAGATGATTGAGATGAACAAGTCCCATGGCAAGGAGCTGTGGCACGAGGAGGGCGTGCTGCTGGGTACGTGCGAGACGGGCGTCAGGAGGGTATTGACGGGCATGAAGAGGCTGAGGACGCGGGAGACGGGGTTTTATGACAAGTGGCTCTTCCAACAGCAGCATCTACCGACGCAGAGGGACATTCTAGGGGCAAAGGGGGCGGAGAGGAGGGAAGATGGGCTGGAGGAGGGGATGAGGTGGGACGTCGCGAGTCTGGAGGACTGCGAGATTGTGGTGACTCGGACAGATATCCCACGGACAGCGTATGGTTCTTTTGTCTGGACTTTTGAAAGTATGGCTGACCGTAGTTCCATACATAGGCCCATGCTGGCAACACTGCCAAGTCTGGTGATCCGTCTGGATGAGGGTAGGCCGATTGCGTGGGCCTTTCTCGGGCACGACGGGTCGTTGATCAGTCTTCACTGCGAGGTAAGTCAAGCCGTGGAGGAGGGTGTGTTTTGCATGATGTAGCGAGGTTTTTTATGCTCACTTTGGATCTCTGCAGGAGGACTTCCGCAGAAGAGGCTTGGCCAAGCTGCTGGCTGCGAGGCTGATGAGACAAGGTCCGGGGGATTTTGTACGCGACGGATGGTGCTCGGCAGACGTGTCGGCCTCGAACGAGGGAAGTAGAGCCATGTGTAGAAGTCTTGGGGGGAGACGTGATTGGGAGGTTTCTTGGTCAGTTTGATGTTTTTGAAGTGTGGCGTACAGGTGCTGACTTTGGGACACAGGGTCTACATTGACGTTGCAGAAGATGGTGTTAGCCACAATGGTTATGCATGAAGACGCAGAGACACGGACGGGTGGGCAATCAAACAAGAAGACAAGACAGTAAGGCTGATTCTCAGAACAGACTGAAGCGCGTTGATGAAGTCTCAGTCTAGGGTAGGCGAATACAACGACGCCGGACGTGACCTCCGGGTGCGACGGGTGGGAAGCTCCTCGATCATCGATGTCTCTTCGTCTCTCCGAAGCGCTGCCCCTCCCGATCTTCGAAAACTCGTCCCTCCAGTGAGCCCAGTCTAAATCTCCACCGGAGACACGGTCACGTCACTTTGGAAGCATTTGCGCAGCATTCTGACAAGACAGCATAGCGACGTCAGAGTCCGTCAGACCTCGATTGACGTCAATGACGGAAACAATGGGCTCTATAACAGAGACCAGAACGCATCACCATGCGTCCTCGACTCACTAATCACTCGACCCTCATCACACACCGCCCAACATGACGACGCCCCTCAGACCATTCTACCAGCTCAAGTGCGGCTGCAACTCGTACCCATGGGGCAAGCAGGGCAAGTCCTCGCTGTCGGGCCACCTCTGCGCCCAGACACCCGGCTACGCGCCCGACGACAATGCGCCCAAGACGCCCTTCCAGGCCAAGGAGGACGAGGCGTACGCGGAGATGTGGATGGGCACCTATCCGACCCTGCCGTCGTACGTGGCCGACACGGACGAGAAGCTGCAGGCGGTGCTGGACCGCCACCCCAACGAGCTGCTCGGCAAGGCGGTCGTGGACAAGTTTGGCCACACCCAGCTGCCCTTTCTGCCCAAGATCCTCAGCATCTCCAAGGCGCTGCCGCTGCAGATCCACCCGAACAAGGAGTTCTCGACCAAGATGCACAACGAGAACCCGGACGCCTTTGGCGACCCGAACCACAAGCCCGAGATCGCCCTGGCGCTGACCGAGTTTGAGGCGTTTGTCGGTTTCAAGCCCCTGGACGCCGTGGCGTCCCTGCTCGATCTTCCGGAGCTGGCGCACCTGCGCACCTCGGGCAACGCGTCCCGCTCCGCCTTCACCAACGAGGACCTCCGCGCCGTCGTGCGCGACATCCTCAACGCCTCCCCCGAGACGTGCCGCGACACGTACAAGGTCATCACCAGCATGCCGTCGGGCGCCTGTGCGGGTCCCCACAACGGGCACGTCCAGAAGCTCGCGCCGCGCCTGGCGGACCAGTACTCGTCCGCCGACCCCGGTCTGCTCGTCGCCCTGCTGACCATGAACTACCTCGTCCTCCAGCCCGGCGAGGCCGTCTACATCCCCGCCGACGGCATCCACGCGTACCTGTCGGGGGACATTGTCGAGTGCATGGCGCGCAGCGACAATGTGCTCAACACGGGCTTCTGCCCGCGCGCGGAGCGGGACAATATCGAGCAGTTCTGCTCCTTGCTCACATTCACCCCGCATGACAAGATGCAGTGCATGCTGCCGGCCACAAGGTACTGGCGCAGCGAGAAGGGACGGACGCGGGCGTACGCGCCCCCGCTGAGCGAGTTCAACGTGCTGGCCACGACGCTGGGCAAGGACGAGGACGAGGTGCTGGGCAAGGGCGGCGCCGGCATCGTCATCGCGACGAGGGGCAGTGGGCGGGTGCACGTGGATGACCGGGATGGCTTTGATCTCAAGGAGGGTCACGTCTACTTTGTGGGCCAGGGCGTGAAGCTGAGCATCAAGGCGGGCGGTGATGGGCTCACGATGCACACGGCGTATGTAGAGTAGATAGACTGGGGTATCAATTAAGAGAAATTAAGTAGGTGTATTATGTTGGTCATTATCATCAGGGGGAGGGGGTATCAGTCACCCGTCCGCTATCATCTATTCCTCCAGAATGGCAAAGTCCCACCCGGCCCTGACCTCTTGGCTCTCGCCCAGGTCGGTCTTGAGGTAGCATCGGTGATTGTCTCGGTAGTTGTCGCCCTCTTGCGCGCCCCATGCGCAGGCCGTGCACCCGTCGAAGCCGGCGCAGTTGACCATGCAGTCCTGCATGGAGGCCGTCCAGACGGTGGCGAGGTCGGTGGTGCCCTGTTGCGCGCGGTAGTCGATGCCGCAGAAGCGACGAAACGTCTTGGGTGAGTTGGGAACGGCAAAGGTGGTGTCGTTGGCGGCAGGGCATGCCTCGCTCGCCTCGTCGCTGTTTGCGGAGGTGGCTGTCGGCACGAGGATGGTCGTGGCAGACGCACCGCCCTCGGCATCGGTGGCAGCCGGCATAGTCTGTGTTGCGGACGCGCTGAGCGTATGGTCAGTACGTGATGCCTTTGACACTCTGGGGAGAGACTCACCCGTCCGAGCCACCAGAGTCGTGGCTACTGCTGCTGTCTGGTTTCGCAGAGAGCCCAACGCCGAGGCCAATGGCGACCGCAAGCAACAGCCCAATGGCGACGCCCACAGCGATCCAGAAGAACTTCTTCGTCAGGCCGCATGTCCTGTCCGACTGCGGTATCGGCGCTTGCGGCGCGACGTGATCCCATCGGTAGTCGTAGCCCCCAGGACCGCCATCCCGCGACCCTGCGCTCATCATGGTCTGCAGACCGAGGGGCGCCGGCCCTTTGAGCGACGGGTAGCCTATGGAGAAGCTGTTCTTGCTACCGCCGCCGTACGACGGCGAGGGGGGCGGCGTGACGTCGTTGTAGAATGTCTGCTCCTGCGGGCGCGACTGGTCGAGCGATTGCTTGTCGTTCCAGAACACCGCTGGCTGGGGCTTGGCGATGGAGGCGCCATTCGTCGTGATGACGGCGGACGACTGGTGCGCGGCCTGCTCTCGCAGGCTGGAGCCGCTCGGGGCGGGCTTGAGATCCGGTCGGTTGGACAGGCTTCCATGTCGCTGGTGCGGCTGCTGGACGACGCCGCCACTGGTGCCGCGCGCTTGATGATGGCTGCCTCCGTGTCCCGTGCCGCCGCCGCCGCCGCCGGCGGTGTTGTTCATGTTGTTGGTGAGACTGCGTCCCGAGACATGGCCGGCGTGTGCGCCCCCGCCAGCCGTTCTGTCCATGGACTGGACTGGACTGGACTGGACTGCCTCGCCTGTCTCGCCTGTCTTGGGAGTTGGAGTCGAGAGAGCGAAACGCGCCGCAGCGCGCAAGTCTTTGCTTTTCGTCCTTGGTTCAGCCTAGGACGATTGATCGGTGTCGACGGTGCGAAGAAGAAGCTCAGTCAGGAGGAGCAGCTGCAGACGAGAGAGATCGATCAGCGAGCGGGCGAGCGGGCGAGCCATCAGAGTCAAGGGGGCCCCCCTGTCAACGCTGTAGACTAATTTGAAATTTCCCACACCGACGGCGGACCTGGAAGACTCAAGTCCCACGTGGAAGAGGGACGATCTACAGATACTAGTCTAGTAGTGCTCAATGCTTCCAGTCAGGAATCAGTCCCTTGATTCCATCTATCAAATCGCTCGGAAGGAGGACGCGACCAGCCATGGGGGGAGGGGTGGGTGTCTCATGTACACTCGTGGACGATGCGAGCTAGATAGGAGGGGAGAGCGCTGATGGTCAGTCAGTCAAAGCTGCGGTGCCAAGGCACCTCGTACCTGAATTGGTGCCCTGGGGCCTGGAATTACATGCTGACGCTATCGACGAAAACTGCCCAGTCCGTCGCCAAGAAACGGTGGAGTGGGCGGGCCAAGACATGGATCATGGCCTATCCGTACATGTACGTATCCGTATGCGCGTAGTTGTCCAACTCGCATTCTTCCCCCCCTGTGCACGTAATTACTACTATCATCTTCATGCCACCACCTCACAGCCTCGAGCTCGCGAGTGGCAGGTCGTCCGGCACAGGGACATGCACGGCCCTGATAAACTCGGCGAAGCCCTTGCCTAGACAGTCCACCCGCGCCGTGCTGCTCACGCCCCGGCCCAGGATCCCGTACACGACAAAGTGCACCGCAAAAATGTCGGGAAACTCGACGCGCTCCATCCAGTACCAGTCGCGCCAGTCCTTGCCCATCATTGTCCGGAGCCGGTCGCGCGTCATGAAGCTGCGCAGCCAGTCCCACTGGGGACGCGTCTGCACAAAGACGCCCAGGTTGATGTTGGCCCCCTTGTCGCCTGATCGAGCGAGGGCCACGTCTCCGAGCGGGCGCATCGTGAAGGGTGCGGCGGCCTCTGTCGAGATGGGCGACGTCGTCTCGTAGCTTGACCGTGGGCCCAGGGGCTCTGTCTCCTTGGGTGGACCGACAGAGTGTCTGGACTCGTTGACCAGCGTGACAGCCTCGTCAATCTCCTTCTGCTCCACCAGTGCTGGCAGGTAGCCCAGGAATGGCTTTGGCTGCACCGTGCGCATGTCCAGCGAGCAGTGCATGCCTTGAGCACAAGATGGATGTGATCAGCCTCGCGGCGCAACGACGGTGGTGGGCGCAGGGGCTGACTTACCAGGGAAATGGGTCATGAACCGCGCATTCCACGCCATGGCCGCCTTTTGCACGGCGAGCAACTCCTTGGCCTGGATGAAGATCCGCATGTACGTGGTGCTGGCCAGCTGCGAGTCCGGGTTCGCCATCGGGACGCCCATCCTCTGAAACTCCAGCACGTCCAGCTCGCCCAGCACCCCCGTCCTCTCCAACGCCGCGCGCAGCTGGGCCTCCTCGACGTCCCACTTGTGCTGCGTCGCATACCCGGACGCGTTGACCAGAATCTCGCTCTGGAACCCCCCGCGGTAGAACACGGCGAGCTTGGTCGTGGGCGGCGGCGGACGCCCTCGGATCCCGGACACGCGGACCCGATCCTTGGCCTCCTGCGTGACGCGGACCTGCCCAACGTCGGCCTTGACGTCGCTGTTGAGGTAGACGTCCCCCTGGAGCTCGTACAGGAACTGGCACTTGACCGTGTCGGCGGTGACGAAGCCGCCCAGCGCCTCGTGCTTGGTCACGACGCAGCCGCCGTCCGCTCCCATCTCGACAATGGGCAAGCCGAGACGGAGAAAGGCCTCGACGGGATAGTCGTGCGCGCCCGAAAAGTTGCCGCCGGTGACATAGGTCGAGCACTCGATGAGATGGCCCCCGACGAGCGCGCTCGCCAGCTCGTCCCACTGCTCCTCCCGCCAGCCATGCCACCACGCGGCGGCGGCGATGACGGGCGATGCGTCGGCCACGCGTCCGCAGACGACAATGTCCGCGCCGAGATCGAGGCCTCTTTTGATGGCCCGGTAGCCGAGGTAGGCATTGGCGGACACGATAGGCATGGTGTCCGGGTGGTCGAGGAACTCGAGCGTGGCCTTGTCGAGCTGAATGTCCGCATTGGGGGAGTCGAGATGGGGTAGTTTCTCGAGGAGCGACTGGATCTTGGGCATGAGGTCGTCGCCCTCGACGTAGGCGACCTGGAGCGGGAGTTTCTTGTCTCGCGCCTGGCATGCATGTCAGTGGACATTGTATGGCAGGGCTAGAGTGAAACGTGGGGGAGAGAGGGTAGTACCATCTGGTCAACCTTGAGAGCCAAGCCTCGCGGGTCGATGCATCCCCCGTTGACGACGACCTTGATCTTCTTCTGATGGATGATGTCCAGGGACATTTCGAGACCCTCGAGGGCCGTGGGGATCCAGCCTGGCCGGTCGTTGGAAGCAGCCGCCACGGCTGTGTCGCCCATGTTGGCCTCTTGCTCGCGTCAGACCCTTTGTGCTGTTGTCTGGATTGGCCTTTCCGACATACCTGCCAAGTAGTCACCCGTGATCACATCGACTGGCCCGTATTTGGCCTGGTTGTACATGTGGACGCCAGGGTCTGTCAGGGCGCCTGAGCAATTGGCGATGCGAACAGGGCGTTTCAAATTGACGGGCATGATTGGCTTATTGGGGCTCTAGTCCAATACAATAGATTTACAATTGAAGAATTCAGAGAGCTGGATTTTACAAGCGACTGAATCACTCAACCAAGACGTTACGTGTTGAGGGTGACTTATACGTACATGATGAAAATCCCCAGAACTGGACTGTGGGGTTTGCGGGGGAGACGGTAGAGTCGAGCCTCGGCCGAGGCATCATCTGCTTCATGTTTGCTGCTGTGCTACGCGTCTGGGCAGACCCGTACGCTGAATCTTTAGCAATCCCGACATGGAAGAGGGAGCCGGTGTTGGAAAGGCCCATCCTCTGTGAGCTCCTCATTAGGGCTCTTCATTTCTTTTTTCCAGCGTATCGCTGCAGCTGAGACTTGGATCCCATTGCTCTGTTAGGCGCATCGAAAGTTCGGGAAGACCAGGCCATTTCTGGGTGCCTTTCGTGAATCATTTACCTACATCTTGGTGCGAACTTGACCTGAATATAATTGAACATGCCGTAAGCCTCTTGCCAGCGGCTCTCTCGTCCTGGCGGACAAGGTCGACGGCACGAGCTAGGCATTGATGCCACCCACGCCCCATGTGGGATGCAGGAGACTAGCTCAAGCCAAACTCCCCACAAGGCAAACAGCATGCCACCAACCTCGTCATCTCGGGTGGTATCCAGTCAGAAACTTGGCAATCTTGGCACCTCGCGCTTCCATGGTGGCTGGATACTCCATCACACCCCTGAGCATGTTCAACATGGCTCGCTCACTGGGCAGCAAGGTGGCGCCGTCGAGAAACTTTAGGGCGTCCATACTGGTTCTTGGTAAGCGTGAACGGCGAAAAGTAGAGTGCTGGAGGGTGAGGTGAGAGAAGAAGAGAAAGTCAAGTTCGAGATGCTCTATGCCGATTGCTAATCCTGTTTGGCCTTGCACTCTGTCTATGAGGACTTGTCTGCCTTGTGTTTTGTCTCGTCTCCCTTTTCGAGAGGCTGAGCCAGAGTCCGACGAGAGCCTGAGCAACAGCGGCACTGCTGATTAACCAGGCCAGGACACAGGTTATCCGAGTGTCGTGGTCGACTGCCTAGGTAGTTTGCATGTATTGGGAAACACTGTCCAGGCAATGGATCGTCATGAGGCCAGTACAGGCCCTGGGGTGGTCGCTTACTTGCAACCCTCGACCCACCATGTGTACTGAGTGGAAGTCCAGTCCTTGAGAGTCCTAGGCCCCGGTGGACCTTGGTGTTGCGTATGAACGCTGAATAGCCACATTCAGAGCTTATGGGAGTGCGCCTCACGAGGCTGAACGGTTCCCCTCGTTGGCGTACTGTAAAGACGCCCTCCCCAGCGCTTCGTGCTGGAAATATGTAATAAAGACCGCCTTTCTGCTACACATGAAGCTAATTGATAAAGCCCACGATAGAGATCGCTTGGCATGCCGGCACAGCCCGCGTCTAAGCCGCAGGCGCCGCAGCCCTGCAGCAGCTGAGCTAAGCCCAACATCGTGCAGCAGTGCTTCACTCAGTGCGGCTGACAGCAGCCAGTGGCGGAGCAATGCCGCCGTTCTGTCCTCAGAGCTTTGCCGAGCGGATATATACGTAGATAGTGATCAGCGCCCATGAGACTGACCCTGTCGCTCATTCCTCACGCCCACTTCCCACAGTCCAAGAATCGTCAGTCACCATGTCCAACGAAGTCGTCCAGGGCTTCAGCGTCCTCAACCGCTGCCTCCTCTACACGAGCCTCGTCCTGTCCCCCGCCCACTTCCTCTCGGGATGGAGCAGCCACGGCACGACCAACCTGGGCTTCCTCGCCTACAACTGGTACAACCAGTTCGTCTGGTACAGCGCCATCCAGGACCGGCAGCTCCGCGCGCTCTCGCTGCTGCCCGTCCACTTCAACATGATCTACGCCTTCACCTACCTTGGCGGCACGGCCGCGGGCAATCTCCCCGCGGGCGTGCTGCTGTCTCTCGGCTCTGCGGGAGTCATGGTCTTCAACACCGTCGCCGCGTGGATCGCGTGGAAGGACTGCCAGCCGGCCGGCTTCGGGGAGTATGAGTTCTTCTTCTTTGGGTGGCGGACGCTGTCGCCGGGCTGGCACAAGTTCACGCTCGTGTGGCAGATTTTTGACACCCTGCTCATCTGTAGCTGTGTCATCCTCGCCTTCAAGATCCCACTCTACATGCAGTACATCCGGGACGACCACAGCGAGCACAGACCCAACTCCCTGCGCGCCGGCCTCAAGGCCATCTCCAACTACAAGTATCTCGCCATCCCGTGCAGTGTGCTCATGCTCGTCTTCGTCTGGCCGCTCATCCTCTGGGTCGAGCTGCTCATTCGTCGCAACCATGTTACGTCTCCGACGGACTGGGTCTCGGTGTGGCTCTTCGTGGCGCAGGTTGGGTTGCTGGTGATACCGAGTTTTGGGGGCTATCTCCTACACGAGCCCTTGGGCTTTCTGCATCGCGAGTAGCGTCAGGCTCCGGCCGCCCAGGTGTAGACGGTTTGGGTTTTCTGCTTTTGTGTTCCATGATTTTGGCTTAGCGAGAGTTGGTATGATCCCCCTGAGCACACCATTTGCTGTCTTTTGTCTACGTACAAATCAATCAATCATCCATGGTTGAATGTGCTTGCGTCAAAGCCTTGTGATCCGGAAGCCCTCCTTTTTTGGGCAAGGTAGTGACCCCACACCTTGCACTCAGTAACCCTCCTTCCGGTTCACCCTGTTGACCAGGTCGGCCCCCTGGCTGAGGTTCGTCAGGTTCTGTTGCAGCACGCCCAAGACCCGCTCTGCCAGCTTGGACGACATGCCGCTGATGTGCGGCGTGATGATCACGTTCTTGGCACTCCACAAGGGATGCCCGTCGGTCAGAGGTTCTGGGTCTGTCACGTCTAGCGCCGCACCACGGATGGTCTCGCTGTTGAGCGCCTCAACCAAGTCGTCCGTCTTCACGACGGGTCCTCGTGCAATGTTGGACACAAAGGTCCTCTTTTTGCCCAGGATGGCAAACTCTTCCTTTCCGATGAGGTGCTTCGTGACGGGCGTCAGCGGGACCGCGATGACGAGAAGATCAAGATCTGAGCCTAGAAAGCCGTGCAGGTCTGCCTTGGTGGTGCCGGAGAACCACTTTCTAGGCAGCAGGCCCTCAGGATCACCCAGGCCCTCTGGCACGTACGTGGCGTCGCGACGCGCCTTGGGTGTATCCTTTGGGTGAAGCGTGTAGGCGTGGACGTCCATGCCCATGGCCTGAGCGAGTCGCGCGGTCTGTCGACCAATCGCTCCGTAGCCCAGGATGCCTCTTTTTCACTGTCAGCTTCTTCCTCTCCAGGGTGTCTGGTGTCGACGATAACGGGGGGGGGGGGGGGGGGGCTCACATGCGTCTGCCCACAGCATCATCAGGCATCTGCGGTTGTCGCACCCACTTGGCTTGTCGTTGCGTGTCAAGATAGCCAGGAACTGATAGATGACGGGTGGTCCATTAGCGAATCTAGTCCTGCTAGCAACATGAGGCCTCTGGATGCTGCAACTCACTGTGATGCTGGTGCGCCAGGAACGTCGCAATCACCCACTCGGCAATCTGGGGCCTTGCGCCAGTTCAGCCGCGGACTCGCATCCGACATGAGCACGACGACTCACCCATGGACGCCATTCGCGGTGCAGAATGTGACATTTGTCTCCTTGTACAGGGGGTTCTCGTGGACATGGTTCGACCCCGCGCTCTGCAGCTGCACGACTTGCAGCTTGGGCGCCTTGTCGATTTTGGGCAGCGCGCTGCCCGTCATGAGGATGGTCACATTGCTCCATTCCTCGTCCGAGACCTTGGCGTGCGCATCTTTCTCTTGGAAGTCGACCGCGACATGCTGGATCGCGAGGTCTGGGAAGGCTTCCTTGAGGGGGTCAAATGACGACGCGGGAGTGGGAAAAGGGTTGAGGATGAGGAGCTTGTGTCCTTTGAGGGTTGGATTGGCCATGGTGGTGTTCTTCTCGGCACTGGAGTAGGTGTCAGGGAGGACAAGACAGTCAGGAAAGTTCGATGAGTGTGAGCTTACAGCATTGGTAACCAATTTCAATTGAGGGTGATGGTAATCACACCGTGGATGACAGATCGACACTCCACTCCACACTGTCGGGACTCGGTTCTCCTCCAGGCGACGACCAGAGTCGTCACTTATCTCCGGGATCGCATCTTGCTTGATACCTTTACCCTCGAAGACCATCAACCCTTGGTGGCAGACACATGCAGGCACATCTCGCCAGTGCATTCACTGCTTGCCTCTTGCTTTCCGTTTGCGCATTGCTTGTACCTTAGGTTTCGCCAGACTGCAGCTGCCTCCAGTCGTCGCAGTGACTCGGGCGCAGCTGGACCTTCCCGCAAACATGAAGCCAGCAAGACGCGTGGGCAATGTTTGCCGCCACCATATATTTACCTACTACCTACTTGCAATACTCGCACCGATCCTATTTCTTCATCCACAACTCAGATAATTGTAGCATTCTAGTTCTGTCGCTCCGCGACTGCACCAATTTCAAGCATCATTTTGCCTTCACGTCTGGTTACGCGTTTCTTTCGTCAACCACTCGCGCATCTGTCATCACCACTCCATCTCGCATCATGGGCGACCAACTTTCCGGCCAAGATGTAAATGTGGATATGTACTTGGCCACACGCAAAGGACGATTCGATCGAAAGATTGCCAGAGGAAAGTCCATTGCGCTTGAGTACATGACGAAACCATTTCCCACAGGGCCCAACCCTGAGCGCCAACGGCTACACAACAAGCCATTGTCCGAGGACCAGCCGCATATCTTCATCTCGCATGCCCAGTACATTCTCAACGCGAAAAGAAGCTCCCTGCTTGGCATGTCGGCCACCCTCGTCGAAGGGCCTGTCACGTATGGTACGTTCAAGCACCAACTGACCACGCCGGTTTGGAGGGACTGACAATTCCCTTAGCCACAGTTGGCGCGGCCATTGCCCACGGCATGGGCCTCCCCGGCCCTCCAGATCGAAGTGGTATCGCGTCCATCTAGCAGCCTGGAAACGATTTCCCCATGAAGTTCTTCGACTTGCTCCGAGACCAGTATGGCACCACGGTACGTCTGTCGACGCAGGATCCTGGTCGACTGCAACCCTGCAACAGAGGCATCCGAGAACGCATTCCTGGCACAAAGTGTGAGTTTGACCGTCGCCGCGTTGAGGAGCACTCTGGGCTAACCTTGTGGAAGCCTGGACACAGCAGGACAGCAATATCTATCTTACAGGTGTCGACCTGGCCCATTGGCCAACTCAACTGCTCAAGACCAGCATCATTCACATGGCCAAGACTCTCGACGAGATGGTGGCTGAGATTGCGGCCTTTGAAAAGTGCCGCTACCTGTCGAACCAGACGATACCGGCTCCTCGCATCGTCTGGGAATACATGCCCCAACCTGGCCCAGCCGCAGACTTGATGGCTCGACAGCAACGCGTCAAAACCGTCATTCAGCGTCACATTGAGGTCGTTTGCATCAAATGGGAGGATTTAGTCAAGCTTTTCCCGAGAAGCGACGATCTCCCCCAAACCCAAGAGGCGGCATTGCCCGATTTCGCAAGGGCTGTGACGGAGATGCACGCCGACGCCTTGACGGACTCTCGCACCACTATGATTGTCTCCTGCGGCCAGCACGGCTACTTGTACTTTGGGATGGAGGATGTCTCCCGCTGGTATCCACCCTACCATGAACCGGCCGACGTGGTGGATTCAAGGTACTCCTTCAGCGCGTTTGTTGGCGGTTTTGGTGTTGCCTATGCAGCCGAAAGGGGTGTCGTCGCCGGCATGATCTGTGGCATTGTTGCCGAGAGCTTCTGCTTGGAACAATGCGGCCTTCCCGATATCCGTCCAAGCGTATTGGAAAGGCGCAAAAGGAAGCTCCGCGTCAACGGGCGCGATGCTGGCTGGCGCGCCAAGGAATACATCGACTTTCGCAAGGTAGACAATCCGATGTATCTACTAAAACTCTTCTACAGCATAGACGATGAGCCACCCGAGCCCCAGGGTGCCGTCGCCTCATAGACGCTTGTGGCCAGTTGAAAACTGGAGTGAGTAGCATCACATCGGTAGCTCAATCGGGCGGATCAGCGTTGTGGAATCAGCGAGGACTACATATCTTTAGTGGCTAGTGAACGATTGGAATTACAAAGCGTGCCAATAGAACCCGCAGCTCCGTGCATACATGTAGTCCGTTGCAGCACCTCATGAAGCGCCAACATCCGCCCCTTGCCCTGCGTAGTAGCTCGCGTCGAACCATCCCGCGCACTTGTACGCACCGAGCACCTCACCAATGGTCACAGGAGCGTCCAGCTGGTCTGCCCAACTCACTCTCGGTCCGGCAGCCCCAGGCCCGGTGTTCCCATACTCGGCATACTCCACATTGTCTGGCGAGGCGCCGTTCCAGTCATGCCAGCCATCCGCGTTGATCACTTCACTCATGTCTGTGTTCTGGAACACGACACGAGAGTACGGACGCCACGGACGACCAAGGTAGTAAGCACCATCAGGGACATTGTCCCCTTCTGCGGCCGAGATGGTGGACTGGTCAAAGACGTAGTAGGACATGCCGTCGGGGCTATCACGACCGTTGGCGGTGATGTACCCAAGGGACTTTTCGACGACGCGAATGTCGACGCGCTCAAACCAGGCGGCCGCCCTCTGGCCAAAGATAAAGTCGGTGGCCCCGAGGATCTGGGTGTCGAGGTAGATCTGCTTGCCCTCGTTGGCGAGCACGGTATCCTGAAACCCGGTGAAGATGGACCCGTAGTAGCCTGAATCGCTTTGGGCGCTCAGAGCAACAGCCTGCGAACCCTCGCCATATGTATTGGCGACATGCACGTTGTAGAGACGAAAATTGGGCGTCTTGACGCGCAGGGTGGCCGTCTGGTCATTGTTCAGCCCATCAGCCTGGGAGAGGTCGTACGTGATGGTGACAGTGTTGCCGGCGAACGTGGTGTCGTCCTCGGTGTGGCCGTAGATGGTGAAGCGGGCGGCGGCGCGGTCCGCGACGAGGACCTGCTCGTTGTAGGTGCCGGGCGCGATGAAGATGCACTGCGGGTCCGGGTCGTCCTCGGACAGGGCGTCGACGGCAGCCTGGACGGTGGTGTGGTCGCCAGTGCCGTCGGCGGCGACGGTGAGGCAGCCGTCGGGCGCGGATGTGCGGGAGGCGGCGAGCGCGGTTGTGGCGAGGGCCGTGACTGTGAAGAGGGATCTCATTGTGGGTGTTTTGGGATGGGGATGGACACGCTTGGTGAGGGAGGGAGTGTCGGATCGGACATGTCTGCCCTCTGGACGAGATTATGTACTTCCATTCTCTGCAGAACCTCTTTGAAAAGTACAGATCCTCCGTAAAGGTGTTTCATGCCCCCAGATGTGTGCCGCGAGGGACATGGGTGACGGGAGTTCCCTAGAGGCAAAACACCGATTGGTGGAATTTGGCTGATGAGGTTGATTTACCCCGGAGAATCACTTCTTGGACGCGGCACCCCGTCTCTGATGTAATCAACTGCCGAGATATCCTTTGGCCCGATCTGCCTAATCTGGAGAATCTTCCGTGGTGCCTCGATTGAGCGAGTGGTGGATTGTGCGCTTGATTCTGCCGTGGTATTCAACGCGGAGTGAAGTTGCGGGGTTGATGATTCTGGGCTGGGAAGAATGTGCTTAATACTCATGTTTGATTGTGTGCTGCCGATCCCAACGCTGGTCGTTTATTTGAAACACACACCTCGCACGCTTGCTTAAGGTCCGCCCACGGCGATATGACGCCCAGACTAGCAGAGCGGTCACGGCGACAGGACGCTCTCTTATTCCTCGTGCAGGGCCGCCACATTTCCTTGCCTCTTGGCGCTGGGGACAAGTACCCAGCTGATGCCCGTGCACGCCAGGATGGCCACCAGAATGGGCTGCAGAGTGCCAACCCCCTCGCTCGAGGCGATGACACCGGCGATGACGGGGAAGAACGAGCCGCCCATCTGGGCAAACACAAACACGAAAGCGAGGGCAGTTGCGTGCAACCCTGGTGGGAACAGCTTCGTGCCCACGTTGATACCCGTCGCGAAGAGCGGTCCGGTGAAGAAGCCGACAAAGGAGATGGCGACAGACGCAGCAATAATGTTGGGAACCCTGGGACCCGTTAGCTTCGTCAAGGGAGTGGGCCGGAGACATACATCCAGAACAAGATCTGCAGACCGACCGCCAGTACGCAGTAGATGAAGACCATCCTCCTCTCGCCGAGGCGATGTGTCGGTTCGGCGAGCAGCAGTCTACCCAGCAGACATCCACCGTTAAAGCCCGCAGGTACGTAGCCCATCCGAGAAAGGTCGCCCCCGCGGACCTCGACCAAGTATTCAACCACCCAGCCGTTGGACGTGATCTGGGAACCAATGTAGAAGAAGAAGAAGAGACTGAGAGGCCAGACGGCAGGGCGGCCAAGTGCCGCTCTGATGAGGGCCGTGGCACCTTTGCCGCGCGTCGTCTGAGATTCTTCTCCTTCGTTGTCCGCGCTGACTGGGAGAGGCTTCCTGTGTTTCAGGGTGAGTGAGTCGCGAAACGCCCAGGCTATGAAGCCTAGGTTGGCGAGACAGATGCCGACAGGGAAGACGTAGAAGAGATTCCACGTGCGCTGCTCGCCTGCCGAGGCCACAGCTGTGGCCACGAATGGTCCCACGAGGCAACCGCCCTTTTCCGGTCAGTTGTTTTGTTCAAAGGCTGTGCCTTGGGTACATACCATGAACGAGGCGTGGATGACAGCCAGCCAGCGATGCGCCCCCCTGACGGTCGCGACAAAGGTGTTGGCATGTGTGTCGTTGTACGCTGCGCCCACGGCGACCAGGAAGAAGGTGGTCACGTAGAGACCGAACGGGGGCATCCAGGCACGCAGGGCCTGCGCCAGGATCTGCAGGACCGCACCGAGGGCGAGCATGGCGCCCAGGTCGAGGTACTGGCCGAGGTGGGTGTTGGTGAGGGCGGCCACGACCCAGCCGGCAAAGGTGGCTCCGTAGCTGGGGGGATGTAAGCTGTCTGTGATACTCACAGGCATTTGTACTCACATGCTCGACACAATGGCGGTGTTGACGTTGTAGTCGCGAATGACATGGGGGATGATGGCGCCCGTGCTGCCATCGTTGACACCGGCGCAGAAGAACGAGAAGCTGGCGCTGGCTACTTTGAGAAGCGTTCTTTGATCGAGGCTATTTGAATGAATGTTTTCGTTGAGCTGCTCGCAGGGCTCTGTGGGAGCCGCAGACTGTGCGCCTGGCTCGGGCTGCAGCGTCCATGTCGCTGTGCTTGAGAGCGCATGGGACCCCAGGGTCTGAGTTTGCACCGGTGTAGCGGCCATGTTCACTTGGACAGAGATGGCATGTCATGGACCGAGGGTCTCGCTCTCTCTACAAGTACGTAGAATGGAGAGAATGTAGCTCAAGATCCCAGCCAGTCTGCGGGGGAGACGTGGCTGCCTGGCTGCCTGATGTAATACATGCCCTGCAACCTCCCACAAATCAATAACTGCATTCGTGGCCACAGTTTTCGTACGTATGTATGCCCGTGTCGCGACTTCAGTCGGAACGCATACGTCAGCGCAATGAAACGAAACATGAACCAATGCCCGAAGGCCATCGCGCTCAGCCGATCACATATCACATTGGATCTCATCTCATATCGGGCAGATGAATGATCGAAAAGGAACTCGAATCTTGAAATAGCCTCGTCATGCGATCGTGCCTCTTCCGGCATACATGACCATCTTCGTCGCATCTGCTAGCTCGGCGATCCCAATCGAATAAGCTTCAGGGAAGCACCCCGGTGCCACGTCGTTGCTTTTGCCGACCTTTATTACAACTTGCCAATCGCGCTGCACAGCCATGTCGTCGAGGCGCGGCGACTGACGGGACTGAAGATTGCCGATATCACGCCCTCAGGGGTCGAGCCAGATCCCGACCCGGTCGTTGCGGGCCGGCGATAGCTTGGGGGCGGACTGCCTCGAGCCTCGAGCCTCGAGCCTCACGACTAGGCCCTCGGAGGTTTACTTTGCATCCAAGGGCGAGACTGTCTAGACATGTACCGAGTCTGTCAACGTCCTTGGACAGCCGACCTGGCACTGGTTTGCATCCCAGTTGCGCGTCCACATTCACCGGTCGTGAAGACCCCAGAGATGGACTCGTCACGGGAGATCACCGTTGCTTCTGGTCGCCAAGGAGACTCGCCAGGTACCCGATGCATGCAGGTCCCGAGCTGGGCAGATCGACGACGCCCGTGCATTGACTCTCTCCAGCTGACTCCGGTGCGCAGCAGCAGTAGCAGCAGAAACAAGCAGGACCAAATGCCCCGTCGACGACAGCTAGCCCTGCGTAAGCGTCAACGACTTTAGCTTGTTGACACCACCACCGATGCGATCATGCATGCAGAACACATTAGACCTGAGTTGACAGCCGGTACGATGATGCACGCTTCTTTTTAGCAATGTGTGATAAGTATGCCTCTGCCCGTCTTCCATCCTCACGATTCGCTCTTCTACACCAACCCACGACGCTCTTTCAACCCGGCCAATTGTGCTGTCACTCTCGCTTTCTACGATGGCTTCCGCAGGTCCCGTCATGGACAATCTGTCCGTCTTCTATCTTGTTCTCGTTATACTATGGACGTCCATCACCGTCTCCTGCGCAGGCTTCCTCTTGCTCCACCACAAGACATGCGCCCTCCTACGCGTGCGGAACATCCCTCTCTCGTTGGCGGCCTGCGCCCTCCTTCATTGCTACTGGGTATCGGTCCAGCTGGGCTACGCGGTCGGACCCGTCATGCCCGAGGACGCCGAGTACTGGATCATGGGGACGTGGCTACCGCTCGGCATGGGCTTGTTCCACGGCAGTAACTGGCGCTTCCTGTGGGTGGCGGCCCACCAGAAACGCCTTTTGACGGAGGAGCCGGCTTGGAACCAGCCGAAGAAGAGCTGGTGGGAGAAGTTGAGCCACACGGGCAGGGTGATTCTCGTGGTGGGTGCCGGACTCGTGGTTCAGGTATGTTGACTCTTTTTTGTCTTTCGGGTTGGACGGTAGCTGACGACAGACAGATCCTCGTGACGGTGCTCATGTACATCATATCTCGCAAGTGGCACTCGTCATGGGGTATTCCCGGCACGCAAGCTCAGGGCAGTACGCACGACGAGCGGATGCACGACATGGCCCGTGGCTGGGAGTGGTGGCCAACCGTCTTCTGGCAGTGTATCTGGGCCTGGATCGTGGCGCCCATCATCCTCTGGCGCTCGAGGCATATCCGTGACACGCAAGGGTGGAGGATGCAGACAATGGGCTGCTGCTTGGCGAGGTGAGTTCTGGTAGTCTTTGTGCAGATACTCTTCTGACAGTTCTGCAGTCTGCATGCTACGCCCATGTGGCTCATTGCACTGTACGTCCCAGCGATGGAGAAGGTCAACCAGTATTTCATCCCTCCTCAATGGTAGGTCAAATCACTTTCTGCGATGTGGTAAGGTCCTGACACCTCCAGGATCGCCTTATCCATCATGCTCATTGAGATCTTCACGATCCTCCTCCCGTGCTACGAGACTATCCGCCACCGCGCGCAAAGATCAACCGTCATTGCCAACATTGGAAGATGGGAGACCAAGGACGAGGAGCACTACCAGCCATCCGACACCACCAATTCCATCGACTCGTCCTCAAACTCCTCGTCGGGCAGCATGCTCTCCATGGGCGCCCTCGAGCACGTCCTCGAGAGCAATCCCACGCCTCTGCTGCAATTCTCCGCTCTGCGAGACTTCTCCGGGGAGAACATTGCCTTCCTCACGGCGGTTGCCTCGTGGAGGGATATGCTACCTGGTTCAGGGCGCCGCTTGTCCTTCAACATTGCCGAGAAGCTCGTGGAGGATCTCAACCCGAACACCGACGCTGTCTACAGCCATTTCAACCGCGCGCTGCGCATCTACACCGACTACATCTCCCCCAGCGCTGACTTTCAGGTCAACCTGCCGTCCACGATCTTCCGCCGTCTGCACGCCGTGTTCGAGATACCCGCCCGGACCATCTACGGAGAGAAGCAGGGAGCCGACCTGTCGACCATGTGGGACACGCCGCGGTCGATGCCCAGCGATGGGAGCGAGGGCGTGCGGGTGCAGTACTGGGGCACGATACCGGCCGACTACGACGAAGGACTGTTCGACGAGGCCGAGGCGAATATCAAGTATCTGGTGCTGACGAATACGTGGTCCAAGTTTGTGAAGGAGAGGCGCATGTCGATCGCGTCGGACCTGACGGGGGCGCACGCGGTGAATTAGCCTAGTTTATAGCCTCAATCTATCTCTACTCGGCTGAATGTTTAGCTGTCAACATAAAATGCGACTCCAAGCAGGGTGGTTGTTGTAGCTTGAGAGGACAAGTTGTCCCTCCTGTCAAGTACGCCTTTTGTCTGTCAAGGCGCCCTCCGATATCGCTGAGCCGCGAATTTTGCGGGCTTCTCATTTTCGGCTCATAAGATGCTCAGTGAACGACCTGAACTCATCACTCCCTCTTCCCCTGCAGACGCATAAACGCATCCAATCTCAAGAATTCTCATCCGTCGACACACAAAGATGCACACCGCCCCGCTCACCTTCCGCATCGCCGCCCCCTCGGACCCCGACGTGTCCAACGTGCTCACGCTCGTCCGCAGCGCCTACCGCGGCGACGCCTCGCGCGCAGGCTGGACAACAGAGGCAGATCTCCTCGCCGACGAGCGCATCGACCACGCCGGTGTGCTCGCCAAGATCGCCGCCCCCGACGGCGTCATCCTTATGGCGCACGACGAGACGGGCGCCCTCGCCTCGTGCTGCGAGCTCCTCAAGCGACCGGACGGCAAGCTCGCCTACTTTGGTCTCTTTGCCGTGGATCCCACGCGTCAGGCCGGCGGTATCGGGCGGCAGGTGCTCGCCGAGGCGGAGCGCTACGCGAAGCAGGAGTTGGGCGTGGAGAGGATGGAGATGTCGGTCATTTGGACGCGCGACGAGCTCATTGCGTGGTATGTGCGGCGGGGGTATACCAAGACGGAGGAGACGCGGCCGTTTCCCTATGAGCATCTGGTGAATGGCAAGGCGCTGCGTGATGATTTGTACTTTAGCATGCTGGTCAAGGATCTTTGAGGGTGAGAGCGCTGGATGGGATACATCTCGGATAACGGATAGAGGCAGATGGCGTTGGCGCCCCCGAGTCTGACTCCCTGGTGGCTTCGTTGGGAGGGCATTTGTCTTAATAGAGCGTCGTTTGGGGTTTGTTTCTTGTCGAAAGGGTGTGAGCCCGTCATCTATGCTCACCAAGCGCCGTCCAAGATCACACGGACGGATGACTTGGACAGAAAAGGCAGCATCAGTGAGCAACTATAGAGAATCTTCAACGAGCATGCTACGGATATGCAGGCCTAACGCAATAGACAGCGACGAACCAACAACGGCCACAGCCTCGATGTGCACGCCTTGATCCCGACACGACCTGGCACGTCAATGCGATTGATGTGACCTATCACATTCCGCATCTGTCACACCGTCATCCTTTGTGCATACAGCCCCCTTGCTATCCGAGACCATGGTATTATCAGAAGCGGCTGTTTCGACGCGGAAACATACGCCCGGACATCAGCAGAAGCAACACTGTCGGTAGACGTCAGTCAAGCCAACACATATCCACGTGAATCGCCAGAGACAACAAAGAAGCAGGGGGTTGCGCACAAGAGGCAACAAATGGACGCAATGACCAGCCTGCTGCCCGTCCACATTGTCGGGTCGCGAAACGATCGTTGCTTTTTCTGCCGCCCACCAGTCACAGCAAATCTACGTTCCTCACTACACTATTCATGGTCTACCTACTAATCCAGCCCGAGATCCACCGGTCAAGCCCAGTCTCACGCAAAGACAACACAGCACGACCTCGACGCGTTGCGCCCCGTGGCCTGTGCTGGACGGGGCAGCACGCCTGGGCTCAGGATGATGCCCGAGGGCTCTGCGTCCGTGGAACGGACGTGCAGAGGGCTGCTCATAGTGCTGAGTGAGGGGAGATGGGTCGTGCTCCTGTGCGTCGGGGTGGTATAAGTGCTCAGCTCCCTTAAGCCTCGCGCTGGCGCACTCATTTCGCAGGTCCAATAAATATATTCAATCTCTCCTCTTCTTTGCGACGAATCATCATGTCTTCCAAGACGGTCCTCATTCTTGGCTCGTCGGTACACCCGCTGCTCATCTCCTTGACGACTTCGCTGGCGCAGCAGCACACTGTCTATCTGACACTGCCATCCACCGCAGCAGTGCCAGCCGCCCTGTCAGAGAGCTCCAAAATTACTGTTCTTTCACTCGACATGTCCTCGTCTCTGTCCGCCGCAACAGTCGCTCGTCGTATCGCCTCTTCTGTCTCGGGCATCGACATCCTCGTCAACGACGCCGGACTTGGGGGCTCACAGGCCCTCCTCGACGCCATGCGGACCTCAAGCACGTACAAGACCAAAATTGCCAGCATGACAGACACAGTCGTGGTCTTTGCCGACCTGCTAGAGCGCAACGGTGGGAGGGTCGTGTGTCTCGGCACATCAGCCGCCATGATCTCCGCGCCGTGCATGAGTACGTCTTGGGCTTGCACCATGTCTAGTAGCATTCTAACCTGTAGGCAGACAACGCCCGGTTCTCGACAAAGGAGGCGCTGGTCCATTTGTGCAGCGAGATGCGGACGGCACTCGCGCCGTGGGGCGTACCCGTGTCGTGGATCACGGTGGACTGGACGCCCACGAGCGGGCCACTTGTTGTGGCGTCGTCGACGAGACGGGGTGGGACGATGCAGATGAGCGGTTTGGTGGATGAGATTGAGCATGATGGGAGGAGGTCCGGCTGGGACTGGCCGGTACGTGACATGAAGATGCCCCATTGCTTCTGGTCTGATACTCTAACACTCTCAGGGGCGCTTTTTCAGGGGAAAGGAGAGTGATGAGTCCATGGTCGAAAAGGGGGTTCTTGGGTGTTAGGTACGGGCTTTGACACCAGGATGGCGCATAGACAGTATGCCTACGGCATTGGTTGCGTTGCGTTGCGTTGTGAAGATGAACATTTGCTTCTGCAGTTCATGAAGACTTTGAAAGCAAGGGCTTGGTATAAGACTCACATCCACATCCAGGTGAATCAGACACACCTGATGATATTCTCAAGGGGCTTCCCACTACAAAAGCGAGCGAGGCGAGGCCAAGCTCGCCGCCAGGCGCCGCCGGAGGCACCCTAAGGCCCAAATATCTCACAGCTCAGACATGACAATCACAGACACACACACACACACACATACACAAGACATACAAGTGAAGCACACAGATTACAGACATAAAAGTCGACTATTCTCTTCATCTCCTTGGTGTAAAGCACGAGGCTCATTATATACAGTAGAATGCAAATCGGTTGGTCAATACCAAGATCCGCCCATCACCAGAAAAATTTTCCATCACCATGTCTAGTCGGGACCAGACAGTCCCGTCGGGAGCATCTTAGACGCGGCGAGCGACCTTGCCGTGCTTGTGGGCGTGGCGGCGGGCCTTCTTGCTGCGCTTCTTGAGGGCGCAGGTGTCCTGGGTAGGCTCAGGCTGGGCGGCCTCCTCAGTGGTAGGGGCGGCAGTGGCAGTGGCCGAGGGAACGACGGGGGCCTCGGTGGTAGCGGGAGCCTCAGTGACAACGGGGGCCTCGGAGGAGGCAGCACCATCGTCGTTGCCGCCGGTGGGCTCAGCAGGAGCGGCGGTAGGGGCAGGGCCGTCACCGACGGTGGCGGTGCCGGTAGAGTCGATGGCGGAGGAGGCCTGCTCGACGGGGGAGAAGCCGGAGAAGAGGGCCGGGCCGGGGATGGGGTAGGAGTCGGCGGGAGAGTAGATGTTGAAGTGGATGCCCTCGTCCTCGGCGGTGTAGAGCTGGGTGCCGAGGACACCCTCGGGCTGTGCGGAGCCGGAGCCGGTGACCTTGAGGGAGAAGCACTGAGGGTAGTTCTGGGCGCCGTTGAGATCGCCACCCGAGTGGAGGGCGATGATTTCGTGGCGGAGGACGTAGTTGCCCGGGGCGAGGTCGGCGGGGATGGTGACCATCCAGCCCATGCCGTTCTCCTCGAGGAGGCTGTCGGCCATGGTCAGGGGTGCCGAGGAGCCGTCGATGAGGCCAGCCTCGGCAATCTTGAAGAACTCGAGCGTGTTCTTGTCGACCGAGGCGCAGCCCTCGTCACCGCAGTTGGCGAGGTAGTCGATGATCGGGCCCTTGTGGGACTCGGGCCAGGTGTTCCACTGGACAAAGAGGCTGTCGCCGGCCGCGATCTCTGCGTAGCCGCCGGCGTTCTCGGAGCCGCGGTGGCAGATGATGTCCGGGTCCTGGAAGGCGTCGGGCGCGACGAAGCCCAGGTCGGTGGCCTCAGAGGACCAGCCGATGACGGTGGGCGGGTTGGGGTTGTAGGGGAAGTTGGTCACGTCGTAGCCCCTGTAGGAGACGCCGTTGATGACAACGTTCTCCACGTAGCCGTGGGCGGCCACGCCGACGGCGCCAGCCAGGGCGGAGACAAGAGTGCGGGTGGTGGAAGGCATCTTGATAAGAGTTTGTTTGCTTGTTGGAACCGAAGAGCGGTAGTTGAGAAGTGAGTGTTTTTGTTTTGTGGAATGAACGTGACAAGACCGACTAGCGGGTGTAAAAGAAACAGACTTCAGTCAATGAAGTTGCAAGTGAAAGGATAGTGCGAAAGAGCGAAAAACTCGGACCAAGGAGGAGCAGAAGAAGAGAGTGTGCTGAATGAGCCTGGACAGAAAAGAGAGGCTGAGAAACGAGAGGCCAGACGTCTTATATCGTGGGAAGAGCAAGGATGACAGGCGTTGGCAGTTGAGTTGTGGGGGTCCGGTCGCCGTCTGGGCCATGCAGAAGACGAAGACATTGTTGGCGTTTCAGGCACAGCGGGTCACAAGACAGAAGGCTGCTTGAGATAGATAGTATTGCTGGGTTTTGTACGGAATAGTTAATGAAGATGTCGTAGGCTGGAGCTCTCACAGTACATGTGGCTATCAGTGTCTTTGAGACCAAGGAGACTGGGGCCAGCCGTACCGTCGCCATGATCGATGAAGCTGCTCGCGATGTCCGCCATTCTGTGCGTTTCCGTGTCTGCACCAGCAATACGCGTCAAAACGTCCATGTGCGCCCCAGAGTGTCCAAACGCACAACCTCCCGATCCAGCAAGCCACCTGAAACTCCTTTGCCGTCTGTTCTAGCCGCCACATTGCTGCCCTGTTTAGGCTGTTCTCCGAGATTCATGGTGTTGTTCGTTTCGTCCCCCTCGGAGGCGCTCAGGGGCTCGCTCCAGTGCGCGTACTGTTTACTCGATGACAGGGGACGGACGGATCGCTGCCAGACGGTGCAGACCCCCCGGGCTACAGGGGGCTTCAGGCGATGGGTGTCGCTGACCTGTTCACTGGAGGCTGCTTTTTCTGTAATGTGATTGGTGGAAACATGGAGCTAGCCGCTACAGGGGAGCGCCGATGCGGCAATGGGTGGGGCCTCCTCATCTGTCTGAGACGCCTGGCGCCAGAGACCTGGTACTGTAATCATGCATTTTCATCAACATGAGCCTGGAGTCTCTTGGCTGTCGTGGCCAGCGCCAGGGAAGAGGTGCGAGAGATGAGTTGACATATTACTTCTGACCGTCTTATGTGACCAGGAGTCCAGGACAGGTCATAAAAGCTTGATTTGACGGCGAGAGTCCAGGGACGTAGGTTCGTCTGATTAAGTGAGGGAATGATATTGATGCATGTGTTTTGACTCCTCAATACATGGAACATGGAAACATATGGGTCAGTCGAGTGTCGAGGTTGGGCTGCATTTGGTGTTTGTTTGGAACACACACTTATGGCAGACGCAGACTGAGATGGATGGTGTTGTACGGATTAAAGTCGCAAATGTTTCTGGCCGTACGAATAATATCTAACGTATCCGTACCTTACCTTCCTTACCTTACACAAAGTGCCTGGTATGCATAAAACAAGGCAGATAAAGAAAGGCATGGCCTGACCACCTCGTGCCGCAATTTCCCCAAGTCGCGCCTGTTCAGTTTCTTCACCGTTGTGTGTTCACACCGCAACAAATGCCTTCTTCCTCACCTTCGCCTCGTCTTGTCTTGTCTTGACTTGTCTTGACCAGGCTATCCTGCCACCTGTGCCCTGTGGGTCGTTTCCCATCGTCATCTGTCGTTTTACCGCCGCCGAGATGTTCTGCAAACGTCCTGCGACGCGGGTCCATGTCGCCGCTAATATCAAGCTGCAGGAGGCCGAGATGGAGACGGAGATGGACAGGGGCACCAGTTGTTTTACATCTTTGCCATGGCCGGTGTGGGAGGTGGATGTCTGTCAGCGGGCTTTAACTTTGCAATTGCCTATGGTAGGTGCGCCTCTATTATCTCGGTGGACCGGCATGGCCTTGCTTGCGTATAAGGTGCTGACACCTGCGTTTAGCCATGTACAACACTATCAAGCAGCCGATCCAGCTGCTTCACCTACCCAACACACTGGCTGGCGATGCTGCGCTCAGCATCTTCGTCCAATGCATCCTGACCTGGTTTGTCGAGTGGCTGCTCGTGGCAAACGACTTGCGTCGCCATTTCATCCAGCCCATTGCCTTTCTTCCGTAACCCACCAGCTCGTCGCTCAGGTGGCTCCTCTTCCTGGAGCGCAACCCGTCGACGAAGCTGCACAATATTCTGCAGCAAGCTCTACGAGGCTTTCTCATCTGCGTGCCCGCCTTCCTCGTCTTCTGGCCCGTCTCTGTCGGCCTCCTGACCATGGTGGGGGAGAAGCTGGGCGATGACTGGGTTTTTGAGAGGCGGTGGACGCCTCAGGTGTTCAAGGCCATCCTCGGTGGCCTGCTCGGTTTGGTGATCACGCCGGTGATGGCCATGTTCTGGATGGTCAGGGCTGGGTGGGATGAGGAAATGGAGGCGGACATGGTGGTCAAGGAGGAATGCTGAGGGAGGCTGGCGACGCGATCAAACGATTCACGAGCTGACGAAGCAATGCACGACTTGTCCGCATGGATACGAGAGCATTCTACGATAAAGATTAATAGACTATAGCTAATAATGAACATGATATCGATGATGCTGAAGGCGCACTTGCAAGCCTTCTCGGCCGATAGCCACGGACTTACCCTGGAGCATTGACACAGTGATACCTGGTACTCGATGCAGCTTTAAGGTTAGCTTGCAGGACAGTAAATGGAGGCTCATACGTGTATTGTATAATGTAGTTTTTCTGACCGAAACAGTCCCTGAAGACCAGACAACTGCAGCTCAAACAGATGGTCACGTCGACTGCTAGTTATCAAACGAGTGACTCTCAAGGTTTCTAGCACGCGACAAAACACCGACCGAAAGCTAACACCACACGAACAAGATATGTACCCAGATTCATCTTCATTGATAGGCCCTACGGTCACCCAATCCTACCTATTTTCCTTTGAAGGGCGCATGATAGTCTATCCGTTCACTAGGCCCGCACTGGGTTGATCTTCGCAGCTCCGTCATATCGACTACCCTACAACATATGCAGCCTCCGCCGTCAGCCGCAAACCACAACTTCATCCCTAGCAATGAGTCCCTCATCATCCAACTCACTCAATCAGCCTCAGGGCCACCGGACGACGCCGTGATGAGGCTCCCCACCATACTGACAGCTGCCATCCCCGCCTGCCTGGCCATCACACCCTTCTCCCTCCACCCCAACCCGCGCATCCACGCCCAGCGGGAGGCGACCCTCACGGCCGCCGCGCTCAACGCCACCCATCGTCCGTCCTACAACTTCTCCGTGCCCATTGACCATTTCCACAATGACACGCGCTACGAGCCTCACGCCGACGGCACCTTCCCCCTCCGCTACTGGATCGACGACACCCACTACCGACCCGGCGGGCCCGTCATCATGATCGGCTCCGGCGAGCTCACCTCCGTCCTCCGCCTGCCCTACATCGAACAGGGTATCGGCAAGATCCTCGCCGAGGCCACGGGCGGGCTGGCCGTCCTCCTCGAGCACCGCTACTACGGCTCCTCCTACCCCGTGCCCGACCTCAGCCCGCCCAACATGCGCTTCCTCAGCACCGAGCAGGCCCTCGCCGACACGGCCTACTTTGTCCGCCACATCCGCTACCCGGGCCTCGAGCACCTCAACCTCACCTCCCCCACCACCCCGTACATTGTCTACGGTGGCTCCTACGCCGGCGCCTTTGCCGCGCTCCTCCGCAAAATCTATCCGGACGACTTTGCCGGCGCCATCTCCGGCAGCGGCGTGCCCCAGGTCATCGACGACTGGTGGGCCTACCTCGAGGCCGCCCGCCACTTTGTCCACCCGTCCTGCGTCAACGCGTCCGCCGCCGTGACCGACATCTTGGACGCCGTCCTGCTCGGCGACGACCGCGACGCCGTCCGCACCGTCAAGCGCTGGTTCCAGCTCGAGGACCTGCCCGACGACGACTTTGCCTACACCCTCCACTGGGGCCTCATGTCCCTCCAGGCCACCCATTGGGACCCGGACATTGACGAGGCCGACCTCGCCCAGTACTGCGCCGCCATCACCTCCTCTGTACCATGGTACGCGTCCACGCGCACCCTCGGGCCCGAGGTCCGCCGCATCCTGCGTCTCGCCGGCCGCCACGACGGGGACCAACGGGACGAGATGGAGGCCATGCTGCTCAACTTCATCGGCGCCACGCGCAAGACCATTTCCGAGCTCCAAAAATGCGAGCAGGACAACCTCCTCGGCGAGCAGTGCCTGTCCAAGCGCGGCGCCATTGACGACGAGAGCATCCCCCAGGGCATGCTCCGCGCCTGGGCCTACCAGACCTGCACGCAGTGGGCGTACTTTGTCACCGGCACCGGCACACCGGACGGCATGGCCCCGCTCATGTCCCGGCTCGTCACGTACGAGTACGCCACCATGTGGTGCCCGGACGTGTTCAAGATCCCCGCCCAGCCGGACATGGACTCCATCAACAAGTACGGCGGCTTCAATTTCAGTCACTCCCGACTGGCCTTTGTCGACGGTGAGCACGACCCCTGGCGCCAAGCGGGCGTCCACGCCTTGGGCCGCAACGAGGACCGCGAGAGCACCACTGACGAGCCCTTCCTCCTCGTTGAGGGCGGCGTGCACCACTGGGACCAGTTCGGCAGCAAGCCCGACGCGCGCTCCAGTTGGGTGGCTCCCGAGAATGTGCAGCGTGTGCAGCAGGAGGAGGTGAGGTTTGTCAAGGCGTGGCTGGACGAATGGCGCGAGGAGCGTGGCATGGCAAGGGAGGAAGACTTTGGTCTTGAGTTGTAAATATCAACTCCAGAGGAGGTGAATTGCAAGTATATAAGAAAATCAAACATGTTCATTACGTAGAACCCGGATGCCTCGACGGGTCTAGTATGTACGCTCATATGCCCAACGCAAATCCTAAACCAGAGAAGAAATCATACGCTATGCTTAAAACGTCTTTGTCCGTGCATCGATGACGGCGGCCTCGACCGCCTCCTGCAGGTCAAAGTGGAAGAGCGGCCTGTTCAGTCCCTGAACGACCACCTGCTTCGTCCGGAGTTCAGCCCGCAACGGCATCGCCTCAATGTCATTGCCGTCGCTCCTATCCTTCTCCTCCTTCATCGTGGCGTGCTCCCCCATGAGCTCGGCAATGGAGAAGATGGGCTCGGCCTGCCCCTGGCCCTCGCCTGTGCGCATGCCGAAGCCCGCCGCGGCCAGACCTCGCTTCGTCCAGCGGCTCGCAATGTTGGCAAAGTGCCAGTCCACCGTGTCTGGCGCCGTGTAGCGGTCCAGCTGGTTCCGTGTGTCGATGAGTGCCTGCACCGATGTGGCGTCAATGTTGTTGACGGACGCAAAGTCGAGCACGATGCACTTGAGCGTGGGCCGCGTGTCCTCTGACGCGTCAAGATGGCGAGGTGCGGCATCGTTCCAGGGTCGGTCACCAATCTTGCCGAGCTTGGCGGGATCCGTTCGGCGGGTGGCCTTGAAGATGTGCTCGGTGAGGTGATTCAAGTAATGCGAAGCATTGGGGTAGTTGAAGCCCTCGGCGAATCGATACACAAACACGCCAGGGAATGGGTCCTCGACCGCGATCTGACTGTTGGTACCGTCGTCGTGACCCAGAGGCAAAAAGCCGGGTCGCAGGGAGAACTCGTAGTCGGAGTCGCTCTTGGGGTCGCTGCCGAGCATGCCACCCTTGATATCGCCGTCGCTATCGGACGAAGGCGTGCGGCTGCCCTCGTTCTGTCGGACTGTCCTGATCCGCGCACGCCCAAGGAAGCGGCCCTGGCTGAGGAACAAGCGCCAGATCAGGACAACAAATGACGAGGCAATGGTGGTGTACACGCCGTTCTCAATGTTCGTGAAAACAGTGACCAGAACGCCAGCAAAGAAGATGGGCACCTCGTGGGGGGCAACGCGCCAGAACTGGTATACGGTTCGGGGTGGTGTGATGACGTCGCAGACGGCGTGGATGATGACGGCCGCCAGCCCGGCATTGGGAATGTACCAAAAGACGGCTGTCAACGCGTACAGCGCCAGGAGCACGACAACACCAGTGATGACGCCGGCGAACGGGGTGCGGACACCAGCCTTCGACTTGATGGCAGTTCGGGAGAAGGATCCGGTAGCAGGGTAGGCGCCCAGGAAGGGGCCGAGAAGATTGGAGACACCAATCGCCACCAATTCCTGCGAGGGGTCGATCACGTAGTTGTTGACACGGCCAAAGGACTTTGAAATGGCGATATGCTCAATGAGCATAACGATGACCGCCGCGGGCAGTTCGTTGACAAACGCAGATATGATCTTGCTATTCAGTTGCGGCACATCGGCGTGCCTGAAGCCCGAGGGGACGCTGCCAACGACACTGAACATGGGGTCGTCCCTGCGGTTGATGTTGCAGCCGGCGCTGATGCCCGTGTACAACAGGATCACGAACGCAGTGCGGAGCGTTGAGATGAAGAAGTAGATCTTTTGGCGATGGGGCTGCTTCTTCGCCATGTGCGAGCAGCCGCCTCGGACCATGTAGAGCATGACCAGAGCAGACAACCCCAGAGCCGCGTCGAGGGAGGTGTTGGGTAGACCCTTTAACGTGTCAATAACGACGAGGTGAACACCTCTGCCGCGGGTTGAGACGTCCGGGATCCCCATGAGTTTGGGCAATTGGCCAGCTGCGATGGTGACGGCGGAGCCGGTCATGAATGCACAGATGGCGGGAAGTGGGATGAACTCGACAAGCCAGCCCAGGCGCAGAAGACCAAGGGCGACGATGATGGCACCAGTGATGAAGGCCAATGCCGAGGCGATGATGTGTGCGTCGATCTCAGGAAGCTCTTGGCGGGCGCGCACGACAACGTCGCCTGTGACTTGAGACATGACGGCAACAGGCTGTCTCGTTAGCCACGCTCGGCTGTATGGGATGGGAGAAAGCAACTTACACCGATAGTGATGTCCTTGGACGTCGCAAAGAACCAGTAGACGATGACACCCATGAAACTCGAGTAGAGACCATATTCAACATCGAGCTGGGCCAACTGCGCGTAGGCCATGGACTGCGGCACGACGACGGCACCGACCGTGACACCGGCGATCATGTCGCCCAAGAACCACGTGAGGTTGTACTTGCCTATCCAGGAGATGAAGGGAAAGAGGTTGTACACGTAACGTCCAGCGTCGCGCGGCGTAGGCATATGTTTCCTCGCCCAGTCGCTGACACTGGGATCCGTCTCGGCGTAAGGATCCGCATTGGCGATGGGGGGGATAGGCTCCTCGGGGCGCGAGGCGTCGATGCCCAAGATCTTGGCCATGCGGCTCTTGACGTTGGCCATTGTGATGGTAATGAGGGCTCGCCGGTGAAGATTGAAGAGGAGAAGGAGAGGAAGGGAGGAGGGACGGCAAGGAGACAAGTCTTGCGGGTGACGTTGTCAGGACCCTGGCTAATGAATGGAGCTGTATCCAGATGCCGGCGAGTGGGCGCAGGAACTCAATTCATGTGATGACAGGGACGTGAGATCGTCTAATTGATCGCCAGGCCAAAACCAAACGGGACTGGCCAAAAGAGACTCCTGACAGGGGACGGCACCAGGTGTTGAATTGAAGTCAGGGCTGGATGGGTCGTGGGAGGAGGGAGAGGCGAGAGGCGGAAAGGCGAGAGGAAGGATGGAAGTCAAACATGATATCAAAGCTGATAAATACTGTGAGACCTGGATCGGGGTCGTCGCTCGAGTTTCTCTCACCTTGGGCGCCAAGGCCCATAGAGCCACGCAGATCCGGTGCCTCCAGGGCGTGTCCTCCGCGAGAGTGTATGGGAGGGAGGGTCAGCGTTGGGACCATGGGCCCGAGCCCAGCCAACGGAGAAGCCCCAGGATTGCGTGCTTGCGACCAGTGACGACTGCTTCTGCGGTGTCTGCTCGCGGCACGGGGCTGCGTTTGGGGTGAGATACACCGTCGATTGCGCCATCCGCGGCAGGACCAATCAGAGTTCGCGGAACGGGTGGCGCCCCATTACATCTGACGAAAGGCGCGCGAGCTGGGTTGGGGGGATGGCAACTGCGGGACAGTGAGAGCATCACGATGATGCCTTGTGGTGGAAGAGACTGGAATTGGCGGCGTTGAAGAGTTTTCGAGTCCCGTCCTCCGGAGCAAAGGGAAAGTTCGTCGAGATCTTGATTGATAGTCAGGGCAAGGACCATGCACCTCATCTGCTCTTGCAGCTAGGGACGAAGCTTGTTTGCGGCGGTCTTTTCATTGGCTGCGCCCGGTTTGGCAGCGATGCGTCTGTGCCCTGCCCTGCCATACAGTGGACTATGCCCCAGTGCCCGCCCGCACACAGCCTGTACGGATACCTGCTCCGCAATCCGCGATTCCGCATAGCGAGCACGCTTCGCTGCTTCCGTCGCTTATCTGCTCGACTACAATTACTGCCTCCCTCGATTGCTAGCCCCTTGAAAAACGTGTCTTCAATCATTCGACCTGAATGCTTGTCGACGTGACCTCAACATGGTGTTCCGCATGACACGTCGGTTGTTCAACTAGTAGTGGTGCAACAGTTTCGCAGACATGGGACGCACGTTCATGTTGTCTGGTTCATCACTTGTTGTACCAACCTCGTCGGAGACTGGGTCTTTGGTGACTCGTTACACCTGCAGGCAAGATGATGGCGCCAGCTCACGACAGAAGGGTTTGCAGCCGTCTTGTCTCTCCAGCGAAGATGCTGATCAAGATTCATGCTTCCTTCTGCTTTCCGATCTGTCTTGTTTCAAACGTTCGGTCCGTCCTTGTTGATGCCAGCTCCAGCATCGCCCATTTATCTGCTGGTCTTGCATATGGCATCCACGTAATTACCGTGAACACTGAGCTGAACACTGACTGGTCAAGGCTAGTAGTATCGCATCTCAAGTCTATTTATTGCCTGCCACATAGGCTTGAGCCTTAAGCCACCTGCCTGTTTGCTAATTCGTTGAAGGGCAACAGAACCAGCGCGTAGTTTTCAAATCTCGGCGAAGTTATTACAACATCGCATCCCAGTCGAAACGCCATCGATGGATGATGGTCACTTGCTAGGGCTCTTTTCCACATCCTGCTCCCGTCACCGCACGAATCGCTATGTAGTGCTCTCCCACATATGGTGTCACTTACATACGTAGATGCCAGTCCAGCTAGCCTCTCCGCTAGTCTCTCCGCCAGCAAGCCGCTGGTGGGAGGAGAACCTCCTCTCCATCTTCCACTGGACATTGCTGGCCGTGGCTAGAAATCTTCCCTGCTCATCTCTCTTCCACCGTCCTGCGATCTCTGGATGACCCTGATCTAAATTGTGCCATAGGCTTTGAACTCCTTTGTCCATTGGATGAATGAGCTTCAGAGCTTCTATTTGTGCCAGCATCTCCAGCCCTTCTACGCGGGATCCACGAGACTCTGAGACTCTCAGTGCATAGTGTTCCCACCCCCACACCTGAGCACGTCAGTGCCAGGGTCAAGCTCGCCATTCGGCTTACAGCCAACATACCAAAACCGTCTTTCGTCTTTTTAGGTTTGCATGTTCCATTGCTCCACGACAGCTTTTGCCGTTGGCGACAACTCGAAGTGGGCTTGTTGACGATTGCACGCGGCTAAGGCGAGCGATACTTGGATGAAGCACACGGGCTCGCCTTGCAGAGGTCGGAATGCCAGAGAGAGCCAAGACACGGCGCAAATGACATGGCGAGGGCTTTACGGAGGAATAGTTCGACCCCTCGGCGCCTCGGGGTCTGGAGTCCCCGTTCAGAAGAGATAGCTGGTCTAGTTCGGTCCAGCGACTCCCTTCAGCCTCTGCCGGAGGTCTCTGACCTGATCAGGTCGGAGCTCCTAGCCGCAGCCACATATCCACGCCCTCTGATCTAAATGACGATTGCGTGTACTGCGAACAGTACTTAGTTAGGTACGTGTGCTCTGTGGTTAGCCCGGTCTTCTCAACCAAGTAGTCGATTGGACTCATCATCAAGCCAAGACGATTGCTCTACTTCCCCCACACTCACATTCTACTTCTCAGCTCTCGCCAGGGACGCCTGTGGACCGCAGGCGACAAAGCTCCCATGCTGTATTGCAATAAGAGCGGCGTCTGGCTTCCAATTTTTACAATGGTCGAGGTGCACAGATTGGGATGCACGTACACAAACATGTCGAGCGCCGAAACGCCGTGTACTAAATAGTGCTGAATTGGTTCCTACTAGCCGATACAGTTAAGTCTTTCCACATCCCCGAACGACGGTGCAGCTCGTGCATCATCCGCCGTAGATCCCCGAAGCTGTGACTTCTCACTCATGAACAAGCTTGGCAGCGGATAGCCATGTTCTAACAGAACGCGAGAAGACGACGGATTCGTCTCACACAATTCGGAACGGGCTCCTTCGGGCGAACCATCTCATCAAAATACCGATACTCGGTGGAAGTTGGGGGCGGGTGTGAGACTGATCGAGAATCGGGGGGCAAGATTAGATTGATAAGATCCTCGTTCCCAGAAGGCCCAGTCTCCGTGTACCGGACCCGGAGGCCGGAGGCCCGTCTGCGTCGCTAGTTCAGGGCCTGTGCCGAATCGACAGCGAACATTTGTGTAATTTCCAACCATACGAATCAAGATTCTGTTTGAATCTGGTTATTATCATTAGTTCCACATATTATGTGCCTTCTAGTTCATTGAAGAATGCGGACGTTGGCCGTCACCAGCCTCGGACAGACATCCATCCGCCCCATTTTTGATGTGAAGAAAGACCCCAGCTAGCCAATGCGTACGTGTGCCGACAGTGATTGCCGTTAGTAGACACACTTCTCAAGCCCGCCTCCCTTGACTCGGCACGTAATCTATGTTGCCGACCCCGCGAGATGCTCTCATGTCTCAGACATCCGTTGCGCCCATACCTGCTACGTCATAAATGCCGATTTGTAAATAATGGACAGTATCTTTGAATGCCGGATTTTCATCGCCGCTGTTTCTTGCGTCCCGATGGACTCGCACAGCTACAGGCTGGCGAAGCGCTGATCGAACTTGCAAATCCTTGCCCGGTAGACCATGGCTGAACCGACGAGAATGAAGGAAGCAATAGATCCGTAAAGGAGGCGCGGGGTGCCGCATTCCAGTATGTACCGCATCAAGGGAGCCGCCAGAAGACATGCCGGGCTGATGACCAAGTTGGAGATGCCTAGACAGATGGTCAGTTGTTGTGTCGGCCTTACGGTGGCAAGCTGCACTCACCCAAGAATTTCCCTAGGTCTTTAGGATCGGACAATTTGCCGATACAAGCCGCGAACAAGGGCACCCAGCATCCAGAGAAGAAGCCCCAGGTAGTGGAGGCAAAGTACAGCGGCATGGCGCCCCTGTCAGCCAACGCAATGTCCACGCCCAGTAGGACGACGACCTCGGCGATGCAGGTCCAGAACAGCAGCATCAGGGAACCCATAGAGTCGGCGATAATTCCAGACATGAGCCGGCCAACAAAGGATGCGGCACTCAGGGCGATGAGGCAGTACTGGCCGTCGGTTTGCGTGGCACCCACTGCCTGTGCAATGAATGGGACCGACGCGCTCGTCCCAAAGATACCGAATTGCAGGAAGAAACTGCCGCCAACAAACCACGCATATGGCGCATTACGCTCCCAGGTGTTCTTGGTGAAGAGCTTGGTGATCAAGACGAGGCCCTCCATCTGCGACTTGAAGGTTTTCCATCCCTGCCCAGGAGCCACCTTGAGCTCGTCTGGCACGACGCGGTTGAAGAAATATGTAGCACCGAGCGCCAACACGGCAATCGCACCATTCACCACGGCGAAGATCTGATTGCCAGTCCGCCACGAGTCGCCATACATGGAGCGGAAGGAGGCGGCGTAGATGATGCCGGCGAGCGAAGAGCCGCACATGGTGATGCCCTGCGCCAAGCCCCCACGCTTCTGGAACAGCTTGCCAGCCATCGAGGGCCCAATGGCGATACACATGCCCACAGTGAGCCCGTGCCAGGTGAAGACGGCGACGAGGTGGCCAAATGTTGTGCAGAACGAGAGAGTGATGAACACGCCCACAGTGCTGGCGACGGCGACGTAGCTCATCAGGATGGGTCCAAAGGTGTCCATCACCACGCCCAGAAATGGTGTCGAGACCATGGCGACAAAGCTGGCGATGCCGGACAGCCAGGTATGCTTGGGATCTGCGCCAAAGTGATTGTCGATCTCTGCAATGAGCAGCCCATGAACCAGAAGAGCGCCTAGTGAGCCACGTCAGTACAAGAAACTCCATGTCATGTCAAACACACCTTGGGAGACCATCATCCACAGAAACGCGCCCGTCACCACCACCCAAGCTCGCGCACTCTTGTCATTGTGCCACGTCTCTCTCTGTGATGTTTCCGAGCCCCGTCTCGAGTCGACAGAGACGCTGAGCTCGTCGCCTTTCTCGTGATCAACCATGTCGACGCCAATGGTACATTCGACAGCAGCTGTACTTTTGCTCCTGTAAGCAGTATCTTGTGACCAAAGGGAATCATGGTCATAGAAATGTGTCAACCAGCCAAGGTGGGCGTGGGGGTTTCCCAGGGCCGTAATATATCAAACTCACGGGGCTATCAGGCTGTGGAATCTCCAAGAGTGTTGTGAGCTAACAAGTCTCACCTTCCCTTGCTCGACCAGCAGTCCGCCAAGCTCGCATAGTAAACGCGTACATGTACCCCACGATTCATCTCCCTAGTCGCCGATGCGGGCCTCTAGTAAGCGTATCCGCGTTGATGAGGAATGTGGTTCGTGACGCTGTGTGGGCCTCCACGGGCCGGGCCCGCGATCGCACCGGGTGTTATGCTGTATGAAAAGGTGCTATCGCCGACTGATCGAGGAGAAGAAACGCCCTCTTGCATCGTATGGTATTGTGCGCCTCCAACGCGAAGTCGCTATGCGCCCGCAGCGGCGGGAAAGGGGGGCCTGGCTTAGTTCACCATGACAACATCGACTCAAGATACTCCGTCTTGCAATCCATGCTCGAGTACTAACGATTGTAAATGTGGCATCTCTTGTCTATAGTATATGTTGTGTGGATATGGCAGGCACAGAAATACCTATTTACGGCAAAGCTTCCCTGTTTGAAGGGTGAGACACTCATCTTGTCCCTCAATGTACCAATCTTCACTGCCGACCGCTGTCGGTGCGTAAAAGACCCCGAGCGGGTCAATCCTCTTCTTCATGTTGTAAAGTGCCTTGTAGTTGGCCCCAAAGAACGATTGACCAAAGTCAAGATCCATCACCTCGCCCTCTTTGCCGTAGCCGCCATATCCGTGCGTAATGTCCTTGAGCGGCTGCATGATCTCATCCATGATGCGGTGATTGATTTCGGATATATCTTCCTCAGTGGCGTCGGCCACCCAGCCAGAGCCGGTAATGACAAACATGAGCGCGTCCCGCCACGCAGGGTTGGCGGCGCTGGCAGGTGTGCCCTTGGGGGCTGCCGCGTTGATGTTATACATGATCAGTGGGGCGCCCTCCTCGGCAATGCCGCGAAGCGTGTTGAAGGTCTTGTTCCAGAGGTCTTTATCCTCAAAGTTGCCGCGCGGAATAAGGCGCAAGCCCGTGCGGACTTTAGCGGCCCTAACGTTGTCATTAGGGAAATGGCTGCGCCACTTGGGGGTAGAAGCCGTCGTTCTCAAAGTACTCGGGCTTCATGTTGACCCCTAGCGACTCTCACTCCTGGAGCAGGGGTGCGACGAGCTTCTTGGAGTCCGGCAGCTTCATGCCGGGCACGACCCACGGGTTCATGGACCACACGTAGGCGCCGGGTCCTGCAGGGAAAATGAAGTGGTATCCGTAGCTCTTGACGTCCGAGAAGTCAGGGAAACTCGACCAATATGCTTCGACCGCAGACCAGAATTGAGTCTCACTGATGTTGAGGGAAGAAGTGGCAACGTTGAAGGTCATGCCGGAGAAGGGTATCTTAGGGTACACCTTGAAGGTCATGGAGGTGACCACGCCCCATGTGGCGGCACCACCGCCTCGAATAGCCCAAAAGAGATCCTGGTCGTTCTCTTCGTCTACAGTGATGAAGCGCCCCTGTGGAGCGACAATATCCACGCTGAGGATCTGGTCGGAAGCCAGTCCAGCGATGGGACTCAGAGGCGAATGGCCGCCACCGGCAGCATAACCGCCAGCAACTCCGACGTCCTGGTATCGAGTCAGCAAATTTAGCCTTACGTCTTGGCAATGGTCTCTCACTCGACATTCACCCCCGACAGCGGTGAACCCTTCCGTCTCTGCCGTTTCGCACACTTCGCGAACTTGGACACCGGCAGCGACCTTGAAAGCAGGGCCAGTGTAGCTCTTGGTCTTGTATTCCTTCAACACCTGAATGCTCTTCATGTTGTAGGTTCAGACCGACAAAGCACCCGCGCCGGTGCTCTTACCGAGAAAGTCATGGCCGGTGTTGTGGACGACAAGACGGAGGTTGAGGCTCCTTGCCAAGTTCACAGCGAGCTGAGTGTGGGCAACTTGTAGCCTTGATGGAGTACAGGGGGACCCGCCAATCTCGCACTCGCCGCCTGCCTCGGCGTCCTGAGGCTGGCAGGTTCCGCCCTGAAACAGGGGCGACATGGCCGAGGTGGGATCGACAATGCTATCTTGCTATGAGGTGACGTGAAACAGGGACGCCATGAAGGGTAGCTTACTGGGTGGAAGAGTTGGCCCAGTTGCTGAGAAGAAACTCGCACTTCTCCGCATCGTAGTGCTCGCCCTCGTAGCAGGCCGCCCCGAGCGGAACAGTGGAGATGACAGCACCGCCAGTCAGAAGGTCGAGGGTTTTCCAAACAGCCTTTCCAGGGAAGAAGATCTCTGGGATAGGTCTTGCACTTGCCGCTCCACCTGCTGGCAAGCTCTCACTTGGTGATGTCGTCTTCCGACTCATCATCGCCAAAGTAGAAGAGCGAAACGTTGCTGAGCTGCAGATCGGTGAGGTTGGCCAAAATGGCGTCAGTGAGCTGCAGCTCTTCCTCTGGCAAGATAAACTGGACTCCGTTGACCTATTCAGCCGCTGGCGAGATATTGGAATTATCGGCCGCTACACGAAACTTTTGTCAACAACCCAAGCCATGCAAGGCAGTCGGCCATAATTTGAACATACCGATCACATCACCATCTATAGTGATGTTCTGGGAGGAAACACAACTCACAAAGCAACCAGTGAGTGCAAGCTATAGGAGGACGCCTCTTTTCTGCATCGTGAAGGAGCTGTGCTGGGGGTCGGAATGGGAAGAGGGAACCAGTGTTGCAGTGAGAGTGCTTCAACCGAGTCGAGGGGATTCAAGTATTAGGAGAATGCGAGGTCAAAAATCCCTCCTAGGTCCTGTCAAGTAGGCCAAAAGGGATGTATGTCCACTGTGGACCTGCCGCTAATCAGCGCATATGCAACACCCCCAGAACTTCAAGTTCTCTGGCGGGCGGACTGCTGTATGCTCCAGGTCGGGCGGCCTATTAAACACGACAGATCACATTTGCCTATGGGCACCTGGGTCCTTCCGAGCACAACACACAAAGGCCCATTTATTCATGACGCTACCCCAGGTGCTCAGAAGTATCAGTTCAATGTATCATGACTTGCGTGACAACCCTCCTTATCTTTTGCGTTAGACGTGACTTTGTGACGATATCCTGGGTGCTGCCGCCCGTAGTTCACAGATTAGCCGAGATTGAGGCAATGCAGTTGCTAAGGCGGTCGTCTCCTCCAGAGAGCTGTGGAACTGAGCAGTCTTTACACGTGTAGGCCTTCCAGCGAGCCATCAAAGCGTGGCTGTTGGTCAACTGGAGGGGGCAGCAACCAACCAAGGCCCACTGGCTAAGCATGCATTAAAGTATTGAGTATTGAGCCGCATTGATCCGCGGAACTTTACGTGTAGAAATTCTCCACGTAAAACACGGCAGCTGGGGGGCCAGTTCCCCGGACATGGTGTTCATGTATGATCCCTAACACCAGGGTCAGCTCACTGGCTGGAAGTATTTAGCTTTGCACTGAATAGAAACGGATTATAACTAATTGACTGAAGGGGACAGTTCATCCATTACTCAATCAACTCAATACCTTTAAAGTTTCTAAAGAAATCTGTCTCAAATATTACAATTGGTATGATATAGCTCTACCTTGCCCGTGGAGTGTGGGCCGTGGCAGCTGGGCATGTGGGTACTTGGACCGTCCCCAAGGGGAAGAGAGGACGTGATTGCTATCAAAAAACCAAACATCAATTGCCGATGATGCTTCTTCACAATCGACGCCATGGATGCTGGTTCACCGGTCTCGTTAACGAGTGTTACATTCTGCCAGGGGCACATCGCAACATTAGCCGTTGTTCCAGATTCCTTAATGAACGATGCGCATGCGTTCCCCTGACTCCCACCTGCAGCTGAAATAGCAAATCCTTCTCAGCATCATATTCTCTACAACCAACGGGCTTGGCATCTACTCCGTAAAACTCCCCGTCGTTGCCCAGCTCCCTCCTGAATCCTCCTGAATGCCCCATCAACCAGTTAATCAACGCGACCTGCATGTACGTAATGAGGGCCGGGGACCTCAATTAATTTCACCCTGCCTCTGGAGTCAGCAACAGCCCGAGTGATACTGCTGGCGATATACGAGTTTTGATCGGATGCCAGTCCGCAGTTATGTGCGTGGAGGTGCTGATCAGAGGCATTTCTTCAGTACAGACATCCAATGAGACAACCGTGCTACCACGAGCAAGTCACTCACACTGGGGAGGTCCAGTCAAGAAATATTGCGAAGAGTAACGGGACCTAATCGAGAACTTGCATTTTCAAATGCTCATGTGATGCGTGGCCGACGAGTACCACTCGGCAACTGAAAGATGCGTAAAGACTGACTTGGAAAGTGATTCGCATACTTCCTTGATTTATTCACCCTGGGCGTAACAGACATCCCAGGCGCTCCATGTGCCTACATGCAACTTCAGCTTTTTGGTTCATAGTGCCAGGGTAAAATTTCAGACCAAGTGAGGCCAACCAACTAAAGAAGTTTTCATCAGTACTCTTCATCTCTTCGATGGCAGTTACATTCCAACACATCAAGTTGAGTCCTTAAACCATCCAAGCGTAGCGTCAACAACAACTCTGCGGTGGAGGCTGGCCTTTTGCTCCCGCAAAGCGGACCTCCACCCAAGCTGCAGAGGACCGCAATCGCCGTCATCTTCGTCTTTCCGGCACTTTCTTGCATTTTCTTCAGCATGACGGCTTATATCAGGTTTTCCATGCGGCAGTGGGGAGTTGACGACTGGCTGTGCGGACTCGCGTTGGTACGAAACATGCCTGCTGTGCCAGTCAAATCATGAGCTTCTCTAACATCTCAGAAGCTTCTCTCCTTGCTGTTTACCGGACCGCTATTGGTGTGTGAGTTAGTTCAAGGAGACGAAAACTGAGATGAGCCCACAGACACCAAACACAGTCATCAAGTTGAACTACTTTGGCTGGAGAGCAGTTGACGTCCCAGAATCCGACCCGAGACCTGGATTCTGGTGGAACTTTCTGGTGCAGATGTTCTACAATCCTGTCCTGGCCCTTGTCAAGGCGTCCATTCTATTCTTCTTGCTCCGTCTGAAGGCCAAATGAAGTGCGCACGCTATGCCATCTACGCGCTCAACATCTTCAACGCGGCGCATGCCGTTGCCATCTTCTTCACTGCACTCTTCCAATGCATGCCCATGGAGGCCAACTGGGACTTTGCCCTCAAGTTCGAACCCGGGACCAAGTGTATCGATCACTCTTTCCACGTGATCGGCTCATCTCTGACAATTTTCACCGATCTGTGCATCTTGATCATCCCATTCTGGATTTTCCTGAGTCTCAAGATGCCCAGGGTTGCCAAGATCGTGGTCATTGGCATCTTCTTTCTGGGGTCTCTGTGAGTGCATTTCTCGCTATTCGCTTGGCTGTGGCTGACCAACTTGCTTCACAGTATTGCCGTTTTTTGTGTCATCCGAGTCGTGGACGTGTACAACATCTTCTTTGTCACACCAGATCCGGATAGCGACCCGTACTATAACATTACGGTTGTCTACTCGAGCGCCGAGGTCAACTTGATCATCAGCACCGCGACGATGCCTACACTACGCTCGCTCTTCCGAAAGTGGTTCCCAAGTCTGTTGAGCGGCAGCTCAGGACAAAGCCACGGCCGTCCGACTTAAAGAGTGTGTACTGCGGTAGGCAGTTGATTGTTGACAGTGTTTCACTCCTCGGACGTTGGGTATTATAAATAATGATTGTACTTGGTACTGGGATTCTGGCTCAGATACTGTGATATGATATATTCATTCAAGAAGTGCCATATTGTGAAACGCAGGGCAGCCCAAGCTGCCCAATGGACTGGAGTGCTCTGGAGCTTTCGGGGCACAAGTGACATCGATCTCGGATCTCCTCGTGCGCGGCTCGGCCCGAAGCCAACTGCCCGATGGATACGATATGCTTATCTGTTTCTCCCAACCATCTCAAATTCTGGCATCTTGCCACGGCTTGCATGTAAGTACTGAAGAAGGAAGGCCTGTATGTATTTTCTGTCCACTGCGCAACGCAGCGTTATTGGATAGCGGAGCGAAAGCTCCGTCCATTGAGTCGCCCCGCCTTTCTACGACTTTGTCCAGTAGCAGCAGCGCAGCCAAGACCACATTCACGGCCGCCTCACTGACGTCACAGCTCTGGTGCCTGAGACACTAGCTCAATGAGGTGAATTATTCCTAGCTTTCTCCAACGTCCGAGGGCTCACTCTACTTCCCTTGGCCAACTCATCCAAGTTCCAAAGTAAACATGGCCGGCTTCGTGCAGCCCCTTTGCGAACACACGCACCGACGCCTGCATATCTTCCCGCTCCTGGCGTCGATATCCTGGTTCTCGACGCTCACAATCCTCTTCGCCCGATGGATCAGCCTCGGCCGACCACGCTACCCAGGCCAAGTCAACCCCGACGTCCCCTTCGTCAGCGACATTGCGGCGTTTGCCTTCAAGCCCATCTTCATCATCGGGTGCACGCTGACCAGCATCGGCTTCGTGGGCACCGTCTGGAGCGTGCACCATGTGCGCTACTCGGTGCACTTTTACGGCCTGACCGACGACAAGGCCTGGAGGAAGGTGCTGAGCGGCATGGCCATGGTCAGCGGCCTGGTCGCTGGTGGCTGCCTGCTGCTACTCAGCGTCTTCGACACCTTTGAGGAGCACGAGAAGCATCGGTGGCTGCTGGTGGGCACATTTGGCGGTCTGGCCCTTAGTTCGCTCGCGACAGAAGCTGTGTGGTGGGACGAGACGTACAAGGCTGCGCGCTTCCCGGGCCTGAGGAAGTGGTGCTTGGTCAACACCGTTCTCGTCCTGTGCATCGCCGTCACGGGCACCCTGTTCCTCGTGTTCCTCTACACCGACTACTACAGACGAGCGGGTTACCTCGAGTGGACGATCACCTACCTCGGGTCACTATGGCTGGGCACGTTTGCAGGTTACATCAGGTACGTCGCGCCCCGAGATCATGTTGTTTCATGGGTATCGCTCGCTAATTGCATCATCAAACAGATTCCGCGAGAGAGGTGGTGTCGCCCGGGCGCACCATGAACCCGAGCAGCAGCCCCTCTTATCCCCATAACGCCCAACGCCGTACTTCTCCTCCCCATCTCAGGCAGTTTGCAGAACGTCAACGATCCAGTCCAGCCCTTGCTGGCAGTCGCTGAAGCCACACTTGAACATGAGTGGAAAGTCGTGCATCATCTTGTCGCACTGCAGCCATTGGCCCTCGACGCCCACTTCGGCGCATCGATCACGGAAATTCACTGCCTCGGGCGCCAACACGTCAAATCCTGCTGTCACACCGTGCACGGCTATGTCGGCCGCCGCGAACAGACTGATATCGCCCGCCGCCGGTGAGATTCTGGGATCGGAGATGCTAAACCCGGAATGATCAGAACCAGTTTCCACGCCCTCTCTCATGTTCAACCACTTGCGAGCAGCCCCGTTGACAAAATCCAGCGTCATCATCGAATCGTACGGCTCCACGTCCTTGATGTTTTCATCGAGATGCCGTAGATCCGTCGGCGCGCAAATTGCCATGACGGCAGCGGGTTGGGGACCCTCTACACCCTGTGTGCTGAGGCTATGGAGCACAACGCTCAACGCCAGATTGCCTCCTGAGGAATCGCCCGCCCAAACAACCCTCTCGCCTACTTCGACACTCCGACGCATCACCTCCTTGTACAGACGGTCCAAGTGCGGCAGCGCCTCGGATGCCGGGCATTCTGGTGCAAGGGGGTGCGATATGACCGACACCGTTGCATTGTGCACCCTGCGACTGAGCTCCGCGGCCAAGCGCCAGTGCATGATGCTGGGCGGCTCTTGCCAGCTCCCGCCGCAAAAGTAATATATCCTGCGCTTCGGATAGTCGCAATGCTTGTTCGACTTTTTGGGGACCATGTCGTAAATCCAGGTCCCCTCAACTTGGTACTCTTTCCAGTGCGTGGTACGCACTGCCCAGATGGGCGGCTTCAATCGAACGGGATGCGTGCTGCGGGACTTTCCCGAGGGCGCGACGAGGCGCGGGCGGAATGGCTTGAGGATAAATTGGAGGGCAGCCATGGGAACAGACCTGTCGGGTCGATGGGTGATTTTGATCCGCGAGCCGGAGGAAGAGGTGTCGCCGTTGGCCTCGTCGTCCGCCGGAGGCCCCAGCTTCTCCATGGCTGCAGGCGATGTGCTAGACATGACTGGGCGTGGATGGGTCAGGCACGCTGAAGGAAGCCAAGAAGCATCGAGTCTGGGCGAGTAGAAAGTAGTGAGAGAATGTCCCCCCGAGCACTGATTACAAAAGGCACTGTTCGTGAAGGACTGTAGAGGCGCGTCTGCGGCGCCAATCTCGCAGAGACAGACAATTGGGGTACAAGGGTATTCCTGGAAGATAATAAGGGATTGGTGGTGGAGCGTCGACGTCACCGTGCCGGTGATGACCGCATGTGGCTTTTCTGAGGAGTCGCTGGACCCTGGGACCGGACTCATTTTCCCAGCCAGCAGCTGGCCAATTCGTGTACGTACGTACGATGTTGAGCCCAAGATTGCCCGTCAAGGATTCACCTGCCATTGTCGTGGCCTTTGCATACATTCCCGGCAGAGGACGCGCAGGGATTACGCTCCGGTCCCTTCAAGCTGTCATGCACGAAAACGACTTAACGATGTGTGGAAATGTAGCCTCGAGATCGATGGCCTCAACAAGCTTCGCCAAGCGGCGCACATAGGGTCTCTTCCGTACACGTGATTAGCTCGGAATCTGTAGGCATGGGTGTCTGGGATGGCCACAATTAAAAAAAAAACTTGGCACGGCGTTGGTTGGCTGCCGGAATTATCTATCGTCACCGAACACGTCCCGAATATTGGTGCCTGTTGTAGTCTTGGCTGGCGTGGAGGAAACAAGACTGCACGGGAAAGGTTATTAGATGCATGCACGGTGTTGTCGTTCTACCTGCATTTTATTTCTGAAGCGTGAGGGCCCAGACTGCCGTCTGGTAGCGCTAGGATATACTAATCTAATAGCCAAGGACGCTAGATACTTGAGTGACACTTATGGTCGTGGAGCCGTCTTCCATCTCAGTCACGCCCAGTACAGCTGACGCGCAGGAGATTCTCGCCTAGAGAGACAGGCTAAAGAGGAAATATTTTCCTCCATAATCAGATCAGCATTGCGATGGAGCCGGTAGAGACAATGCTGGAGAGGACGAGGATGAGGACGGTTCGTTCACCTTTGCGCAAGACCATGCACAAGCCAAGCACTTGTAAACACTAAATCTCGGCCCCTTCTCCAACAATCCCTCAGTCCTTTGGTTGATAGTTGGTCTGGTGGTCTAGTGGTATGATTCGCGCTTAGGGAGTTCTTCTGGACTGTCAAACCCTGAGTTTCTAAACTTGCGCGAGGTCCCGGGTTCAATCCCCGGCCAGACCCCATTTTTTGTTTTTCGACCTGATATCTGCAAACAAAGTGCATAGCAATAGCAAAATTTGGTTCAGTGCAAGTTGCTCATGTGTGTATGATGATTGGAGGTCATGAGGTGCGGATATGGGCACGAGTGAGAAAAAGTATTAAGTAGGGCTGGGTGAGTGAATCATCACTCGACTTTTGGTCGGTCGAGTGCGGGTCGTGTCCAGCCCGGAATCCCCCCTCTTCCAACTTCCTTTCTTTTTTGGATCGACTCAAAGTCTATCTGTACATCTGTGAAATCACCCCCACTGAGAACGTACATCCTTTTACTTCCTCGTCGTGTCTTTTGGGCAGCAGGTGCGTGAGACATGCTCACCCACAACATCGATTGCTTCCTAGAGTCGTTGGCATCAAGTAGGATGTCATACTTGAGTTGGGAAAGGGGTGCGACACCAGACGCACGCGTTCACGCGTTCACGCAATGGAGTATCTAGATGTAATCCGTAGACGCCAGTTGATTGCCTATGATAATAGCAGATAGCCGCCCCACTAGATCCAAAAGAACGCTGTCGTGTGTTAATTATTCGTGAACCACGGGCATGCATGCCCCCCATCAATCATCAACTCATTCATTGCATCTGCTCGCCGCCCACCTGAGAGTTGATAAACGGCAGGCTGAGGCTGTTGTGATCCCAGAGCAGGGAGAAGTGGCCCATGACATCGTCCGTGATCAACTCGTCGTATCCAAAAGCGGGTATCATCTCGGGCATGGGAGGCTGTAGATCTGTGTGCTGTGGCATCATGGACATGGATGGCGCAAACATGCTCATGTCTGGATGCACCATGTGGCTCGGCACCTGCTCGTGCTTCGCGTCACCGAGCGGCGGGGGGGCAGGCGGTGGCCCCCAGTCGCCCAGCGATGGCTCCATGTCGAAGCTCTGCTGCTGCGGCATGATTTGGCTCTCGATCGAGGGCGCTCCGCTGTTGGGTGTGTTGGCGGCTGTGTGAGGCGACGAGCCCGTCGTCCCACTGTTGCCAAAGGTGGAGGGCGACGTCGAGGCCGAAGCCGAAGACGCATCCTCCCCGGGCGTCAGCTGCACTCGAGCCTTCTTGGACCGGCGAGGCCGAGGGAGCCGCTTGACGACCCGCGACAGAATATCGTACGATACCTGCGCCGTCTTGGACAGTTTGTTTACGCGGCGCAGCAGCAAGTATGCATTCTGTATGCCTTCCAGGATCTCGTCGCGCCGAGGAATCGTCTTAGCGCGGTCTTTGATGATGGCCGCAGCGAGGACAGTCGCTGTGTCAAACAGCGAAAAAATGATAAAGTGATAGCGGCCGTCTCGATGCGACGAGTATTCTGTCCACTGCCTAGTCGTGTCCAGATTGCGTAAGGAATAGTAGACACCAATATCCCTTATGCGCAGGTCCTCGGCCGACGAGTTCTCGTCGAAATATTTGCCCATGTAGAGGCGGATCGGATTGAGGATCATCAGGTAAGCCATGGTGTGAATGTAGAAGCGGTGGGATGTGACCCAGGGATGAATGCTGTCCCTGGACAAGTCGGGGTTCTCGGTGCTGTACACAGCAGGAAAGCCCGCGAGCCAGTCCTCAATGATGGTCTTGTACTCGAGGATCTCGTCGTGCGTCTTGACGTTCTTGGGGGCACCGAACCGAGCAGCGAGCGTCGTGATGGCCTGAGCCTGCAGCTTCATGTGCAGCAGAGGCGAGGGATCCACATTCTCGAGGGTGAGCGTCGGCAAAGCAACGTCGACATCGCCGTGATCGATCATGGTCGGTCTCTGGAGACCCGACGCGAATTGCCAGTCCCATGTCGACAGAATGCACCAGAGCCGTCTCCGCACCTCGCGCTCAAACTCGGGTAGACCATCGTCGGATTCGCTGTGGAAGCCCAGCTCTTGGGCCTCGCGGACTGCTTCGCCGATGCCATGCCATGCCTCGGGGAATTGGGCCTCGGCCTTGTGCCAGTATATGCTGTGGAGGGTGCGCTGTACGTTGATGACGTGATATCGGCCGCTGGTGATGGCAACGGCCAGGTCCTTGACCGTGTCGTAGTAGCGCTTGGACAGGCTGTCCGCCGAATCGCCCAGTCGTTGCTCAAGGTTGACCTTCATTTCCGCGTCCACGTGCTGCATGGCACAGGAAAGCATCATGATGAGAAGGCAGGTCCATTGCAGCGTGACAGGCTGTTGCTTCGTTGTCCGGTCCCACCACTGCTGGTATTCCTCTAGAAAGCGAGGCGGGTATATGATGTAGTAGTGATAGTTGACATTGTTGAAGAACATTTGCAACAGGCCATCCATCTGGGGTCGTTGCGGTAGAATTTCAAGCGCGTCACGCAGCTTGGGGCAGGTGTTGACGGTCACCCAGTCGAGTTTCTCAGAACCCTTTTTCATGTTCTAGTCAGCACAATGGACGTCAGTGCGCTCGTGAACCTGCGTCCAGCTTATCATACCTTTGGCTCCATGGTAAGCGAATCGAGTAGAGTGCCTGACATATATCCCAGGGCCTCGAGCCCCAGATTGTCGGCGTCATCATCGCTCTCATACTCGTTGTTCTGCTCGTCGTCGTCGTCGTCATCATCGTGGAGGCTGCGCGAGCGTTTGTTGCTGATAGCGGGCGTCGTCCTGTCGGTGGCCGTGGCCGAGACCGAGGCAAGGGGATTGGAGAAGCGGCAGATTTCAGCGACCTTGCGCTTCTGGCAGTGGTTGCAGGGCCATTCGCGATTGCACTTCTGCTTGCGACGCTGGCACTCTGTACAAGAGGTGCGATAGGCGGGGCGACTGCCACTTGATGGAAGCTCCATCACGAGGGATCCGCAAGCATGATCTGCTCAGAGTGGTCGGGCGGAGATGGGTGCGTGACAGTGCGGTCAAGCATGGAAGGATGAGGAGTGCAGAGAGGGAAGTACTTGGAAGAAGCAGAGAGACATAGCACGAGTAATCAGAAGCAGATGCGTGGTGGAGGAGTTACGGAAACGCATCCTGCTCTTCAAGCCGCAGGTGGGGCAGCATGGACGGCAGGCAGCACGGGGCTCGACTCAGTCGACTGGACTCGACCGCCAGCGACTCCAGTCCAGCCTCCTACCGTCCTACCGTCCGCCGCGCTAAAGTTGAGGACGTGGGGATGAAGTGCGCCCAATTGGGATGGAAGACACCTCGGCAAAAGGTCATGCTTCGGCCAACTGTCACTCCGTCACGGCTGTCCTTCTCCTAGGGTCCTGCGGTGCTCAACAGCAACCGTTGGCTTGTCTCCTCTTCTCGCGTTCCCATGTGCACGCGAGTGGGTGGGCGCCTCGAGAGCACCCGTCTGTCTGCCTGCGAGATCCCCGCACCCAACGCAAGAGATCTTGACACATTCACATGTCACTTCATGCTGGCAAGGATTTCCAAGATTTCTTTCCCTGGGAGGGGGCGGCCTATGAGGACGTCCTGGACTCCGGAGTCCGGCCTTGTCACAGTCCTTGATTGCCACTTGTTGACGTGTTGCAGGCGAACCTTACCCATCCCCCGCCGCAAGCGGGAGGGCCATGCAGGTGTCAAGCAAGCCATGTGTCCATGCGTCGGTGCGCCTTGGACAATTCGCGGGAAGAAGGCGTTCATGGCACCGGGAATTGACTTGGTGCTAGCGCTCTGGCACCCCGGTACTTTCTCACCACAATGCAACTCGCGCCAGTGCCGACTGTCTTGAACAGCGTATGTCTGGATGGCCGTCTGCGATCACCTACGTGTCGGACCAGTCCGTCCAGGCACCAGCTGCAGTGACCACAGCGCGAACCAAGTAAGGGCTGTCCTCATTCCCCACAGGCCATATGCCTTAGCGCACTTCCAGGGGCCAGGGCTCGTGCATATTAGGCTTGGCTAGCGCCAGGGCGTCAAGTTTGATGCTCTTGGAGTTCGATCTTAACTTATAAAGGCTGAATGAAGCTGGATCACGGGTCCACACGCCTCGATCTGAAGATCGCTGATCGCACTGTCGCACACTAAAGTTGAGCTGGCTGCTATTGTCCCCAGGGTTCCAAATGTTAGCTTATGGATAGAGCCCAGTTTTCTTCGGCACAATATATCATTGGCAGCTGTCTTTAATAAGGGCGGTGTCTGATTTGGCCAGAGATTGTTGATCAAATTACAGAGATAGTGCGGATCCTAATTATACTTCTTCCTCCGGCTGTTTTACGTTAGAGGGATAGGTAGATTGTATCCCTGCACTACTGCCACAGTTCACGCGCTGACATTTGGAATCCCTGGGGACTGTACAAGTAGCATAACCAAGGGTCGACCGGTCAAAGCTGTGAGATGTCGGCCGGTCTTCTGGGTGTTGTACTGGCTCTGTTGGTGCATCTTTCTTCGAACAAGGACGGCGCGGGGTACGGTTACGGGATTGGAGCTGAACGTCGAGAAACTCCAAAGGCAACTAGAGCATACGTACTACGTGGGAGTCTCAAGTGACAACAAGTGGATTTGACAGGTCCTGTACCCTATGTTCGGCAGTCAAAGCGAAGTGCCTTTATTCGTTGGGGATGGATGGGTTTCGGTGTAGGTGTGCCTCAAATCGAATTCTTCTGGTCGCTGATAAATAATCATTGTCCCGCGCAATCCCACGAATTGGATTTACATCCCTGAGGTTGGGAAATTCGTATTAATGAGAAGTAGCAAATGAGAAGTAGCAAAAAAACAATAACTTATCCGGTACGCAAGATGTCGTATTACCTTATGTAGCATCGGTAGTACCCTTGCGAGTGCGAAAAGGCAGACACTTTAGGGTAGGTGGTATGCAATCTAGGAACGCACGCAATACTTCATGATCTCTCGATCTACCGTCCCTAGGTTTGTATTCACACAGTATCAACCCTGCTCACCGGATCTACCTGACACAGTGCGTGGAATTGTATCACTTGCTCACAGCGTCCCGCTGCGCGTCGCGCGTTTCAACCGCGTTGCACCGCTTTGCACGAACAGGCCAGTCGTCACCATACCACAGCCACAGTTATTATTTTAACTCCTGTTTGCTATATCATTGGACTATCATGAGTGCTAGGCTCCTCGAACGCTTTGGGTGGCCAAGCCAAAGTCCAGTCCCTAAAAGGCCGGACAACAAATTGCGTGAGACCGGTTCTCCATCCCAGCAACAATCGAAAAAGCGCGCTGCCCCCGATCCCCCCCTGCGGACCTACGGCAACAAACAAGCGCGCAAAGCATTGCCATTGCCCAAGTCATCACGCGAAGCGGTCGTCGCCGCGCCCGCTGGTCGTGCCCGCTCTTCGCAACACAAAGGGTCCCCGACCAAGAGCCAACCGCCGTCACCGCTTGCTTACCAGCCCCCTATCGAGAGCTCCAGCCGCTCCGAAAGCCGAGCGCCGCTAGCTACCGTGTCTACCACCGGTGAATATGACGAGTTCGCCATGGCCAGTCAGCTTCCCTTCTCGGGTGTATCACCACACGAACAATCACAGTATGTCCAGGTTCTCGACACCGGCATGACGGCCACGCAGTACGGGGATATTGCAGAGGAAATCAGCGTCGAGGTCAATACGAGGCCCCAGCCTGAGTCTGTCGAGGAGGAGGACCTCTTCGTTGAAGCTGTTCCTGCGTCAAGAGCCTCATCCAATGGCGAGGACAGCGCTGCCGATGTTCCTCCGATAATCGACGACGACCAGTCCAAGCCCCCTACCCCTCAGCCAGAAAATGAGACGATGGCGGAAGATGAGACCACTACGCTGTATCAGTCCCAGCTGCCATCGCGGAACCCGGGCGATATCTACGAGGTGCCCTCAGACAACGACGGTGACCCATATTTCGTTTTTACTCGCTTCCTCGAGCATCGTTGGCGGGGCACCACAATCGAGCTCCTTGTTGATTGGCATGGGTCCGAGCCCACCTGGGAACCCGAGGCGAACCTGCATCATGATGCGCTGGACGCTCTGCTCAAGTATTGGCAGCAACAGGGTGGCCACCCCGAAAACCCCAATGAGGAAGGGCTCTACGACATTTATGGTATCCGTGAACACAAGGGCCAGAAACTTCTGGTCGAGTGGACCGGTTATGCGCCCTCCGAAGCTACGTGGGAGCCCAAGAAAAAGATACAAAAGGTCGCGCCACAAATCGTGAAGGAGTACTTTGACAGTCTAAAGCCCGCGGTGCCACGACAAAGGAGAAGGAAGAGGCAGGCGTGAGGCCGTATGTCAATGATCTCGTCGGGTTGATCCTGGGAATCCGCTCATTACTTTTTGGCGTCATGAGCGAAGCGTTTTTGGAAGCATGTTCTTATCCGCGATGAGTCCGATGAAGGCACAACTGTGTATGAACTCGGAGGGTAATGTTTGCACCTTTTTGCAGCTCTGGAGCCATGCCACTGATGTATGAAGCGGACTCGCTTTCCGCCGCCTTGCTTGTGGCAAGTGCTGATACACTTGAGAAGAGCTACCTACAATCATATTTCACGAAACAAACGCCACATGATAGCCTATATGCCTGGTGAAATTGCCCAGACAGTCTCCCCGCTCCAACACACTCGTCACCCGGATCGGTCGCTCTCAAAGCGTGGCTCCTTCACTCCGTCGCCAGGGCTTCGTCGGCAGCCCAGGACACCCGGGGGGTTCCCAGACGGTCCATAGATACGGGCCACCTCGCACAAGGCCCTTCTGTTCTTACTCTCGAAAGACACTTTGCAGCAGCGCCATGTTGACCCCAGCACGTTCAAGCCGATTCCTAATACTCAGAATCTTCTTTGGCTTTATGGTGCTGAATGGATGCGGTCTATGGAAGATGAAGAGGACATTGCTCTCGTGCGTCTCCCGTGTAGTAGGATCCTGCCAGGTCTCCCACGTTGGAAAGGGGCAACGGTCCTCATCATGGCTGAAGTCAACACGAGAGCCTGACCGGCTTTGGTTGAGGCTATAGCCCAGGCTGGAGAAGAACCAGATAAGGTCGGCCCAGCCGACGTTTGGGCCATGGATATTCTTAAAGATGGTCTCGGCAATTCCCCAGAAACGCATGGGCCGGTGCAGGCGATGCTCGTTGCCGTCCGGACTGGCAGGAGAAGCCGCGCCATTGGTTTGCTCGGCGGCCCGGGCTTCTGCATATTCTACATCACCTGGCGTGGGTGAGGTGGCTGCAGCAAACCAGTCAGCGTCTGCTGGATTGTTGTTTGTACCATGAGCGCTGTCTGCTGCGTCGCCAGACAATGCAGTTAGAACCGTGCTGGGGAGCTCATGGTCGCCGTAGGCCACGTTTGACGATGTCTCACTGTCATTCTTGTTCTCTTGGGAGTTGTGAGGCTCGGCCATCGTGAGGATTTGTGGTTGATGCAAGTAGTTGAGGTTGGATGGTGTTTAGGCGGTGGATTTTAATGTTTGTTGATGTAGGAGCAATGTGTGAAGAGGAAGTCCTGCCTATCTATACTTGTCGATGCCGCTTCGCTTCCTTCACAGAGGTCCTCATTGCGCCATTGTAAGCGAAATTCACAAGATCATGCGCGACGTCTCACCATGGGAACAGAGGATGTCGACCTCTTGTTGTCTTGAGCCACCCAAAGAGAGAAACTGAGTAGCCATGTCTACAAAAGAATGGCTTCATGTGTTCTAAGAGGGAGGGAAGGCTTTGAGAGCTCAGGTGACCACTCGCTATAGGAAGTTAATTCGTCTCTATTGATGGCTCGCATAGTGCCTTGTGGACACAAAGGGCCACTTAGTCTACTTTCAGTTCAAAAGTGGCAATGGCGTTTCAGACTCAGAATCCTCGTCTGAGATCAATGATACTCCGTCGAGCACGGTAACATCAAACCTTTGTATACCACGGGGCATCCCGACCAATACAAGGACGAGAGCAGCTTCACCAGCGCTCCACGCTTGAGGGGCTTAGCCTGGAAGCAGAGTTGAATGAGCATCGTTGTGTAGAGCTTGGTCATTACATTAGAACGTACAATGACGAAGCTGCCTATAATGAAGTTGCCCGGTACCTGGTGTCATCGTTGACCTAACGTTCTCTTCCAGTCTTTCCAGCTCGTCGACTGTGCGATCGTATATCCGTGCCGACTGGGTTTACTTGAACAAAACATTGTTTTAATGTGCCTCTTGTTTACATCTGAATTACAAAAAAAATCAGTGCCTTCTCTTGCCGATATTTCTGCTGCCTTTTCTTTTGCTCTGCGTGACGAACGCCAACAGAGAACTGCTGCTGTTGTTGAAGCCTCAAGGACCGCTGCAATTCTGTGAGTGATTGGTCACGCCGGCTTACCGTAGTCCAGTCGGTTTATTTCTCTCCGCCTTGAACTCGAATCAGCTCATTTTATGAGGACGAGGTCTATACCATCAGGTCTTTTAGTGAAATGACACCGCGTCCATGTCTCAGCAAACTGCCCTGATTGTTGCGTAGCGGTGTAAGCTTCGCATTGTTACCCACTGCTGATTGGGATATTGGTGTTGTCCAGCGACTCCAAAGTCAGATCAATTTTCCTCGTGCCATCGGCAAGATGCCTCGAGAAAGACAAATGTTGATTGTTCAACAGGCAATGAGTGACTGAGTTTGCGCCGTTCGCGGTGTGGGGCCGTCCATCTGTGATTACCGCAAACGGACTAGCGTGCTACTAGACGACGATCACTGTGATACACTCCCCATCGCGCCCAATTTGGCAGGAGCGGTGGATCTCCGAATGCTGAGGGTAAGCGCAACCGACCAGGATGACCAAGTCGACTTGGGGGTTTCGACTTCTTCCTCTATCCTCGCCTCTCAAATAGTCGACAAGGGCTGGTTTGGAGACTTCCATACCCTGGCAGATTAGGTTGGTTGCAATTGGCGTTGGCGCAGCCTCGGAGAATACCTTAACTTAGTTGCTCTCTTTTCTAAGTTCAGACTTCAGAGTCGCCCAAAGGATTCGCCTTTGACGCGCCCACTGGCTGCCGCACCCTGCCCGATCAAAACTTATCAATCTATAGCCCCGATGGCACATACTTCCCCTTCAGCCTTTTCTTCTCCTCTTCTCCCCTTCCCGCAGATGCATTGGTTTTTCTCGGGGTCTCAGCGAGCACACATGTGTGCCCACTTGCTCAATTGATCATGGCCGACCAACAACATCAATCCTCCTCGCGAGCACGCGAGCAACCAGTCACGGAGAAAACGGTTCACGAAGCGCCCGTAGTCGAGGACACCGACTCATCTGCGCAGTCACTGCAAGATGGTGTCCAAGAAATCGAGGCCATCTCCCAATCCTGGACAAAGGTTGGACTGGGAGTGGCCTATCTCGGCATTTTCCTCATGGCCTTCGTCACCTCTCTTGAGGGCCAAGTGACGGGCTCGGTCACCATTATTGTCACCAGTTCCTTCGCGCAGCACTCGCTGGTGTCGACCATCAATGTGGTGCAGAGCGTCATCCTAGGTACGCTCCCCGTCGTGAGCCCGTCCGCTGAGCCAACAGCTAATTAATTGTCCCTCCCAGCCATCGCCAAGCCACCCATGGCGAAGATTGCCGACGTCTTTGGCCGCACTGAAGCCTTCTGTTTCTCCGTCTTGCTCTTTGTCCTCGGCTACATCGTCATGGCCAGCTCCACTAACGTCCAGACCTTCGCCGCCGCTCAGATCTTCTACTCGGCAGGCAGCACCGGTCTCCAGATCCTGCAGCAAGTCTTCGTCGCCGACACGACCGACCTGAGCTGGCGCGCCATCATGTCGACACTACCGGACCTGCCATTTCTTGTGACCACCTGGGTCGGCGTCTCCATTAGCGACAGGATCAGAGCGGACACGGGCAGCTGGCGCTGGTGCTACGGCATGTTCGCTATCCTGCTGCCCGCCGCTTTCCTCCCGTTGCTGACGTCCCTCGTTGCGAACGGGCTCAAAGCGAAGAGGATGGGTCTCCTGCCCCCGGAGCGCCATACTATGCAAGGTAGCCCCCTCACCGTCTTGGGCAATCTGTGGAGGGATCTCGACGTGGGCGGCATCCTCCTCCTCGGAGCTGGCTTCGCCCTGATTCTTGTGCCTTGCACAATCGCTGCCAATGTCTCTGGCGGATGGGCCAACCGTGATATCATAGCCATGGTTTCTGTCGGTGCCGTTCTCGTGGTCATCTACCCCTTTTGGGAGGCCAGCTCGCGGTTCGCAAAGAAGCACAACATTCAGGGTGTGCCTGGCAGGATCATGGCCAACACGGCTCCGCACCCGCTGACCCCGCTGTATCTGCTCAAGTCCAGAACATTCAGCGCGGGCTGTGTGCTCATCTTCTTCTACTTTATGGCCTTCTACTTGTCCGTGTTTCCTTACTTCCAATCATATCTCTTGGTCGTGCGAGGACTTCCGAACCAGACGGCGGTGTATATCACACAGACTTTTACCTTTTCGTCAACCGTCTCGTCCATCATTGTCTCCATTATCATCAAGTTGACCCACAGGTACAAATGGTTCGTCGTCGGGGGTTCCGCCTTGTACATGATGGGTATGGGCCTCATGATGCATTACCGCACGGAAACAGCCTCGTTGTCTGCCATTATAGGAAGCCAGGTGCTCCTTGGGTTCGGCGGTGGCATGCTCAACGTGCCAGCGCAGATTGGTGTCCAAGCTAGCGCCAGTCATCAGGATCTGGGATCCTCCACGGCCATATTCCTGACCATTGTGAGCATCGGCAGTGCCGTCGGCTCAGCCATCAGCGGCGCCGTCTGGGGACAAAACATTGTCCCCAAGTTGAATGAATACCTGCCCGACGCGGCCAAGGAGAATGCGAACCTCATCTACTCCGACATCACACAGGCACTCGCGTACCCGCAGGGTAGCGACGAGCGCATCGCCATCAATCGCGCGTACCAGGAGACCATGACGAAGCTGTTGACGATTGCCGTCTGCGTCTGCGCCCCGATCTTCGTCTTCAGTCTGCTGATGAGCGACTACCACCTCGACGAGATGCAGCAAGGTGTTCGAGGCCGGGTCATTGGCGGAGACGTGGGGGAGGATTCGAGAAGGATTGAGGGTGCACAGGGTGGAAATCCTTACAACCCCAAAAACTGGTTCAGACGACGTCCCGCGCGTGTGGCTTAGAAGGGCCGCGATGACATGCTGGCCATGGGCCTGTTTCGGGCGCAATAGACAGTGCCGGACCGCACTATAATTAATATACTATTCATACGTAGTTCCATCGTCCTCACATTGCTGTTCTTGGGCTTGTTCGTCGGCGTTCCGCCGACTGACCGTGGCCATTTCGGGGCGCGCGGACTGCCGCTGCGGCCGACCTCAGCGCAGGGGCCTAGGTTCTCGGGGACGCGACCGACCAATTTTGAACGCGAAATGGCTGCTGTCAACGGGACGAAGAAGACGCACAAAGACGCGTCGCCCATGGTGGTGCGACCGCTGGGCCACGTGCGAGTGGCATGTCGTACCCTGTACGAAGGTGATGGTGCACTGACCAGCGTCAAGAGAACGATATATGGCGGCACTCTACGTCCTCAAGGCCATGTGTGCGACTGTCATCAGCTGTCGATTCGGTGTCCCACAGGAGTCGCGGCCGGCATCCGAGCACGCAACGCTGCAGCAGACCATCATCATTCGCGCAGTAGCCCAGACGACACTCAACCACCCTGGCAACCTCCATGGCAATGTCCTCTGCTCGGCCGGTCGACAGGCCCCTTCACGCCCCCACAGAACAAGCTGGCCAAGTTCTCATCAAGTCCGGTATTCACCATCCAATCGGCATGGGGCGAGCTGAAGCCATCGTTCATGTCGAAGCCGACATATACGCAGAAGCAGTGGGGGACCGTCCAGACGAGTCCAACCACCACGAAGCGCACATCCATCCTGATCGACGCGGACAAGAGCAAGCGTATTGTCGCAGCCTGTCGAAAGAATGACGCCACGGTCACGAGCATGCTCAACGGTATCGTCTTTGCGTCGCTCTACTATGAGTTGAAGGACATGGATGGCCAGCCTTCCCTCTCTGCAAGCACGGCTGTCGATCAGCGACGATTTCTAAGCTCCTCGGTCGGCGGCGTCGATCCGAAACGCATGGTGAACAATCTCGTCACCATGGTCATACACGAGTTCACAGAGGAGGACGTGATTCGACTCACCAAGAATATTGGCACGCAGGATCCCTCGCAAGGCCTCGCCTACTTGGAGTCTGTGGTGTAGGAGGTCGCCGGGCTGATGCGCGGCCGCGTCCAGGGGCGTCTGGACAAGGGCTTCAAAGACGACATTATGAGCCTGATGGGCCTGGTCGACGACTGGCGAAGCGAGGTGACCCGATCCATGAAAAAGCCCCGTCGGGAGTCATGACAGGTCACCAATCTGGGTGTGATCGATGGAGAGCGTGGCTCGGCTGAGGGCGGGTGGCACATTAGCAGAGCCATATTCAGCCTCAGCGCGGAGCTCTGCCGGTCCTTGTTCATTATGTCCTGCTTCGGCGTCAAGGGTGGTGAGATCACGGTGGACATTACTTGGCAGGATGGCCTGAATGAGCTGGTGCAGGGGGTGGGCGAGAGGTTGTCGACTAATGTCTTGGGTTGGTGCAATTGGCTCGCGGACGGTGAGTGGAAGGACGATGGCGGTTTGAGGCTATTCAGACCAGATACTCGAGGCTGAGGTGACGATCAGAGTCATCAGACTCACGATTCAAGCTTGCCAGGCGAATTGTACACGGTAGTCGACAGCTAGGGCTGACAAACCTTTGTGAATCGGAGGAAGAAATGCCGGCTTGTCATAGTTGTATAGAAAACCCTTTGGTTGCATGGTTGATGGAGGTATTTGGTGCACTGTTGATATTCACGGGGCAAATATGGAGCGCGCGACCATGCGAATACGTAGGGTAGCTGAAACCGAATGCTGCGCCCCCCGCCAACCAAACACTCCCCGCAAAGTAAACAAAACGCCTCGCCATCTTCCACCACATCCATTAAGCACACGCCGAACCACAATGTCGACAAAACCGCCGTCAAAGTCCTCAAGGGATCCCAAGGACAAGGAAAAGGCAAAGACACACAAACTTGCCCTCAAGGGGTCAGCAAAGCTCGTCGCCGAGTTCGTACGTCAATCCCACCCCTCCTGGGAGCTCTCTCGCGCGCAAGCTAACCATCTGGCCACAGTTCCAATATTCGATACACACAATCCTGTACGAAGAACGCCCCCTAGCTCAATTGCATCGAATTTCGACCGAGACTGACAACGCGACAGCTTCCAGCGTGGTGTGTACCCCGCCGAGGATTTCTCCGCCGTCAAGAAATATGGCCTCAACATGCTGGTTTCCTCCGACGACCAGGTCAAAGCATACATCCGCAAGATCATGTCCCAATTAGATAAATGGATGGTGGGAGGGAAAATTTCAAAGCTCGTGATTGTCATCACAGACAAGGACACGGGGGAACACGTTGAGCGGTGGCAATTTGATGTGGGCAGACCTATCTTTCCCTTTGACCCAGGGTGGTTTGGCTAACCATGTGGTGCGGAACAATAGGTGCAAATCTTCCAGCCGACCAAGTCAAAGTCAAAACCGACTGACGAGAACGTCTCCAGAGCGGCGGCGGCAACCGCCTCGAGCGCCGCCCAGACCGAGGAGAAGACCGAGCAAGAGATCCAGGCGGAAATCGCAGCCATCTTCCGCCAGATCACCGCGTCCGTCACCTTCCTTCCTCAGCTCTCGGGCGACTGCACGTTCAATGTGCTCGTGTACGCCGACGCTGACTCGGACGTCCCCGTGGAATGGGGCGACTCGGATGCCAAGGAGATTGAGAACGGAGAAAGGGTGCAATTACGCGGGTTCAGCACGGCCAACCACCGCGTCGATACACTGGTCAGCTATCGCCTAGGCGAGTGACGAGTTATAGGTCATGGGAAATTGATCTAGTACCGTCCATGCTTGGCGTTGGGAGTCAGTGCTACGGTAGCATAGCAGCAAATGGGCGCTGATGTGTAACATAATGTGTACTACTGGCTCTGAAGCCTTGCCTGTATTCCCCCTGTCTCATCTATGCTTCGCCAACCACGGTCTATCTAATCCACGCCCTCGCCATGCAATGCCCTCACAACTCCCCAACTTCATGTTCGCCTTTTCTCTTCTTTTTTGATCCGCCTTAGACCCGTTTGAAAAAGTACACATAGGCAAATTTGCGCATTTCGTCCGCATCGTGCGCTTCCACGACCTTTTCATCGTTGAAGAGAACCCAGCTGAACTTGCTCGTACTGTCGTTCTGCAGGGACTTGCGGATGAAGGCAACGTAATGACTGCGATTGTCAGTATCCGTCAATAAGATAAGTAAAGCAGCACTCACCCTGCGTGGATGCTGGTGCCCTTGTGGCAGACGATGGATTGCAACCGAAAGTTTGCTGGCAAATCGGCACGTCCGGCGGGCTCCTTTGCCGTCTTGGGGGGCTCATCTTCGTCCATCAGCCCCTGGTCATCCGGGTGGCTGAACAGCCAGTCCACTGCCCGTTCCATGTCTCCACCCGTCTCTCTGAGCGCCTTCTTCGCTACAGGTGCGGCGAAACCCATGGCGCCAAGCGACTCAATCTTCTCAGGGTCAGCCTCGCTACCCCCTGGAGCAACGTTCTCTAGGACGAGTGGGTCGTCAACGTCGGGATCCTCCATGTGCGAGAACAGCCACTCGGCAGCGATGTTAGCATCTGAATTGCCCGTCGCATGGAGTGCCCTCGCACATCGATTGTAGGGGAAACCCATCGCCTCCAGCGTTGCGAGCGCCGTTGGCTCTGGCGCAAAGGCAGGCGTCTCGGCTTGCACCTCCTCTGGCAGCAGCTCCTCCGTCTCTTGCTGTCCTTTGGACAAGTATCTGTCCAAAGAGAAGGGCTCATCCGGGACAATGACAGGGACGTCCACCTTGATGGGGACCCAGTTCACCACAGTCATCTTGCGTGCGTTCACCGCCAGCACCTCGGGGAAGGTCTTGAAGAGTGATCGCTTGCTAAAGCCATCCTGGCTGCTGCAAGAGGAGCAGGTAAGCTCCACGCTCTCGTCGGCAGTAAAGAGATCCAAGCACTCCTCCAGTGTGATGGATTCGTACTTGTCTGGGCCCTCCGCGCCTTCTTCAGCGGGCATCTTGCGGAGCGGTACGTTCAAGAAGATACTGTCTTGCTCATCAGAGCTGTATCTGACCTTATTGCAGCCTAGACACTGCAGCCGCTGTTCCAGCTCGAAACGGAACTGACGGGTAGGGTCTTGTTTCTCGCCCATGTGCTCTGATCGCGAAACAATTTTGAACATGTGCTGCAGAAACTCAAGTGCGTCCTGCTGGCGCATTGTCGAGAACTCTTCATGTCCACGTCCAATAAGGTGCTTCAGCATTGCCGGGGCCAGTCCTCGTTGATGCGTCACATTGGACTCGGCGTGAACTGTGGGATCCGGCTTCGCATAGCGACCGGACAATAGGCCATCCGCCATCTTCCTCAGCTGTGTCTCAAGATCTGTGGCGGGATCCAGCACCATGGGCAGATCGTCATTCGGTCGGTAGTATCGCTGCTGGAAGGACGGCAGATCGAAGAGGCACTGCACAATGCTGGCAAGGTAACAACTGTTGCCGAGATTCTTCAGTCCTGTCAGCCCCGGGCCGTAGAGGGGCTTCAGCTCTTTGCCGTCCTCCGTCGTCATGCTGAAGTCCCATTTCAGGTTCTGTTCAATGTTCATCTCCGTCAAGCTCTGCTCGGTCTTCTGGCGTTCGGCCAGCACAATGCCCCAGTGCGCCAGGTGCTCTCCGAGCTTGTCGTCGACTCGCTCATCGTCACACTTGTAGCAATAGATGTCGGCAGTACCTTCGGGCGTGATGGATCCAAGCTTGACGGCTACGCCATGCCCTGCATCGTCGCTGTGTTTCAAGGCGTGGGAGTTACCGTCCAAGCCACCCATCTGCTTGCGCCCACAGCCCAGATTCCCGCAGTCCAGGCACAGCCATAAGTTCTCCTTCAGATCGCAAGCATAGCAGTGACTCAAGGCACCCTGTTCGATCTTGCGCGACTCGGATTGTTGCATCAGTAGAATGTGCTCGCATGTCGTCAACTCTTGCTCCCATGCCTTAACTTCCTCTTTCCGCGCGAACGTGTTCGCTCGCATAATCTTATCCACCACGTTTGTCACCCTGGCGTCTGAAACGTCGAGATCGACACTGCATTCCAGGCACCGCGGCGTCAACACAGTATCGTACTTGTCCTCCTCTTTTTCGGCAGCGATGGCCAGTTTGGACATCTTCGCCGGCGGCTCATCGCGCTCGACTGTCTTGGGGGTTCTCCTGATATTCAAGGCGAGGGGGTGTGTTCGTTGGATGCTGTGAAGCTTATTGTGGAGGCGATCCCCGGCGCAGCCGCCGTTGAAGCACTGTAGGCATACATCGAGACCGGCGGGGTCATCCTGGAAGGCTCAGCCTGCTGTCTTTTTATCTGAGGGGAAAGCTCTTACGATAGAATCAAAGCACTGCGTACAATCTTCGCGGTAGACAGACTGAGTTGGCGCAGGCGCAGTGAGTCCTACAAGCGTTAGGGAGGCTGGGTTTGTCAAGGTTTGCTGACGGACCTATGGACTCAAGGTGGGGACACGCCATGGTGAAAAGAAACAAAGCTGACGTTGCTCTCTTGTTACACTCCCAACAAATACTTTTGGTCGCTGGAGAGAAAGGGTTAACCTCGCGACAAAACACAGAACACACCAGGCTGTCGGTGACGATCACGAGCCCAGCTGCAGACGCGCAGCCTTGGGAGCTTTGGTTCGAAGGCGGGGGCGGGGTGTGGCTTAGCCTTGTGTTGTGGCTAGGCTGTCATGGCGTCACTAAAGTTTCTGGATTGAGGCCCCAGAATTGACGTCTTGCGTTTCCACTTCACGTCATTCACAGGACGACTGGATTCATTCTTCCAATCTGAGTGGCAACAATTGTAATTCGTGCTCAGCCAAGCGCACTCTGCCGAGGGCTCCTACCTGAGGTTCCAAGTCCGAGCCTCCTCCGAGCGCTCTTCTGTCGGTGAATTAATGCTGACATCTGGCGGCCTTCGTCCTTTGCACTCCCAAGCATTAGAGCAACAATTACATACCGTCTCATCCAATCAAAAGACCCTCGACTTTCTAGGGCCCTTTTCGTGCGCATGAAGCGATATCAAGTCGCGAGAAGAGGTGTCTTGGCCGAGCGTGCCTCAGTGCTGATGGCCTGTTGCTCCAAGAGGGCTCTTTGGCAGGCGCTTCAGCCTTTCCAACAGTTCGTCAGATGCAAGTGACATGATCAATTTATCACATCTGCGTCTCCCAGACGACTGGGCACGTACGGAGTACAGTAGAATCGTCTGCAGTTACAAGGGTCTTTCTCCGGCCTCGGCCTATCGCCTGTTCGGACACCATTTCTAATCTAATCAGATCCTTCGCTGATTGGTGGACGGCCGCTTACTCATCCACATTTCCGAAAAGCCGAGCCATCGTTAACGTAATGACGAGAGCATAAGTCCGATGTGATTGGCTGTAGGTCCGTGGGAAACTGGAGCTCCTCTTCTGGAGACTCGCCTCCGAGGAGCATATCTCCATGATCCAGATAATCCACGGCCCTCTACACCCTCTCTCTTACCTTTCCATCAATTAATTTACAATCAACCAACACCAGTGATTTAACACCATTTCAACGAAAACGTGAACACGAAAATCGTCCACTCAGTTGCGCTCTCAGTCGGAACCGGCAAAAGCGAGATATAATTCTCGTCGACGACAACCTCCGACACTTCAAACGTCTTTGACAACCCGACTACATCATCACAATGTTCTCCCGTGGACTCCGCGTCGTATCGACGAGGGCCCTCCCCGCCATCGCCCGCCAGACTGCTGTTTCTGCGGCCAGGCCATCGGTCGCCGCCGCGCCCCGCGCCGCGCCCTCTGCTCGTCGTGGGTACCACGAGAAGGTCCTCGACCACTACTCCCGCCCACGCAATGTCGGCTCCATGGATAAGAAGGACGTCGATGTCGGCACCGGCCTCGTAGGAGCGCCGGCTTGCGGCGATGTCATGAAGCTCCAGATCCGTGTCGACCCCGAGACCAACAAGATCAGCGAGGTCAAGTTCAAGACGTTTGGTTGTGGCAGCGCGATTGCCAGCAGCAGCTACTTGACCGAGCTCGTGAGGGGCATGAGCCTCGACGATGCTGGCCAGGTCAAGAACACTGAAATTGCAAAGGAGCTCTGCTTGCCCCCAGTGAAGCGTACGTATTTCCCAACATTTTAATTCACAAAGACACGATGACTAACGAATCTGGCAGTGCACTGTTCCATGTTGGCAGAGGATGCGATCAAGTCCGCCATCTCAGACTACTACACCAAGAACCCCAAGGTCAAGGCCACAGACCTCGCCGGCACCGCTGCCCAAATGCCCTCCGCCACGCCCGAGGCCGCTACCGCCTAGAGAGCAGGCGAATATGAGTTGAGCCTTGGTTGCTACGAAGAACGATACAAACTTCATGGTACATAGTTGTGGGGCTGGTTTTGCATCATTGATATCCGGGGATGTTATTTCCAGCTGTGGTCTTTCTTTTTTCCTTTTTTGTACGTGGCGCAGAGGATCTGGTTCTTGGTGCACCGCACTTGTCAAAATGATAGTGTGTACACTATAGGTTTTGGATTTGTTTCCACTAAATGCAAATCATTTCCTATGTTTTGCACAACGTTGTACCCACGGACGAGATGTGGCTAGCCTTATTGTAAGAGGATGACGAAAGTGTCTGGTAGACTGTGCCCGGTGCTCGGTACGTCATTGTGGTCGATGGTCAGCGACTCAGCGCGCGGTCCTGTGACCAGACGCACAGATACAGAGCATCTTCGCCCACGCGTACGTCAACATATTCTAGACGAGAACAATGCCCTGTCTGCGCATTGAACCATGGCTAAACTGCGACAGCATGTAGTCCGTGAAATCCTATGCCCACGGGGAACTCGCACTCTGCGCGCCCAACCTCTTCCATCGTCTTAGCATCGAGAACTAGCAGGTAGCTTCGCTTCCCTCGTGCATCAAGCACGACACTCAACAACACGCCATCGTCCTCGTCCACGGATCCCGCCCCTTCCTTACATCCTTGGCCCTGAAGGTTCTCGCCCCTCGGACGGGGGACAAATATGGCTTCCCCTGGCGTATGCGTCTCCGGGCCAGCCCAGTATTTCACCTCTCTGGTCACCAAGTCCGTCTTCACAAGGCAATCCATGAAGGTGCTCAAACCTCTGACCGCATTGCTATATACATAGCGTTGCTTCCTTGTGCTCATCAGCTGATTGATGGTGGGGAGCTCGCCCACATGCGGACCGGGGATATCAAACAAAAGCTCTCCCTCCCCAACGACACTCCTATCCTCGGGAAGAGTATATGCATATCGCCGAAGATGCTGCTGACATGATTTGTAAGCCTCCTGGGCAACCCAGTGCTTGTTCGTCGCGTCGTGGCGGTCCATAATCACGTCGTAGTAAAAGGCGGAAATGATGTCGTGATTCGCATACCACACCGCGTCGAAATAAAGCGTCCGCTTTCCTCCAATCTCTTCCTCGAAAGCGTTGATGGAGTGGAAGAAGAAACCGGCAGGCGTGGTGAACCTTGCGACCAGTCCCCGTCCGCATCGTCGGTCGACAACGAGCCATTGGGACTTTCTGCTCTCGGAAAAGGGCAAGATTGCATCGGCCACGTTCCTCTCCCACGGTATTTTCACGCCGTTCCAGCCAATGTGTGTGCATGGTACACACAGAACCACAAAGTTCTTGGTGAGGAACATGCTGTGCATATATGCCGGCTTGATATCGGGCAGCGAGACTGTGGCTAGGATGTCTGTCTTGCCTGTCTGCGCGGACGCGCGGAAAATGCGATAGGTAACCCTCGGACCTAGCAGGAGGTTATAGTTGAAAAGGTCTCCATTCTCAGGATCTCGTTGCGAGTGTGCACAGCCAAGCTGTCCATTGAGCCCGGGATTCAGATCGGCGTGGGTTCGTAGCTCCAGCGGGTCGAGTGTGATAGGGTCAATCTGGCGCATACTAGATTGATCCGTGAAGACGAAGAGATTCTCTGTCTTTGCTCCGGGATCAGTCTGGGAGGCAGACCCAGACAAGCCCGGAAGGTTGCGCTCTACAACGACGTTGTGATTGCTTCCCATGGGCTTGTAGACCGCCTGCATCTTAGCATAGATGCCAATGCAAGGATCGGCTTTCTGAGCAAACGTGCTGCAGGCGCGCCAGCCGCGTTTCTTGATGTCCTCAATGAGATTTCTGCCCTGGAGGCAACTTGAGTAGTCAACGCTCACGTCGCCAGAGGGCGAAGCAGTGATGCTGAACTTGTGTGTCTGGGCTATGCCGTCAAACCAGTGGGATACGTAGTGCGTGCCGCGAGTTTCGGTCTCAATCTGGGATTCGCCAGGACCAGTGCGGTACAGTGTTCCCGCCGTCCATGGAGGAATTGTGCCTGAGACTTTCAAGGCGACAGGACCACGGACTTCGTTCAAGCCCACAAACTGCACCCAGTTAGTCTTCAAAGTGTCTTTTACAAGGCGGTGTGGAGACATACGCCAGCTTCATTAGGCCATGATTTCCATGCTTTCGACATGATGTTGTCGATCGACAGCTGGCGGTCCTCCAGCTCATGGGCTGAGGTTCGTGTGTAAGTGCCACTCGCATTGAGCGGCCTCGTGTCTGTTGTAGCAGCCATCGTGGTGAGGCCCTATTGCGGAAGCCCGTTCTCAATGCAGATAAGGCTCAAAAGTTTGCGTTTATTTTGGAGCAGATGGAAAACGCGTGAGTTCAAGTCTCGAACAACCGTGTAAAATGAGATGGTTGTGTTTGGGGTGACAACGCCTAGATATGGAGGACATGAGCTCAATATTTATACAATCGCCTCTCTCGAATGTTGAAGTGCATGAGAGAAGACTGTCCGTCGAGAAAAGGTCAGCAATTATTCGCTCACGTGAAGCGAGGTTGTCGTGTGAAGGACCAAGCAGAGATGGGTTAGCCGTCACTGAAGTCATGTCGTCACGCGAATCAGTTACTCGGAAACGCGCCTTAAGCGAGTGCGAGGCGAGGTCCGGTTCCGCAACATCTTAACGTGTGTTCAACAACAACGTCGGAGTCCGGTGACCCATGGGGTTCGCCTTGGTGAAAGTACATGAGACTATTCAAAGATAAAGTCTACTAAGGATGTAAACAAACATGTGAGACGGAGCACGGTTGCAGAGGCGAGTGCGAAAGCGCTGGATGCGGCCGATTCGATGTCGATCTGCCGTCACGAGCTACCCTACAGAGCCATAGTAAAGCTGAATTACTAAACCACCGACTACCAAATAAAGAATCTCGAGTGACCAAGATATGGGCAATGGATTACTGGTGTCCGATCACCTGGCGGACTGCGCAGCCACTTGGTTAGACATTAAGTCCCTCGCATTTGGCGCATTGATCAGGGTGATGGCGGTGTGTTGAACGATAGTAATCTCAATGTATCTAACTTAAAATGTTCCAGCTTGCAAATCGGGTGATCATGAAAACATCTTCACCCAATGGGAAAGCATTTTCTCCCCAAATAACAGCCTCTTATTGTATTTCGATGTCTCTGACTCGCAGAGGTCAACTTGTCTAGCGATATACGACTCAGACCGGATCCTGGCCCAACCTGACTACCCCTCGCGTCGCAACGGAAATGAATACCCGCCAGCCTCATCCACTTCCCCGGATATAGGTCACAAGGAAAACCATAGACTGCGGGGTTCAGACGCTGAAAGATTACCGTTTACGGTGATTATGTTCTGTGGGATTGGCGAGAAATAGGGTCGGAGGCTGTGGCGAGGGCTGAGCCATGATGGTCAGCACACCTGGCTCTGGTCTATATAGGCTCGCGAGCGATGAGGACTGAAACTGCACCCAACTTCAACCTCAATCAGTACCCGCAACACTTCCCCACATTGAACAGCATTTCTTCTTTTTCTTTGAGTGTACAACAAGATGGGTGTTGTTGAGCTCGTCGTGTCGAATGCAGGAGCCCTTGCACTACTGAGCCTGGGACTTGTAAGTCTTGAAGAGACGTTCACATACCATCACTGTACTAACACTGCCAAGGGGGTCGTGTATCTCGTTGGTGCAGCAATCTACAATGTCTACTTTCACCCATTGGCCAAGTACCCTGGGCCGCTTTTGGCCAAGATTTCTCCGGTAACTCGACGCGTCCCGTGCTTTCTCCCCGATGATGTTCTGACATGTCCAGGTGTACAGCATATGGGGACTCTTCCGGGGTCGCTGGCCCTTTGATGTCCATGAGCTGCATCTGAAGTACGGGCCGATCCTGCGTACCATGCCCAACGAGTTGACCTTCACCGACCCGCAAGCCTGGAAGGACATCTACGGTCACAGACAAGGGCATCAGCAATTCCATAAAGATCGTAGGTCTCCCAATCACATTGAACTGCTTCGTACTGACTTGCCATAGCCATTCAGTAAGTTGAGCACGGGAACGATGAGGTTCGGTAGACTAACCGAGCAGTGTCGGTTCTGTTCAGGACATCCCTGGTTCCACCACTCTCACCATGGCAGACGACGAGAATCACTCCCGGCAACGCCGCACCTTGTCCCACGCTTTCTCGCAGAAAGCTTTGCTGGAACAGGAGTCCATCATCAGGGGCTACGTGGACTTGTTCGTCACGAAGCTCAGGCCTTTTGCCCAGACTGGAGAGCCAGCCAACATGTGCGATTGGTTCAGTGAGTATTGACTCCGGTACTCAAGGCTGTGTCGCAAGGCTGACAGTAAAGACTTCACAACCTTTGATGTCATTGGTGACATGTCCTTTGGCGAGCCGTTTGGCTGTTTGAGGGACGGTGTCTGGCACGATTGGGTCTCGTTGATCACGCAGACGATCAAAGCCGGTGCCTACGAGCAGGCCACCCGGCGCATGTTCCCAACAGGATCCTTTATGCAACGTTTCCTATGCAAGTTCATCCCCGCCGACCTGAAGATGAAGCGCTTCCAGCACCTGGAGCTCAGCAAGGAAAAGTGTCTCAAACGCATCGACGAGGGACTGCGACGCGAGCACAACGACTTTTTGTATTACATCCTTCGACAGAATGAAAAGGGTGGCGTCTCCCAAGACGAGATCATCCTCAACTCGGCGCTCTTCATCGTCGCCGGGTCAGAGACCACGGCCTCTCTCCTCTCTGGTCTTCTCATGTGGCTCATGCGCACCCCTCACGCGTACAAGAAGCTTACGGACGAGATCCGCAGCAACTTCCCCACAGCAGCAGACATGGAGTTCACCAAGCTCCAAGAGCTGCCGTACATGAACGCCTGCATCGATGAGGGACTGCGCATTTTCCCTCCCCTGCCCACGGGTCTGACACGCACAGTGCCCACTGAGGGCGACAGCGTGGCAGGAGAATGGCTGCCCGGCGGCATCACTGTGTCCTGTCATGGATGGTCAACGGCACATTCGCCGCGCAACTTCCACCAGCCGGACGTCTTCATTCCTGAACGATGGCTCGACAAGTCAGGAATGTACTCGGACGAGAACAAGGATGCTAGTCAGCCCTTCAGTCTCGGTCCTCGTGGGTGCATCGGGAAGCACCTGAGCTATCTGGAGCTCAGGCTGATTCTGGGGAACTTGCTGTGGCATTACGATGTCGAGAGGGCGGACCTAGATGCGCCAGATGCATTCGATGTCTGGGACCCGGCGGGGCACCTGAAGCACATCAAGGCTTTCAACACGTGGAACAAGCCTACGCTCATGTGTCGATTGAGGGAGGTGAGCCGATAGAAGGCGGTGGTTTTACGTGTAGTACATAGCGCCTCAGCGCGGGAAGGCAGTCCCATCGTTTAGAAAGTTGTCAATGTCTAGTTTTCGTGTCTCGGCAGGTGGTTCCATGTCTGGCTGATGTTGTCCGTCGGATAATTTTCCCAGGCGTCCGGATACACGGACTAAGAGTGTGCGCATCCTCTCCAGCTCCTTTTCGACCTCGCCGTTGCGGGTCACTAGATTTTCCTGTATGCCCTGGCCAGCCTCTGTCGCCTGGAGAGGTTCCATCCTCGACTGAAGCCTCCGGAGCTGTTCGACTCGCTGTCTTATTTCACTGCGCTGTTCGTTCAGTGCTTGGAGGGTCGCGACATCGTCTGCATAGCGTTTTGCTGCCTCAGGGTGGTCTGTAGCGTTTTTGTCCGAGGGCCAGGCGTTTGGCAAGCTTTCGATGGCCTTGTCGTTCACTATGCACAAGAGGTTAGCCCAAAGCACATGGCGTACGAGCTTGAGAGGTCATACCTAAATCGACCTCTTTCGCAATGCCCTCTGCTTCATCTTCTTCCTCGCCTCTGATCTTTCGGTCCGCTTCAGCAGCATAACTCTGCGCAATCTGCTCTGCTAGGGCCCTGTTGGCTTGAGGTGCGTATACGCGTTTCCCATGCTCTTGTATGGAAGTGTTCACTGCCTCTGTGGCGGCCTTCACGAGACGCGGATCGAGGGCGCCATCGGATTGTCGCTCGTTGGAAGCTGTCCACCTCTGGGAGGGGGTGACAGAACCGGCAAGAAGTCGCGATTGACTGTTGATGAAGGCTTCTTTGTGTTGCGTGACTGTGGGCGTGGCGGCCATCTTTACAGTGCCGAATTGACGCAATAATTGTCGTGCCGAAGCACCTGAAGTGTGATGATGATGGGCGGAATTGCACGCGTCGCGCATGGAGTCGCGTCCAGTCGTTATGTGACGCTGCAGTGGGAGGGGGGGGGGAAGGAAGCTACCTACGCACAGAGGGGCCGGATCTCCTGTAGACAGACCCTGAGCGGCGGGCCAAACGGATTGATATTGCACAATCCAACAAAAATAAGAATAAACTCTACTTGATTGGTAGTAGCAGTCGTGCCGATTCGCTCGAGTCTCGAAGATACAGTGTATGACGAGAAGATGCGTCGTCCCGTCTAACCCGAAAAACTTGTCTTGAATGATCTACCGTGTCTCAATCCTTGTCGTTCGAGATCTCTTCAGCGTTTCGACGTACCTGCAGAAAGCTTGTGGAGTAAATTGCATGACTTAAGATATCCTAAGGTACCTACTACTTATTTGTAGGAGTTGTCGAATTGGTAGCTTGATAGCGACGCAAGAAGCTTGCGACCACATCCCGTCGTAGCGACGGTGATCTTGTAGAAAGACCAGGCAGCAGCAGGCTACAAGGTACTGAGTCCCACTTCTCGAGTCTCGACCTACTTTCGCCTCTCGAAACACATGTCCACGGCAGCGATAATGCTAATTTGACCTGCCAGAACCTTGCACAGACCAAGTCCGCGTCAGGTGCGGAAGGTTTTCACAGCCTCAGCTGAGGAGCAGAGCACATCTCGGAGCACAAGGAGGAGGCAAGGAGACACAGGGCGGGGGAGCTCAGCAGCGACCGACCGACGGTGACAGCGAGCGCCACGCCGCCAACGTGCACACTCCGCATTGCCAATACCCGCCTTGGCAGCTCGCCCAGATCACATCCGTCCGGATCTCTCTCCTCAACCCGGAAGACCGCGAGGTGGTTGCCAGGCCCGACCTCACTCGCCCCGGAGCCGCCAGCGTGCAGTGTCGCGCCGCTCGTGCGCACTTGTTGGACCCCATCCACTCCTTCGGCCGCCAGTGAGGCGACGTGACACGATCCATCATGTCCGACACCTTGCATAGCAAGAAGCAGGGGTCTCGGCCAACATCAAAGTCGAAACGGCCGGATCGACAGGCGTTGTCTTGCTCGGAATGTCGCCGCCGGAAGCAAAGGGTAAGTCGCAATTTGCAATTATTGTGTCAATCAATGAAAGCGCAGCATTTGTGTCTCCCCTGGCAGATGAGACGGATCTTGAGCTGTCTGAGGTGCCGCGCCCCAGTCAACAGACCCCTTGAGAGCTGCGAAGGCGCCGTGCTATCATCTTGCAGATCTCGCCTTGTCCGCCCTTCTTCTCCTATGATGCAGGCTAATGCAATCGAACACAGTGCTCCCAAGGACAACCGTGCACAAATTGCGCCAGACGCTTTCCTCAGCCTATATGTGATTACGCTTTCAAGCCAAGAGGGTAGGATGGCTCCCTTGGGCGATTGACCGTGATATTGACGACTTAGGAAACGGAAGGGCGTCCCAGACGATGTTGCTGCGCAAGCTGTGTCGAAAGAGACCCCTTATGCTCATCTCGGGTTCGCCGGGATTCAAGAAGCCGTCCTTCAGCTGGAGATGAGACCTGGCAGCAACGTTCAGGCTGTCATCAAGGAGCTCGAGAAAACCTCACCACTCCGCCAGATGACAACCACGGAGTACGGCTCTGCTGCGGACAGACTGAGATCACATTACCGGCACTGGCTACCCGTCAGGCTAGCCACGACAAACCAACGCCAACCAGGCAGGTGGCAACCGGATGGTGCTCTACAGGAGATACTGGAGAAATACTCTTCCGAAGATGCCGCGATAAATTCCGCGGACGACTGGCTCTTTGACGCGGCGAGGTTGATTTGGGAGGCCGAGGGCAAGCAACAACCACAGAGCAGTCTGCAGAGCATGGACGCGGAGATGAGGCATCTGCCCATGGTGCCGACCAAGTTGAACAAGGAGCTGTTACGCACTCGTGAGTGGTCTCATCCGCTCTCGCGAGATCTGGACTCACTGACATGTTAGACTTACGATTGTTGTCGCGCTACAAGGCCTGCATAAGCGGGAGACCCGATCCTGATCACCCGTTCATGAAGCACTGGGTGCCGTGCATGATACAGGACCCGCTCCTCATCAAGATCATACTGTTCACATCGGCCTGCTTCCTGAATGAGATACGTCACATACCCAAATCTGTCGTCGTGGCTTTGCGCGGCACAGTCTTCCAATCGCTCAACGAGTATCTTCAATCACCTCAAACGCAAACAACGGATGTGGCCATACTCGCCGTCACAGAAATGGTGCTGGATGAATGGTACTGGGGTGGCACGCAGGCTCTCCATGCCCACATGAAGGGGCTGCGGACCATGGTTGCCATGAGAGGGGGATTGCAGGACCTGGGTATGCATGGCTACATTGCAAAGGCCATCTTGGTGTGAGTCATCCCACCGATCGTCTACTGATGCTTGATTGCTGATGTGTGTATGTACAGAAACGATGTCTGCATGGCGCTCGCCCACGAGACTCAACCCGAGATTTACGGACGCCGCGGCTTCTCGTTCACAGATCCCATCATGGTCCCGTATCAATCCTCGCTTAACACGCCCTACTTGACTGGCTGGCCCTCGTTCGCATCGATGGCTGGTTCTCTACAGATCCACGTCTACACAGCGCGAATCTTGGACGATATGCGCGAAGTCTTCGAAGCAGTGCTGTCTCTGCCCGATGACGCGACGCCAGAAATTTCTCAAAACGCTACGAGTGTGGCATCGTCGGCATACGGCCGCCTGGGCGAGCTGCCGGATGCAGTGGCTCTGTATACGCCTGTCACTTCGATTCATGGATCCGACAATGGGTCGCCCAACGGGTCAAGCGACAGGAGTTCACCGCCTATCGAGGCCTCGGATCCTGTCTATCAAATGGTCCGCATGGCAGCCATGGTATACTGCCGTGCGATTCTCAGCCGAGTGCCAACAAGCGAGGTTTGTAGCGAAAGCGAAATGTACCAGATCTGGGGGTTTTCGTGGAAGATGCTCGTCAGCCGCCGGTCCACGATTCTGGGCATCTACATCTGGGCCACGCTCGCGATAGCACCATCATGCCACGCAGCTGCCCCGGCCCGGTTCATCAAGACGACCATTGTCAACGGCATGATGACGGCCGCGGTCGCGAACTGGCACGTCGCAGTGGACGCAGCAGCAGCGGCGCTTAAACTGCAGCGTTGGCTGCAAGGCAGCACGTCTCTCAATCTCGTCACAGGTGGCGAGGGCGTCATCGACAAGCATGGCTTCGCGGTCAAGCATGCGCTGCACGACCTCACGAACGGCATTGCAGCCATGCAGACGGAATCCGTCGAGGACGAGGCTGCAATCCAGACATGATCCCTGACTGATGTCGTCAGGAATTTACGTGAAATACGACGCAGGACAGCTGCCAGGGGATCGCCGTCTGGTGTCGGATTTCGTGATTATGTTCTGCGGGGCGGCCCACAGACCGGAATACCACTGGTCATCACTGTTACGCACTTGCTCCGTTGGCAATTGCGTACTTTTTTGCACTGATCATCGTGTCAAGTACTCGCCTAGCAGTGGTTGCCAGCTCCCAGGCTGTTGGGAACCCTCGGCAGATGTGCGTACGGTGGGTGAGATCTTAGCCCACGCCATCTGCATCCTCCTTGTTAACCGCCGCCCATCATAGCGCCACCTGCGATGCTTGTCTATCCGTATGTAGGCAATCAATTATGCTGCCACCTTCCTCTCCGAGGCGGGGTTTTTGTGTACCTTGTAGTACGTAACAGCCTGCCTGATACCACATAAGCCCCAAGGCACCCAGCAATGACGATCTTTCTTGTGCGCATTAACAAGCATTCTTTGCTGTACACGAACGCATGAGGTGCAGTCATGGTCGACCTTCAGAAACTACGCGACGCAATTGCCTCCGGCTCGGTACTTGTGCCGGGGGATGAAGGATACGAAGACAGTCTGAAGCGGTGGAGTAAGACGGCCGAGAAGCGAGCTGTAAATGGAACATCCGACAAGCTACGCATGCATCTGACACTAACCCTTTGTTAGAAAGTTGTTGTGAAAACCAGCAACGCGAGCGAGGTCTCGACAGCCATTAAGTTTGCCGTCGAGAATGGCATACCTATGACGGCTGCCGGTGGAGGCCACGCCACCAGTGGCACATCCTCAAGTGAGGGCATGGTCATTGACCTCTGCAAGATGCGCCAGGCCAACGTCGACAAGGTCAACCACACGATCACGTTTGGGGGTGGTTGCCTCTGGAAGGATCTGGACGACGCGCTCGATCCTCTGGACCTGGCTATCGTGGGTGGGACCGTGAACCACACCGGCGTCGGTGGACTGATCCTAGGCGGCGGCCACGGGTATTTGAGTTCCAAGCACGGCCTGACGATTGACAACCTCCTGTCGGTGGAGATTGTCACTGCCGACGGCACAGTTCAGGAAGCTTCGGCGGAGAAGAACCCGGATCTGTTCTGGGCTGTGCGAGGTGCAGGTGCGCAATTCGGCGTCGTCACAAAGTTCACCTCTCGAGTCCACCCACAGGGTTCGGTCTACAGCGGTGCCCTGATTTTCATGGCCGACAAGCTACCCCAGCTTGTCGGCGCCGTTAACAATTTCCACGAGAAGGATAACCGCGAAGGCCACTGCATTGTCCTTGCCATTGGGTATGGCCCCGACGGCCAGAGCCACATGCTCATCGTCTCGCCCCTTTTCCACGGCTCCGAGCAGGAGGGTCGGGAGTTCTTCAAGGACCTGTTTGATGTCGGGCCCATCATGGATACAACCCAGGTGATGCGCATGCGCAACGTCAATGAGCTTATCAACCCGCTGGCCGGACACGGCATCCGGCGCCTTATGGGCTCTGGCAACGTGGCGATGCCCCTGAAGGCCGAGGACGTTCAGAAGACGGCCGATACGTTCTGGAGTTTCTGTGACGCCACCCCAGGCGCGACCCCCCAGAGTGCTATTGCGCTCGAATTCTTTCCCATGCACAAGGTCCGCGAGGTTGGCCTCGAGGAGACAGCCTACACCAACCGCGGCGACTACTACGACGTCGTCACCATGTTTGGCTGGACGGATCCGGCGCAGGACGACGCTTTCCGTGAGTTCAACAGGGAGATTGTCAAGCAGATCCGCGAGACTCTGGGGTACCAGTACGATCCTGATAAGGACGAGAAGCAAGACGCGCCCATTGGACGGTATATCAACATGGAGGCGGATGTACTGCGGCCAGAGGATGCGTACGGCTCGAATCTCAAGAGGCTGAGGGAGGTCAAGTCCAAGTATGACCCCAGCAACGTTTTCCACAAGTGGCACGGACTAGACATCAAGGCTTCAGGGACTGGTGGTCTCTGAGCGCGCCCTGATGAATCTCATATCTCATACTAGCATATTTATTTTCGAATACGATGTTGACATCTAGAATGACTCATCTTCTATTAAGCCTCGCACCAGACGCTTTGCGTGCAGGGGTAGACTTTCGAGCGCAGCAAGCCTTATTGGCGAGAGGCGTGCGCCTCGAGTGGAGGTAATCATCAGCATCAAGGCGGATGCAGTCGATCACACTGATGGGATGCCACCGCGCACGAATTGAAGATGAGAATGAACCCCGCGTCGCAAGGATCATTGCTCGTCGCTTTTGCTGATGAGGGTGTAGACCTGCAGTGCCACGTTGCCGACTGAGTTCAGCACCAATGGCAGCATTGGCTGGCTGGCATACAAAAGCATGTATATCTGGATCTGTTTGTCTGAGATCGCATCTTTTCCATTCATGCTTCTGGACGTTTGCTGTCTCTGGATTGAAGTATTTTCCACAATTTCTGAAAACATATCGCTGCGGTAAGTCACTCCATGTAGTCTATTGCTACGTGTAGTCACCAAGATCACTAATCTTCTAGAAGATCTGAAAATGTATAGATATCCACCCACAGTCGAGATGATCAGTGCAAAGGGTTCCTTGCAAATACGATGTGGCAGCATTCCGGGCCACGCCAAGCGATGTAGAGTTACGGAATCTGTTTCTCTTCGAAGTGTCCCCGATGTGTATGAGCAAGATGAGGGCAATTGGGAGCAGGTAAAACGAGCAAATAGACGCGTGCTGCTTATGCAACAGCGTCGCAGGGCCATTCTCGTCAAGCTTTGCGTTGAGCAACTCTACCGCTACGAAGAGGCTTAGACAGCAGGGCTTTCGTGATGAATATCAAGGGCCCCCTCATCATCGATCCCCCATTATGTTATATACCCCCGAAGAAAGAAGTCAAAATTGGTCGCTACAACAGCGCCTCAGGATAGGGCGAAAGGGATTACCCACGATACCTTGGCTTTGAGAACTCAGAAAGATCTTTGCCCCCCAGGTCAAGAGAGAGGCTGAATTGTAGTCCAAGTCCGTCGCTTCTTCTTACTCCGAAGAAAAACTGTTGCTTGCCTGGGAGTCAGAGGCATATGGTCCCATGTAGGGATCTTGGGCCGAATCATTGGCAGACTTGTTGAAAGGATCGGGTGGAAGCGCGTGATAGGAAAAAGGACGACCATTCATTTGGGGATTATCACAGAGACAACATTCATTCCCGCGTTCTGCCGTTACTCAGATTCCCCCATAGGCACAACACATGTAGTCAGATCTGCGACAGACAGGGAACACTCTCAGGAGCCACCACCATAAAGGAGCCAGCTTCTTTAGACCAAGAGATCTCGTTCATCATGCTAAGACAAGATTTCCACCAGCTGTGAAGTCATCACCTTCATCACTCTGGATACTATTGTTTCCCAGTCATAAGCCGTTGACGGGATGAGAGGCAGTACAAGCGGCGTGTGGCCAGGCCGTTAGGTGATACATGAGATAGCCTGACGCGACAGGCTTACCCATACTTATACGCTTTGGCCTCTTTAAATGTCTTCGAAGAGAGGAGACAGGGTTCATACCCAGACTCCAGCCTCTAGATGTTTGCAGAGACAGCGGATGCTTGGAGGCCTAGACGATGACGACGGACAGATGATGATCATGTCGTTGCCGCCATGGACATTTTACAGTAGTTTCGACATTAAGAAACTTCAAGGAAGACGGTGGCCTGAACAACATTCATTGCCGATATGGCTCTCTTTCGTCAGCAATACGTAGGTAGGTGTCCCTGGATGCGAGGAGGCGGGGCATCGCGAGGAAGCTGTGCACCCCCGCATACATCATCATCTGTCTCATCCCAACACAATCATCTCTGCCAGCCAAGGTCCAGAAATCCCCAAACCGACATCAAAATGGCACCGATCGGCGTTGCCATTGTTGGCAGTGGCATCTTTGTCAAAGAGCAGCATCTAGTACGTACATCAAACCCCTCCCTCCCACATGCTCCTCTGAATTCTGACAGATTGTCAGCCAGCAGTCGCCCAGGCGTCTGATCTGCTCTCACTCAAGGCCATCTTCTCGCGCTCCCTCAAGTCAGCCCAGGAGACAGCTGCTCTCACAACCAATGGCGCCTCGCTGGAACTGTACTCGAATGATGCGGGCGTAGGCAGGACCTACCACGACCTGCTTCTGCGAGAGGACATTGGCGCTGTCATCATCGCCTTGCCCATACTCAGCCAGCCCGAGCACATTGAGGCCGCCTTAAAAGCTGGCAAGCACGTCCTGGCCGAGAAGCCCATTGCTGCCGATATAGCCGGCGGTAAGAAGTTGATTGACTACTGGAAGGGCCTGCCTGGCAAGGCCACGTTGTCCATTGCAGAGAATCACCGTTTTCTCCCCAGCTTCACGTATGCAGCGGAGCAGGCTGCCCATATGGGGAGGGTCACCCATTTCGACATCAAGAGCTTTGGTCTCATGCGATCAGACAACAAGTATTTCAACACTGCCTGGCGCAAGACACCCGAATACCAGGGCGGCTTTCTCCTGGACGGCGGCGTGCACCATGCTGCCACCGCGCGTCTGTTCCTCCGCGGCAAGGACTCGGCGGCATCGCAGGTGGCTGCGTACTCGCAGCAGGCGCAAGAGCACCTCCCGCCCATCGACTCGGTGACCGCCATTGTCAAGACCAAGTCAGGTGCTAGCGGAGCCTTCCAAATCTCCTCCGGCACACGTCTCAGTGCCTACGAGTGGCAAGTTGGGTATGAGAAGGGGTCTGTCAAAGTGGCCGGCGAGAAGGTCACGGTCACGACGGAGAATGGGGAGGAGACCGTCAAGGAGTTTGAGAGAACCAGCGGCGTCAAGGAGGAGGTCGCCGCTTGGGCCCAAGGCATCGCCAGTGGCAAGCAGAACCCTCTCCAGACGCCGGAAGAGGCACTGGCCGACCTTGAGTTCCTGGAGAAGATGTTCCGTAGCGGAGAGCAGGATGGTGCGATGCAAAAGTACGAGCTGCAGTAAGAAGTGAACAATGTCGACATACAAAAAGTACATGTAAAGACGGTCTCTTGCCCTCGAAATCACAATTCACAGCTTGCTGCCTCGAGGCGAGGCGGAAGATGACGACGACCCGGGCCCCTTGTAGATTTTCTCCAGTCCCTTCCTCAGGCCATCGCTCATACCCGTGGGGCCTGGCTTCTGGGTCGCACGTTGCACCCAGACGTGGACAAACTCGCCCACAGCCTTGATGCCCGGCGATCCCTGTTCAAACAGACCAATCTCGTACGTGACGCTTGACTTGCCCAGCTTGTTAACGCGCAGGCCCAGTTCTGCCACGGCCGGGTAGGCGATCGAGGAGAAGAAGTCTGTGTGGAGGTGAGCTGCGAGAGGGTGCTCCTCCGACGTGGGCGGGTGCAGATTGCAGTGCTTCATCAGATAGTCGTTGACCACCGAGTCGAACCTAGGGCATCGTAGGCGTCAGCCAGGATTCCTCGGCTCGGGAGGGGGCTGCTTTCAGCTAGGTAGTCTTACAGAAAGTTGTAGACTGAATTGTTCATGTGGTCGTACATGTCATTGTCGTTCCTATATTGACGATCTATTAATATTTTCGGAACATGAGACCGTGGAGCTGAGTGGGTGGAAGGTGATGTGAGTCTGTTTCGGCAAGCTTACCATCGCGTGCGGTAGTCCAGGATGTAGGGGTAGTCTTCCCGCCGACGTGCCTTTAGATCTTGGAGAGATGCCATTGTCAGCTGGTGGAAGCGTTGTTTCGGTGGATCGCGAAGCTAGCAATCAGAGACCGCTCGTGTGGCACGTCGAGAAAGAGCGGCCCATGTTCTATCCATGTCTCGAACATCACATCAATTGTAACTTGACGTGAACAATTGCCGGGACCGCGATGAAACTGAGCCGAGGTTGTGTTGCAGCCACACTGTGCAGCTTGCGCCACGACTCGACCCATAATTTGTGAGACTGTGGCTGGTGCATCGCGTCTGGACTTGGCATGCCGCATCACGCTTCAACTTTTCATGAGCAAAGCCCCTCCCCTCTCACAATCGCCAGTATCAGTGGCAGGACCACGGACAACAACCAAACGACAGAAACGGAACCTGATTCACCAGGCTCGAGTGGTGTGGACAGCCTGCGGAGAAACGCATCCATCAGGCACGCTTCGTTTGGGTGGTGAATCGTGAGACCGGTTGACTCTCAGGAGCAAGTGAGAGCAGGCTTCTTCTTTTCTTTTCTCGGTGGCCTGTCGATGCGCCTGCCTCGACCCTTTCGGACGATCCGGGCTGCCATGTCTTCTCCACTGCAAGGCCTTCCTTTTGGGGATCTAGCGGAGGATCTGCCTCAGATTGGCCCGGAGACGATACCCAAGGAGAAGCGTGTCAAGACTCAGCGTAGGAACCCAGCACTGCCGCGGGTGATCCCCAAGCCAAAGCCGCACGAAGCACTCATCACGCCGAGCATGGGTCCCTGGCCCAGGCCCTACATGATCGATGGCGACCTCCGGCGCGTGGAGCCATACTTCTGGACATACAACACTTGGTGCAAGGAGAGGTGGCGAGGGCGCAGTCTGATCAACATCTTTGAGTCCGAGTTTCGGGACCGGCCGGTCGAGTACTATCGAGATGCCATGGAAAGGGGGCTGATTGCCGTGAATGGACATCACGTTGGGCCCAACCACATCCTCCAGAACGGAGAAATGGTCTCGCACACGATGCACCGCCACGAGCCCCCTGTGACCTCCGACTCCATCGGGATCATCCACGAAGATGAGGACATGATTGTCATCAACAAGCCCGCGGGCATCCCGGTGCACCCAGCGGGCCGTTACAACTTCAACTCCATCATCGAGCTCCTCATTGCGGAGAGAGGCCAGCACTTTCTCCCTCATCCATGCAACCGCTTGGACAGACTGACCAGCGGCATCATGTTCATCGGGAAGAACGTCAAGGCGGCCGAGCATCTCGGCATCCAGATCAAGGCGCGGTCGGTGCGTAAGGAGTACATTGCACGCGTCACGGGCGAGTTCCCTGACGGCGATGTCATCTGCGACGAGCCCATCCTGTCCATCTCGCCCAAGCTAGGACTGAATCGCGTCCGTGCCAACGGCAAGACTGCTCGGACTGTCTTCAAGAAGTTGGCGTATTACCCCCCACGAGAAGCCCCCGGCGCGTCGGCGGCAGGAAAGCAAAAGAAGGATGGCAAGCCGTGGCTCGAGAAGACGGGCCACTCCATTGTACGATGCCTGCCCGTCACGGGGCGCACGCATCAGATCCGTGTGCACCTCCAGCATCTGGGGCATCCCATCGAGAACGATCCCATCTACGCCAACCGGCGGGTCTGGGGTCTGAGGCTGGGGCAGGGCGACACCGATGGCACCGAAACAACGGACGACGACGTCATCAGCCGGCTGTCACGCATGGGCAAGCAGGAGGTGGCCGAGGCCGTCGCGTACTATGACGAGATGGTCGACGACTATGAGAAGAAGCGGGCCGAGAAGATGACGGGCGAGCTATGCGAGGCATGCAGCACGCCCCTGTACTCGGACCCCGGGGCGCACGAGCTGGAGATTTGGCTTCACAGCCTCCGGTACGAGGACGCCAAGGGCACTTGGTCGTACACCAGCCCGCTGCCGCGATGGGCGCTGCCGCCAGCGGGCATGCAGGGGCCGACAATGGTGGGTGGTATGGAGGAGCTCGTGGAGGCTGTCAAGACGGAGAACCCGGAACTCGTCGACGGCTCTGAGCTGCCGCCGCCAGCGGTTGAGGAGTCCAAGCAGACATGACAATGGTGATGCCTCGCGCCGGGGGGCTTGGATAGATGTCTGCCTGACAATGGCTCAACACCCCGATGATTATCTGCGTTTCTTTTCCAACATCACAGGCCGACTCGTCATGTGATATGTGGCTGCTGTGAAACAATGGCGAAAGTTCGTGGAGACGAAAGTATGTACAACTTCCCTAATGATGTACTGGCCTCGGGTATTACAAGGGCATGTATGCCCACGGGGACACATCTGACACGAGAGCAGCGACGCCCCAAGCCAGTGATCAGGCTTAGTACTATACGCACCAACCGCGAAGTTACTGGAGGAGCTCGTGTCTTGGCTCGGGGCGTTAGCTTTGTTGGTGCTGACACCGGGGACCGATGCCTGTGCGCATGGCAGACCAGAGTCGATGCTAGGTATTCGGGCCGGATTAAGGACCGAGCTGAGAGACTGCGTGATGGCGTTCGCCTTGGCGGCTGAGATTCGACGCGCTCTAATTAATTACAGCAGTCTGGCTTGCGGTGAGGCACACATAGGCTGAATATCAGTAACAATTATTGCCGCTAATAAAGCTTGGCCAGTCAAAACTCAGGACTAGGTAGTCTAAAGGCGCTGACAGGTGATAGTCTGGTAGAGAGCAACAGACAGACAGACAAACAGCCGTCGGGTACGGCTCGGAGCAACAGGAGCACTTTGAACTTTGAACGGAGCCGGTCACGCCGGCCTGGTACCAGTTGATGGGCTCGGTGACCGCTACGGAAGCCGGGGAAGAGAGGGCTTCTCACGGACTTGACACGTGGTGCGGCGCATCATGATGCTGTGCTCAGCTCGCAAGCAAACACAACAAGCAGTCTAGAGGAATGGTGTGGGCGACAACAGTGTGCCACCGTCTACCTAGGGAGGAAGTATACCTACATGTGAGACATGTACGTAAATTGGACCGCTCGACGACATTTTCAGGGCGTGATGCAGAGCAGAGCAGAGGACAGCTGCGCAGCCGAAGGGCCAAGGCCATGATGCTGCAGCCACAATGACAAGGACGCAGTGCACGGACAGATGAAGCCACGAGACATTGACGGGACAGTCGACAGAAGGCATTTGTCAGGCTTCTAGAAGGAAGAAGCGGGCAGATCGACGGGCCAAGAAAAGATGCAATTTGCTGTTCAAGATGATGTGAGTGGGGCGTCCACCCGTCCGCCGTCCATCCTCAGGGCTTCGAGAGGCCCGTCGGTCGATCACCGGCACGCTCACGTCGTCGGACGTTGACCGACATGGCACACGCGCAGCCAGCCAGCCATCAAGCAGACAAGAACCGAAACAGAACAGGGTTGGCGGTGAAGATGGTTGCTACTCCAACTGCACAGCTTAACGCCGGCCTGCAATACTACCTTTTAGTGGCTTCAAGTTGGTTGGTATTCACGGGCTACTTTGCTCGCGGGCTGGTACGAATGGTCATCAAATCGTGCGGATGTGTCACCCAGCAAATTTTCATTTGGGATGCAGAGCTAACATGACAGCTGCCGGCAGGCCTTGCCTTCGCCGACCATGGATCCTAGGATCATTGATGCCGATATGACGGGGGGGAGGGGGGACCCGGAGCAGATCTCTAGTATGCTGATTCCCCCTCCCCGCGCGCCAGAGAGAATGCCACCACCATTTGGGTTGGCGCGGCGAGCAGACTGGCTTCAAGCCCCTTTCTCTTTGGCATGTGGCTTACCCGGCGCCACAGCGTCAGGACTCAGTGCGACCCGGTCACCTGGGATCTTCTCAGGGGAAGAATTGTTTCTTTGCTCGAGGATTTACTTTGTGGATGACGGGGAACTTGACAATGGAATGAGAGCTGGAAATCCCAGACTGCGGGCGCCCAACCAACCACCCGTGCTTTCCCACTCTTTCCGACGGGTGACTCCGGATGGATGTGATGCAATTAGTGATCACTTTTGTACGGATGTCGCCATTACCACTCGTCCAGCTCAAGTTCCACTAAGTGTCGACAACATTTCGAGCGAACACCCCAGACGTCGCTTGTTCGACACGAGCGATCATGGAGTTATCCTGTACGTACATGATGTGCTATCGCGGGTTGATTGGGTATGCGATTGCCAGACGCATGCGTTGAACCGACAGACCGACCGCATGGTAACATGGTTCCAGCTCCCATGTCGACTTCCAAATGCCGCTGCGGGTGTCAGTCTGCCGTCACCCTGCCGGCGCACGCTCGAACATTGGCGTAAACTCTAAAATAATGGTTGACTACGTACCTACGCACAAGAGATGATGAGGTGGTTCCTGCTTGCGACCCCAGGCCACTGCAGTCCATCTTGCGTACCCGGTAGCTACAAGTACTGGGCACGCGTGGAGAGTCTTGCAATTGATGAAGACTGACGGAACGTGTTCGTGTTGCGATAACAATGGAGAGATGTGTGCCAGTCCTGGCCGCAGATTCTCTGCCGGGATGATGGAAAGTACCGTGCAGATGCGTGCAGCGTGCGATACCTTGTCAATCTGACATGTCGCGGCTCGCCAGACAAGCCGGCCCCTGCCAGCTTCCCCATCCTGTGAATCCAAGATCGCCCATCTAACAATAATGTCATCCGTAAGGTGGACAGCTAAAATGCGCACGTGACCAAGCGTGCTATCGGCTTCACACGTGGGAGGGAGAGAGATACGATCATACTTGTACGTGTGGCCCAGCTGTGTGGTGACACAGATAGATCATGGGGTTCCCGATCTCTAGAGAACCGAATCACTCATTCCAGGGGCTCGAGATCGGGAAAAGCCAGAAACCTAATCAGAGAATTGACTTTGACGTACGCAGAGCGTGTCGACCGACAGCCTGGTAAGCTTTGGGTGGCGGCCGGACGCCATTCGGGACTGAAAGCCACCAAACTCTGGGACGCAAAGCTGGCTGGTGACGGCATGGCTCTATTGCTTGAGCGAGCAAGCTTCCTCTGCAGCTCTGAGGAGAGACGTTTTGCAGGAATCGAAGTGCTGTCGGCTGGTGCAATCTGATGCTTGCCAGCTGCCTGGCAGATTGGACCCTTCATTCCCTGGACTTGGTCCACATCAGTGACAGTCAGTCTGTCAATCGCCAAGAGGCTAGAGCTGATGATCCGCGAAATACGGCTTAGCCTCGACTGTCAACGCCAGGCCGTAAACGGCTAGCCTCGACCGGGCTACGGCTCCGGCTCCAGAGGGGTGAGTGCGTGTGGCTTCCTACACGTACAGTCCATCAGCCTCACCGATGATCACACCCTAGACGCCCCCTCTCGTCTCCTCTAGACCACGACTAGTGGAGGAACGTACCCACTCTCTCCAAGCCTCGAAATGCACACCCTCGACTTCATGCCACGAGAGACGGAGGAGGGGGGGAGAATCCACACCTCCCTATCCGGACATCTACCTACTGGCGGATGGAGACATACCCTTGGTTTGGACCTTCAAGTTCCATGCGACGGCCCTACTGGCACACAGGACCAGCAACTGTAGTCCTTGAGCCCCTTGTATATAACATCTCCATCCCCAAGTCCCAGCTCATTCATGGAGATCTCTCCCATTCCTATATCGAGGTAGCCCTAACCTTGAGTCGACCGTCAGTACGCTTCATATCCTTCACCACGTTCATACTTGCATGACCAGACGTGCACCAAGTCCAACCAGACCAAACCTCGCTGCGATTCCAACGTTCACCCTGTTCTTACGCGGCCTGCAAAGAACGACCATCCGCCACTCAGGATTCGTCAAGGCGCATGGACACTCAGCGACCCGTTCTCGCCGACCAGACCCAGCAGATCACATCACCAGCGACCATCATGTCTGCGTCCCCGTCGAATCGGTCCACCTCGCGACCAGCATCAGCCGCCTCTGTTGATGACGGCCTTTACTCCCCCACATCCATGCAGCGATCCTCCTCTGCCGACCACAACAAGGTCTCCAAGCGCAAGGGTCAGTACTCCTCTCCTCCCGGTCTCGACAGACCACAGAAGAAGAAGAAGCATATTGACATTGGCCACCCCAAAGGCACTCGCTCCGTCTCCACACTCACACCTGCACAGCTCGCTCGCAAGCGTGCCAACGACAGGGAGGCGCAGCGTGCCATCCGCGCCCGCACAAAGGAACATATTGAGCGCCTCGAGGCCGAGCTCGATGAGCTCCGAAGTGTCCACTCGCGCGACCAGGCGGTCCAGGAACTCCTTCGCCGCAATCGCATGCTCGAGGACGAGCTGCGCTCGCTCCGCGAATCGGTCGGCCTCTCGAGCTCGCACAACTCGAGCAGCTACCACTCGGCCGCGTCTTACTCCATGGTCGGCTCCCTCACCAGTCCACGGACCTCGCCGTACCCCTCCAGCGACTTCAGCGCGCCGCCGCCGCCGCCACCGCCCGGCAACCTACCTGACTACGCGTCCGCGGGCTACGGGCCCTTTGCTCCTGCGGCTGCTGCTGGCAATGCACCGTCGTCAGCGGCCTCGGCCGAGAATTGGGCTGCCCCTGGGTCGACCACCTCCGTGCCATCCAACGTCTCCAGTCCGTGCTCCACCAACAACGATGAGTACGGTACCGGTTCGGCTTACCTACCTACCAGCGCCCCGAACCCCATGGTCCCATCACCCGCTAGTCTGAGGCACCACCACGGTATCAAGATGGAGTATGAAGACGGTAATGGTAGGTCAACTCCCTTTCCGAGGAACATGAGAGCTAAGTCGCTGATGAAAAGTGTACAGACCATGGATTCCCTCTTGAGCAGCACCGGACAAGCAGCTCGTCGTCCATGACGCTCGCCTCGAATGGCTTCATGCCGCCCCAGCAACACGCTGCCGCGTGGCCACCCACGTCCGGCATGTATTATGCTGCCATGCAGCCCCCCGTGTATTAAGCATCTCGACACTTCGGGATTGCAAATCTCTCTCCCTTTCTTCGACAGCAGAACCCCCCTGAGGCTTCGGAGGCTGGCTTCACCAAGCTATGGGCGGGCGGGCCCTTCTGCTCTCCTCCTTAACGCACACGACGACACTTGCTCTGCATTCTTTTCTTCATCGACATCCCCTTATCCCCTCTACACTCTTTTTCTCAAAGTAATCAGGAAGGCATGAGTTGCTCTCCCAGCAGGTGTCCATGATTTTGACACGCTTCATCACGATATATGGTTTCATTGTACATAGAATTTCGGTCTCACTTTGGTCGGTCACCCAGGCGCGAACGGAACCCGCTGGTCCTGCATGATTTGTTATTTCCCACCAGTATGTTTCGGAGGCATGGCTTTTTCTACGTTGGATCTTGTCCTTTCATGTTCATTGCGGTTTTGGTTGGTTGGTTTGTGAAAGCGGGACAGCATCATGCTACAAGGCGCGGTTTGTTTGGGCAACTTGGAACTTCTTTTGGAATCGGCGATGAAACAAACAGCAGTAGGGGTTGATGATGCATCATGTTGCATCGCGTCTCTCTATTGTTACTTTATATTTTTATTTTTCACTTGGCATAGACAAAAATTGAATCACAATTCAGTTTGAAATGAGAGAGTGTATGCACGAGGACGATCGCGAAATGCATGCATGCCTTCTTCTCCAACTGCAGTCGTCGAACGCCAAGTCCTGAACGGTGACCTCACGAAAAGCCGCCGACGTGCATGCATGCTAATGCATGTGCCTAGCATATGTACGGGGGTGGGTGTGTGGGTGTGAGTGACTAAAAAGAGCCAGAGAGCTGGAGAGGGCCCAAAGCCGCCCAAATGAGACCGCCACCTTTGAAGGGGATGAGATTAGACTTGGCTGACACTTGGCGCACGTTGCTTAGCGTACCTACCTACAAAGCACGGTGTGCCGTGTGCGCGGTTTTGACGCGCTTCCAGAGTTCCAACTTGAAGGCAAGGAAGCGGTGTCTAAGGTACTGGATGCAGCCAAGAGCTCGAGGGTGGACTATCCAGGGACTGGGTATCTCGGGGTCGACGACCCGCCTGCCTCCCACTGACTGCCGATGCTTTATCAATAATCACCGTCTCGCGCGCGTGCTAATTAGAGCGAGCTGGACGGTGACGGTGACAGGTGTTGGGCCAAGCCAGGGAAATGTTGCTCCTGATCAGAGCCAGTCGTCCACACCGCCTGTGCGTGCGACTGATGGAGGAGGATCTTCGAGCCGTGTGCGTCGACTCATCTATCTGCAGGTCGGACCGTCGGAGGCTGAGGGCTATGTCAGTGATCTGCCTGGCTCTGACTCTCTCTCGCCAGGGCAGGGCGATCTCCCGATTTGAATGAGTCGTCCGTCCCATGTCAGTGAATGAAGATGCACGCATATCCTTCTACATCATCTTCTAGAACATATTAGAAAGATGTCTGAAACCCACTTGGCGACAAAGCTTATTATGGACGTACGTACCTACGTAATTACTCCGAACGTACATACAGCAACGACGACCTGCAGACTAATTATTAGTCGGTTGTCGACAGGCGCTCCCCCCAGCTTCATGAATGGTGTTGACCGCATAGTTCAAGGTTGAACAGCCGCAGCTGAGAAGCAATCTCCCAAGGCTTCCTCGCGATACTAGGGCGAGTTCGGTTGGGCGAGGCTGCATCGGAGACTACGTACTTGCATACGGCTTGTGGAGCCTCCGGGAAGGTTGGTGGCCTGTTGGGTAAAACCATTCTGACACGACACGACGTGAAAGCCAAGTTGACAGGATTGGAGACGGGAGACGGACGGGTCATGTGAGTACTTGTTCTGCGGGCTTTTGGTGGGAGAGCCGGCGGCTTGGCGCGCGTGGCAGCGTTGCCAACGACGGGTTGACCTACAAGTCAAGTCTCGAGTGGCGTTTATGGCTGGTCGCAGGGGAGGGGAATCAGGGGGGGGGAGGCCCAAAAGTAATAAATGGCAGATATTATTGTGAGGCTTGTGAGCCTGCCAAGTCCGTACTAGGCATAAAATAAATTAGCTATTAATCATCAATGTCACATACCTTACGTGGTGGCCTGCCAAGACACCCCAGAAGCTCCCTACTGCACCAGTGACACACTAGTGGCTACGCAGTTATCTTCATTGTTTGCGGTTCTGCCAAGTGCACATACTGTCTGTCAAGGGCGGGCGGGCGTTCTTGTCAAGTATCAGTAGGCAGCTCGCCAAGGCCATGCTCAGCTAGCCAGCGTGCGGGGCAGCGCAGACAGGCGTTGCTCAGAGTCTCAGACAGGTGACATTGCTGAGCCTGACGAGCCTTAGGGCCGATCCTGGGGCCTTGACACCTGCTCCTGATGAAGTGCTTTCCCAACGCGCTGTGCAGAGCATGGCGATCCCTCACTGAATGAATGCGTCGGCTGCATTGAAAACTAGACTCTGGAGCGGAACGGGCGGTCGGCAATTGACAAACATCAAGGCAGTTGTAGAAAATGGAAATTCGAGTACTGTACGTACCGTTGCCCCTGGCTCACAGTGCAGCAAAGATATGATCGACTAACGGGGTTTGGTTGGCCAGCCAGCCATCGGGGGCTCGCACGCCCGCGGCAGTGATGACTGGGACTCTGTGAGCAACGCAGGGGGACTTCGCAAAGCGTCGAAACACGGCGTGGGCAGTGCATTCAGCATTGGGTTCCAATCATCAATGCTCTCCCGCCACGAATACGTAGTTCGATATCCGTGACTAGGTGCGTCGGAACTCAGAAAAGCAATGCCCTTTACAGGGGTTTGCGCGCAATCATCCGGCATGCAGCACGGATTATCTGTACCCCAGACCAAATTGCTGTCAGATTCTAGCTCCGGGTAAGCATTTACGATGAGGCGCTAACGACGGGCTGATATCGTTGGATGCAGCGATAGACGACAAGACTGGACTGCAGAATCCAGACAAGGTTTGCCTGTTCGCGGATACATCCATCCTGGCCTATTACACGGACCATACATGTATACAAATCGCCACTTATCGCGCCCGTTGCGCCAGGATTCATGTTGCCGCCTCTCATATTAGTCCTCGCAACCGCTTTGGACGTTTCGCTCACTGCCGCGCCATAATTCATAATCTCGAACAACGACTCCAACAACCACGCTGCAGAATATCGCCGCTAGCTGCTGTCGGCGATGACGCTGTCTCTCGATGCTTGCACAGAGTCGGGCGCGGTTTGTTGCATGTGTCAGGCTCATCCATCTTGATCTGAGGATCAGCAGCAGCAGCGGCGGCGGCGGCGCCAACACCAACAGAACCTCCCGCTCCGCTCTTAAAGTTCCCGACCTTGCGGTGCTGGTCGCTGGTTGGCGCAGGGTGGTAATTCACAACTTCAGTGCGTCGCAGACTCGCAGCTGCGAGGGACGTGGAAGCGACGCTAGAAGGGAATCAGAAGGGCGTTAGAAGGGCGTCAGAAGGCTGCCTCCTCCATCATCATGATCGGTGGTGCCTCTATGATTCCGATGTGGTGGATTCATCTCCTTTCATGGCGGGCGGGTGTGACACAACGCGGCTGGCAGCGTGATGCAAAAAGGTTCGACGCTACAGCCCCCCTCCCAAGCCTTCCTGGAATCGTCGACAGAAGAGCATTGGGTCGAATGTACTTGTACACCACAACTTACCCAGTTCTGCCAATGACACTTCTCGATAAGCTCGAACCTCCAGTGCGTCCTCTCGCATGCGAGGTCTGAACTCTGCTCCCAAGCTGCGTAGACTTTGAGCGGGCAGAGGAGTGCTCATGAATAAGTAAATCTTCTTGACCATCCGCAGGACTAGGACTCTGGCGCCTAGAGATTCTGACCCCGTAGATGGGAGAGTGGCTGCATGTGCCGCGAATGCCACTTTCTGTGATGTGGCCGCCAATCGCATTCCAGTCGTCCCAGCTCTCCGCAGCCACAATCCTGAGCCGCTTCGCGCAAGGTGTAGAGTGACAGCTGCCCGGATCATCATGGTTGACAGGAGTCCAGCGTCGCAGTGAAGCTGTTATTCCATCACCATCCTTCAGACGTTGGAACCGGCCTTTGTCGTGTGAAGCGCCGACACCTCGCATCTGGGCGCGGCAGCGGCAGCAGCGCAGACCAGACACCAGACAGCGCTTGCGCACGCGTGCATGGCGGCGGCTCGGAATGCCAGGATTCTGCGGATAAGTCGATCCTACCAGCCGTGTCAAATGTGCGACGGGGAAAAATCTGCCAGCATCGCATACATAGAGGAAACAGCTATCCGTATCCGTATCTCCTACATCACCTGTAACTTATCTCGAGCTTATCTCCATGTCGATGTCGTTGGGAATGAGCTGAGCGGGCCTCCAAAGGCTCCTTTTCGACCGACTGGAGCCTGGAGGTGCCGGCAGACTGGAGCCAGCAGCGAAAGCTTTCACACGTGGCTACCCAGCGAGCATGACGGGCCCTTGCGCGGCCGCAGCGCTTGCAGATGCCTCCCTGACCCAAACAATCTGCACGGATACGGATAGACAGACCGCCTGGTACGATTAGTGTCCTGGCGTCTCCAGCCCCTCATCCGCTTCTGGCGATGTGCAGTACATAGGGGCAGGCTGAAATGGACGCCTTCGGGGACAGCTTTGGGACCCGAATGCTCACCTGATCCTCTGGGGAGAGGCTTCTCTGCAGCGGAAGCCAAGCGTTGAGCCCTTGTACCCTCGCTGTAGCTCGCATAAGCAGCTGTGCGTGTTTCTGGGCTTGTGTTATCAAGAGAAACATCAAGTGCTTTTTAGCGCGGTCTTCCGGCCAATGACCGTCTGTACGCCAAGCTACTGGACAGGCCAATCAGAAGCCTCACCAAGGTCACCGTCGCAGCCACAGGGCATGTCTCGATCGTGCTCAGGGCCGGTCTCGGCCAGCCACTCAGCGTCAAGAGTGGCTTGTGATATTGGTCGCGCCAGGTTGGTCAGACCATCAGCTAGTATATGGCATGACCTGGCATCTTCTGGTTACTCACTCTCACACCACATGTACGATAGGCGAGAACGGACTTCTGCCTTCAAGGTGCAAAGGCCATCCACCTAGACAACATACATAACGTAGGTTGACGACTGACATTGAGGCTCAGCCGCTGTCACAAATCAAGGCTGCTTTAGCCGCGGAGTGTCTGCCAACACGCGAACCCACAGTCCCCACACAGCCCGGGTTAATGGTCGAGAATGTATTTGTCCGGCGCATCCATACATCTACATGTCGGCGGTTGATAGTCTGCGGATCATCCGTATGCATTATTATTACATAGAGTGGCGAGGCGTTCTACTCGCGACGGCCCCAAGGCCCAAGCAGGTACTATTCCAAACCTCATTCGGCGTCATTTTGAAATCACTCCGCGAGGGCACAATGCCAAGACGGGTGAGATTGGATTAGGAAACTAGAGCAGCCTATCGCATCTTGACTACTTGAGCAAGCTGGCTCCAGTTGGCGACAACGAATGCCGGGTGCAGGGTTCCTCAAAAGCTCAGAGACTCGGGGACTCTCCAGACGCCAAATCTGCACGCGACCGAAAGAGCACCCGGGTCTGTGCGCTCTCCTGCGCCGCTGCGCCTAGCTGGGACGCGAGAGGCATGAGATGATCCACCGGGTAATCTGATGCCGCTGGGCGGGGAGCGGTGATCTCCATGTAGATTACCAGGAGCCCTAAGCGATCTATTTGGCCAGGTAATCCCAGCTGGAGGGCGCCTCGCCAAGTATCAGTAATTCCACGATCTACCTACCAACAGTCACTCAGAACCGCCGAACAAAGTCCATCCATCCCCTCCCCGCGTGTTTCGACGCCCCCCTCGGCGTGCGCCCGGTGAACTCAAATCTGAGGTGAAGCATACGGATTCGTCTACACGCACTAGCGCCCATCACGCTGAAACGTCACGTGTACGTACATGTAGGAGGATATACTCCGTATATTTACGTGTAAAACGACGTGGCCGTCAAAGGCGTCAATCCAACGACCATTATTGCAGACTAGCGTTAGTTCCGAGATTGGTTTCCATCTCGCTTACGCAGCCTGTGGGGAAACGCCCTTTTCGCGCCTCCGTTTACCAGCAAATGAGTAGTAAAACCGTTGCCGGTCGACGGTATGTGGTATCATTGCGTTTTGAGCTTGTGAGGGGAGTGTACCATGTCATGCTTCGGAGATTTTCAATCAAGTCGATCTACCTATCCGTAATTAGACATGGGTTCGTGGTGTAGCTGGATGAAATATGCCCTTGCCAGTTGCCACCGTCAATACATACGACCGGTCTCGGCGCTGTTGTTTGTTGGCAGTGTTACTCCGTAGACTGCTTCGTTAGCTGATCGAGCTGGGCCCAGGCCTTTGGCCCTGCGCCGCACTGTCTCTTCTGGAGCTGTGATTACGGACTACACGTACAATTGGCTGCTGTTGTTGGTGACGGGAAATCCGCGGGCTTGGAATTCGGATTGTCTTCTTAAGTTATGCCCTGCTCCGACATGAACTGATTCATTGCTGCAGCTCCTCCAGCCGAAAGCTGATGCAAGGGTTCATGCGGCCCGCGGACGGACGAAGCCTGGGAGGCGACGCGAGGTAAAGAGTCATGTCCCAGGGTCCTGAGCAGGCCGAGTGCGTCGAAATCCACAGTCGGATCTAGGGCTGATCAAGGGTTGACATAGTGATGCTACTAGGCCCTCCGACTATCTGGTCGCTTGCGATGGGGCCGCGATCATTGGGACAACCTGCTGAATCTTCAATCTTGCAGACGCGCGTTGTTGACCCGCCAGGGCCGCCTCGGAACACATGACATGGCTCCGATTGTGATGCACGCGAGGGTCCTGGAGAATGGATAGGCTCCATCACGCCCAAGCGGCCATTTTTTCCCGACCCTCGCGCTTGTGAGTAAATTCTTTAGATCGTGCCCCGGGATTCGGGTTGAAGTTGCGTTGACCTTTTCTTCGCTTCGTGCGGCGAAGATGGAAAAAAGAGACAACTCTGTAGGACCCACCAAGTGAGGGTATTTCGGATGTTTCGAGGACCACAATGCTGATCGAACTAAGCCGTGAGATCCGCGTGCTAGGGCGTGAAAAAAGACTGGACCTTGTGTGAGGCGTCCCACGGGAAACTTGAGACCCTGACAATGGTGCATGTAGGCTAGAAACAATGCACTGTCGTTGACGCTCCAGGGGCCAGACAGCAAGCAAGCTTGATGGACATCCGCTCGACGCCCAGTTGCCCCGACGTCAAGTCGGGTGCGTTTATGATTTGGAAACGTGCGCAAGCAAGAGCTGCATGCAATCACAAGACAAGAAAAGAGAGACTGAAGTCTGGCAGACCTCATCGTGCCTGTGTGACATGTTGTCCAACAGTGGCACGGGCAACCTGGACGACAATTCAAAAGGTAATTGCTGCCGCAGTTGTGATTGGCTTTTCAGACTCGTAGACAGCAGAACCTGCTGCACGCCGGCTCTACCCCGGATCCACGGCCAATCTTCGGGTGATTCGGATAATTTGGACGGCCTTGCCGGGCCTGTAATCCATCTCCACACGCCAACCGCAACGTCTCGTTGGCGGAGAGAAGGCCGGTGATGCTTCACATGCTCAGCCTAAGTATGGTGACGATGCTGAGCACAGTACAGCGGAGGGGAAGGTACAGGTGTCCTCCATGAGGTTTCCTGTATAAGATGCCATCCTTGAAAGAACGCTTGCCTCCCCGTCTCTTGCTTGATTAACCAACCGAAATTCGCAGAAAACATGGCGGACATCAACGTTGAAGAAGTGCTGAAGAAGCTCACGCTGACAGAGAAGGTCGATCTACTCGCTGGTAAGCTCTTGATAAACCCCTTCGGAGACAAATACTGACGTGTTGGGCAGGCATCGACTTCTGGCACACCAAGGCCATTCCCAATCATGGCGTTCCCTCACTGCGTCTGACCGACGGCCCCAATGGCGTCCGCGGCACTCGCTTCTTCAACTCTATCCCAGCAGCCTGCTTCCCTTGCGGCACAGGCCTTGGAGCAACATTCAACCAGGCGCTGCTCGAGGAAGCCGGAGCCACCATGGGCGAAGAGGCCCGAGCCAAGAGCGCCCATTCCATCCTAGGCCCCACAATCAACATGCAGCGATCGCCTTTGGGCGGACGTGGCTTTGAGAGCATTGGCGAGGACCCTTACCTCGCCGGACTGGGCGCTGCGGCCCTGGTCAGGGGTATCCAAAGCACGGGAGTCCAGGCCACCATCAAGCACTTTCTCTGTAACGACCAAGAGGACAAGCGGATGGGAGTGCACAGCATCGTCACGGAGCGTGCGCTGCGAGAGATCTATGCCCTCCCGTTCCAGCTGGCGGTCCGCGACGCTCAGCCTGGCGGGTTCATGACGGCCTACAACGGCATCAACGGCGTCTTTTGCAGCGAGAACCCCAAGTACCTGGACGAAATGCTCCGAAAGGAATGGGGCTGGGATGGCATGATCATGAGCGACTGGTTCGGCACATATAGCACCACCGATGCCGTCCAGGCGGGCCTGGACCTGGAAATGCCCGGGCCGCCCAAGTTCAGAGGCGAGGCGCTCAAGTTCAACGTGACGACTGGCAAACCATTCCAGCATGTCATCGACGCCAGGGCAAGGGAGGTTCTCAAGTTTGTTAAGAAGTGTGCTGCTGCGAACGTCAAGGAGAATGGACCCGAAGGGGGTCGAGATATCCCAGAGACGGCTGCACTCCTCCGCAGGATTGGCAATGAGAGCATTGTTCTCCTCAAGAACGACAACAACGTCTTGCCCCTGAAGAAGGACAAGAAGACGCTCGTGATTGGTCCCAATGCCAAGGTCGCAACGTACCACGGTGGTGGCTCCGCTGCCCTGTCCGCCTACTACGCTGTCACACCGTACGACGGCATCAGCGAGAAGCTGGGCTCGCCAGCGCCATACACGGTCGGCGCCTACACGCACCGCTTCCTGCCCATCCTGGGGACGCAGCTGACTCGCCCCGACGGAAAGCCGGGCATGTCCTGGAAGGTCTACAACAAGCCTAGCGACGCGGCCGAGCGGGGCGAGCTCATTGACGAACTGGCCTTCACCAAGACGGAGATGCACTTGGTGGATTACTACAACACCAAGCTCGCAGACACCTGGTACGCCGACCTCGAGGGGACGCTTACCCCCGAGGAAGACCAGACCTACGAGTTTGGTGTGGTCGTCTGCGGTACCGCCAAGATCTTTGTCGACGACAAGCTGGTGGTGGACAATGCCACCAAGCAAGTTGCGGGTGACGCGTTCTTCGGCGCAGCCACGCGCGAGGAGCGCGGGACGATCGATCTCAAGAAGGGACAGGCCTATAAGGTCCGTGTTGAGTTCGGCTCTGCGCCCACCTTTACCCTGGGGACGGACACCTTTGCCCCTGGCCACGGCTCCCTACGCGTAGGCGGCGCCAAGGTCATCGACGCCCAGACCGAGGTGGCCAAGAGCGTTGCCCTCGCCAAGGAACACGATCAGGTCATCATCTGCGCGGGTCTCAACGCGGACTGGGAAACAGAGGGCGCCGACCGGGCCAGCATGAAGCTGCCGGGCGTGTTGGACCAGCTCATTGCCGAGGTCACGACGGCGAACAAGAACACGGCCGTGGTGATGCAGACGGGCACACCCGAGGAGATGCCATGGCTGGAGTCCGCTCCCGCTGTGCTCCAGGCGTGGTACGGCGGCAACGAGACGGGCAACTGCATCGCGGACGTCTTATTCGGCGACTACAACCCGTCCGGCAAGCTGTCCCTGAGCTTCCCCAAGAGGCTGCAAGACGTGCCCAGCTTCCTTAACTTCAAGACGGAGGCGGGCCGTACGCTGTACGGCGAGGACGTGTACTTGGGATACCGCTACTATGAGTTTGCCGACCGAGAGGTGAACTTCCCCTTTGGACATGGTCTCTCCTACACAAGCTTCTCCTTCTCTGATCTCAGCGTGGCCGTCAAGGATGGCAAGGTCGTCGCGACCGTGTCCGTGACCAACACAGGGTCCGTCAAGGGCGCGCAGGTGGCGCAGCTGTACGTTGCCCCCAAGCAAAAGGCCAGAATCAACCGACCGCTCAAGGAGCTGCGTGGCTTCGCCAAGGTGGAACTCGAGGCGGGCGAGACCAAACAGGTTGAAATCTCTGAGCCGGAGAAATACGTCGCCGCATACTGGGACGAGGAGCGCGATCAGTGGTGCGTGGAGAAGGGCGAGTACGAGGTGATTGTCAGCGACAGCAGCAAGGTCACAGAGGCCGCCGTCAAGGGCAGCTTCACAGTGGCCGAGTCGTACTGGTGGTCAGGAATCTAATTTAGGTTTAGACTCGTTGTAGCTACAATTGGCATTCTGCTCAGTCACTCATTCTGTCTGACAGGACGAATTCCCAACGCTGTCCCGCTTAGTATCGACATTCCGACCCGATCTGGTGTCACATGCGTACGCTCAGGCTTGCGAAGTAGCTACATCGTGGCGGCGACACTTGTCTCAGATCCATATCTCGCTTAGCCATCAGTCTCTTGTGTTGGCTGGAACTCACACGTTTATTTCAGCGGATCTCAGCGGTGTGGAAAAAAACTCCCCGAGGATGCGACAACGAGCACTTTGTCTAAGACAGCCTGTCAGGATGAGACTCAACCTCCTGCCCGTCCCTCCATTTATATGTGACTAGTTCAACTACTAGTCTCTTGGTCGCGCTCAAGCCGCCTGCCATTGGCCACCCATGGTTGGGTTTTTTACGACATGGAAAAAGGTATCAGCGCCATTGCGTGTTGATTAAAGCACTGGTATCCATCCCTCAGCTACTTGATGCTAGTGACTAATAGACGAACAGTCACATGTGATGCCTATCAAGTACCATTTCAAGGTTGTCGTCCACCTGTCTGTCTCACGAGGATGGACCACTGGACCGATGGCTCGCCTGCGGGGCAAAGACGAGGCCAAAGGCAGCCAGAAGAATGTCCCGGACGATGTGTACCGGGGCGACGCCTACGAGGATCCCGTGCTCGCCCCCTTGCTTGGCCTTCTGCGCGGGGTCTCGCCCCGCAGACTCATCGAGGTGTTCCGCCAGGGCCGTCTCGACGGGGACGTAGGGTGCCCCGTCGACGAGATAGATCCTGGTCCTGGTGAGCGGCTCGTCGCCGCAGGCGGTGCACGTCTCGACGGCGGTGGTGAAGCCCTCTGGGACGCCGGGGCGGTCGGTGACGCGCGGGCCTCCTTCATGCCCGAGCGAATCTCGTGATGGTGTAGACGACGTCGGCGAGGCTGGTGAAGCAGAAGGCAGGGTACTGTATCGTGTAGGTGGCCGTGTGCGCGCACGAGTTGCAGTCGCACGCCCCGCAGCCAGGGCCGTCGACGAGGCAGTCACGGCCGGGGACAGGGCCTCCTGGACAAGGCGTGGGCATGACCGCGTCCTCGGCGAAGCAGGTTGTCACAGTGGATGTCGTGTGGGACATGTCCTGTGCGGTGGCCCAGAGGGCGCACGACAGGCCCCCGGTGGCGGCGTGGAGGCGGAGGTATCTCATGTTGATGGAGGTCGTAGTGTGGCCTAAGGTTCTTTTCTGTGAGGGGACGAGGGGAATTCTGCTGGGCGTTGGGAGCACGATAGCCATCAGTCTGTAGAAGACTGGACCTGGAGCATCTATATGTCTTAGTGAGTCGACACGAGGCTTCATTCCTCCCGCATGAAGAGACTTCCATCTCCCAAAGGCTGCTTGCCTCTGTCACTCGACTGCCTAGGTCCGGCATCTACCAAGCTCTTCTCTGCCCCTGTTATGGTCCATGGCACATCGGGTCCATTGAAATCGAATTCGGCTTGAAAGCCATAGGCCCTGGACAGGAATGATTATGATTTATAGTCTAAGTATGTAAGCGGGAGTTGTTTCATAGGGCATCAGCTAGCTCAACATGCCGTCGAGATTAGAGTGGCACATACGAGCTTGGCGTCCATCGCGCGTTCGACCCTCCCACCCTGATCATGACCGAAAGGAGTGAATACACTATAAAACTCGGACAACGCGTCGCTATACGCTCAGCCCCCGACAACACGAGCCCGCCCGGAGAATGCCACGCGTCCTAAGCGAGGCACATGGAAGGTCGCCAACGGGAGGCAATTAGATATCTATCTACATAGCTTGGAGAAGGGACCACTCCGCGAAATTTACAACACCCATAGCAAAGCATGGCTGCTTGTTCGCATACTTGGCACATGTCTCCAGAGGTCCATGTTGACGGTGAGTGAATACCTGTAGTAATGGCCACATACGCGCAATGGATCCGGCTAGCCTTGCTGGCTGTGTTCATGTTGTTTAGCATCCCAAGCCGCGAGACGCCGCAACAGCTTGAGGAATTTCTTGTCTCAAGCTGCCACCGCCAACGTCTAGTGGCTTTTGCTGTAGGATGCTACTATCGCGTGCTGGCGCTCATCCATGAGGGCCGAGCAGGGAGTAGAATAGGCCGTATGAGAGCCGTGTTCTTGTTCTATATAAACACAGGACGTCGCTCTGTTCCTCATCACCCCAAGCAACTAACCAACTAAACTAATCTAACCAACTGAGCAGGCAGCAGAAAGTTACCCGGCCATTGCTTCTTGATCCATCCCTCGCAGTCCGCCCACTTGGACATTTGCATCATGCGGCGCCCCTAGTGTCTCATCGCTCTTCTGGCGGCAGGCCAAGAGTCTGCCAGCTCCTTCTGCGACAAGTATCTCCTCGGATACGACGTTGACGCGACCGAGATCTGCTACACGTACTTGACCATCGTCCCGGCCACCCCTGCAGGCCAGAACTTTGTCACCACGACGGCTGGAAACCCCGACAGCGGCGGGGGGGGGGGGGGGGGGGGGGGGGGGGGGGGGGGGGGGGGGGGGGGGGGGGGGGGGGGGGGGGGGGGGGGGGG